TCATCCATCTCCATCTCGAATATTTTCTTGTTTGTAATGATTTTATTTTATCAGTAGACAGACTTTTATTAAGTTAAAAACAAAAAAGTCAACATGTTTTAAATAACTTGAATTAAACAAAGACAAATAACACCTTACGAAATGTTGCATTGCTTGGATACTGTTTTATGCATTACAAAACTCTTGTTCAAATATCAACACTTACTTAGATATATCATGTACTTCTATTAAAAGTAGAAAAGGTTTCCACAAAGTTCTAATTTTTAACGAATTCATTATCCTTTTTATTATTTTAATTCACCACCAATGGCGATCAAAGTATACATCAAAGAAACTATAGTTTTGTTACATCAGACTGTAAAATACCAAATTAAAACGACTACGGTACGTCTGGGTATTAAATACAGCTCATTAGCAGCCGCGGCTTAATTTTATCTTTTCTATCCACCGGCAGCTGGCGAGTATTTTATTAGGCTTAATTAATTCAACTCAATGACGACTTTTTTTCAGCCGTTGTTAATGACTCGTGCGATGCAGAATGTGCTCTCAGCATAAAGAATACATCAAAAATGTGTTATAGCCTAACGTACGCGTTACATACTATGTAACTTTAATATTCACTGCTTCAAGTATAGAAAGGGAACACGCATTTTGAAGATGTACTACTTGTAACACGAACGTCTCGAGTTTGGGTCCCGGGTTCGAGTCCGTAAGACATCCATGAGTCCTCCCAGCTCTGGCGGGGAACCTGACTCAGGATAAGGAAAGTAAAGGCGGCTGTGCATAATGTTGACCACACTATCCCAACAAATGTCCTGGTCATTGGAACAGCTGAACTCTACTTCACCTGCCTCATGGAGATTCGACTCAGAGTTTCTTCCAGGCATCTCTTCGAAAAAATTTTACCGCCCCCCTCCCCGAACGAAATGAAGTTTATATAATTTATATAGAAAATATATACTTTTAACAGTGTCCGCCCCCCCCCCCGAAGAAAGTTTACCGCCCCCCCCCCCCCCCCCGAAAATTTCCAGTGCCCCCCCCCCCCCCCCCCCGGAGAAAAAAGTCTGGAAGAAACACTGATTCGACTACTTTTTAATTAACAACGCAGTTAAATTTCCTGTTGCTTGCTAGCTAAGTCGGTAGTACGGTTTAAATTATAAAAATTAAGAATGCAATAACACTACAACAGTAATGACAGTACATTAGCAATGACATTGCAGCAGCAATGACACTATAAAAGTAGTGACAGTACTTCGTGAACAGAAATAGCGCCAGCTGTCGTAACGTCAAGTGTTCATCGAATATTCAACAAGCAATGCCCAGTACGCTGGGGATGATTCTTTGTCTTTGCTAAGCTAATGATAATCCAATGGCTAGTCTAGGTTAATTTTAACCCCACAGTTAGTCTAGGCTAATAATAATCCCATAGTTAGTTTAGGCTGATGATAATCCTATCGTTAGTTTAGGCTGAAGATAATTATATGGCTAGATAACGCTGATCATAATCCCATGGATACTCTAGGCTGATGATAATCCTATGGCTAGGTTAAGATAATCCCATTGCTAGTGTGAACTAAGAGATAATCATATTGCCACAATGAGCGTCACTAATCCAGGCAATCTGATGCTACCACTTGAACTTTGAACCGGCTATCACGCAACTTCCGGTTTGAATCCAGAAAAACTTGGTCTAAAAATATTTACTTTGACAAAATTAGAAAGAATTTGTAAAGTATTTAGCAGGTGCAGGTGTGGGTGGGATAACAAATGTGTTAAGTAGACAATAAAATCACAGATGATGCAGAAGTAAGTTTATCATGTATGCCCAGTTATCGTATTAAGCATGATGTGCAAGACTCTGACTAATTTAAGCTGAGACGCATTCTAGTTTTTATATGAGAGAAAGAAAAAAAACAGGTTCATGGATTAGTTTAAAATTTGGATCTCAAACACTAAGAAATTACTGAATATGTGTTTGTGGGAGATTGACGATTGTAATTATTTTTCTAGACGAAATCAATATGACATTAGGTGCTCGGCAAACTAGAATTTAGATCACTGTTCGGTTAAAAAAAGGGCAATTACAATCAAATCAATGCTATTTACCGACTGTGTGTGTGACTGTGATTCAATTTTGACTTCACCATTCTTATGGTTAAAAGTGAAGTTGACATTATAAATATATATATATATATATATATATATATATATATATATATATATATATATATATATATATATATATATATATATATATATATATATATATAAACTAGCGTGCCTGTACGCGTGCGTTGCCGCGGGGTAAGAAAAAAGTCTGACGAAATATTTTAATAGGGTTTCATTAATGCGTTACCAATCCTATATTCTTAGACGTGGGATCTTGTTTTCTAAAACTGAGTTAATTCAATCTAAACAATGCCTGCGCTATATTTCTTGGATCATATTATTGCGGAACGTGTTAACTACACCACCGCGCAGCACGCACCCGGGCGTGGTGTATAAAAGCCTTGAGTGTACATTAATCTCTCTCCGTAATAGCGATGTTTAACACACTTCATCGACCGCCCAGGTGTCTGGGACGTAGAGAGGCGCTCTCGTCAGTTCCCAATTACACTACTGCAGGTGCGCTGCGTACGGCTCCTGGCTCGGTTTAATCATCGAATGTCGTGTGCCACCTTGTCAATGGGGCGTCTGATTCATTTTAGTAAACGACTATAACGCCCCATCTTATCCATAGTCTATCGTATTGTTTAAAAAGAATGTATGCGCTATAGCGCTAACGGGATTACCCTGGGCGCCATATTGCGCCGCCCGTTAGAAATTGAAATGAATTTTGTTTTTTCGCAGAAACCTTCTCGAGAGTTTTCTAATCAACTCCCAAAAGTTTCATGGCACTCGAAATAACGATGTCAAACCGCATTCGACTTGTTATATATATATATATATATATATATATATATATATATATATATATATATATATATATATATATATATATATATATATATACCATATATAGAGAAAAATCAAACCCTCCTTGGTCGCCGCCCTTGCAAAATTAAAAAAGATTTATTTTGTAAAGACCTCCCCTGGAGTGTTCTAATCAACTCCCCAAAGTTTCATGCCGATCGGATGAACAGTGTCAAACCGCAATTCACTTTTATTTTTGTATATAGAGAAGAATCTAAATCGCGTCCTTTCGGGGAGCTACCCCGCCAATTCAAAAGAAAAATCGCAGAAACCTCCCCAGGACTTTTTTCAACAGTTTCCCGAAATTCATGCGATCGGATGAAAGGTGTAGTAAACCATAAAAGACACACACACACGCACACGCACATACACACACACAGAAACACATGCATTGCTCTATATATAGATAGATAACAAAGACGTATGGAAGTGTTTGTACATAAATATCTATTTTACAAGCTTTTATTTAACTCAATTCCTATGTCGTCAGTCGTCAGTCTGTCGTCAGTCTGTCTAGATCGAAACGGCCGAGCGAAATTGTAGGCACTTCTAACTGACAGATACGGTTAGTAGTTGGTACGTGGGTCAAAACATGAAGACAATGCAACATGACATTAAATTTGACTTAATTGGTTGCCTGATTAATTTTTTAATGAATTAATTGAAATTTTGTCCAAATTAGTAGGCTGTCTCATGAAAGTATTTCGCGCTATTAGACACGCGTCATCACGTTCAATAGGTGCGCAATGGTTTTTAGTCATGCAACTCTAGTGTAAATAAAACATGTAAAGTACTAAAAAAATTTCATAAAAAACGTTTTAATAACAAGCTTTTATGTAATAATGTACTAAAACGTAGAAAATAAATTATACACTACTATTTAAATTACTATAAAGAAAAGCGTGGGTCTCTTCCTAAATATTAGTAAAGGTTTCCAACGTATACTAAAGTGACCCACGCTTTTCTTTATAGTTATTTAAATAGTGTATAATTTTTTTCTACTTTTTAGTGCATTAGTACATAAAAGCTTGTTATTAAAACGTTTTTTATGAATTTTTTTAGTTTAAAACAATTTCCCCAAATATGATTCCCAATAATCTCTGTTTATCTTGTGCGAGATCTAAACCTTGTTATCACATGATCTCTTAGCTTGGGCTTTCATCATACGATACAGCGCCCCACGACTCGCCATCAACTGCTCGTGTGTGCCCAACTCCTGGATCACGCCTTTCTTTAACACTGCGATGCGATCTGCGTTTCTGATGGTACTCAACCTGTGAGCTATGGTGATGCACGTGCGACCTTCCCTGGCCTTGTCCAACGCTTCCAAAACCACCTGTTGTGACGAATAGTTTGAGGGTTTTTTATGTTTACAGTTTGAATCATCTCGAAGTTCTAATGCTAAATGTATACTTTGATAGATTTTTAAAAAATTATAGTGTTATTTTTTTCGTTTTTTTTTTGGGGTTTTTTTTTCGTCCAGGTTAGATATTCATACATACATAAGATAAATAAGATATTATTATATACATTTTCCTTTATTGAAAGTACCAGCTAATTATTTACTGCTAGTGCTTTAATAAAACATAGTAATTGGTATTGAGTACTGTTTAACGCATACAAAGACCTCCTGCAACTTTTCTTGTATTTACGTGCATCAATTCGTGGGACATAATTCCTTTAAGACGTCTCTCCAGGGTAAATTGACATGAGTTTTGGTATTAAAGCAACCACTCACCTTCTCACTCTCAGTATCCAAAGCTGACGTGGCCTCGTCTAGTAGAAGAATCTTTGGATTTCTCAGCAGAGTTCTCGCGATTGCTACCCTTTGCTTTTGTCCTCCACTTAGTTGTGTCCCTTTATTCCCCACATTTGTTTCGTAGCCCTAGTGTTAAGATTTGAACTTTAACAAAAGACTTGCATGAAAGTTCTGTTTACAATATCTAAAAAAATTCAGCTTTTCTTTTCTTAGTTGCAAATTTCAATATCACAGTATATGTATACATGAATACATGGCATAATTATTTAAAATTTAATTTTAAAACGTTTTTAACAACGAGCTTTAATGTGTGCTCTAAAACGAGGAAAATAAATCGATTTTTTTGTAATGCATAATGTTTATGTCGTAATTTTCTACCTAGGAGGAAGCTTAAAAAGACTAAAGAAGAAAGTTTTTAAAAAGCTTGTAAATATAAACTCACTGAGTGCAGAGACTTATTAACTCACCGAGGGCAGAGACTGTATGAACTTACCGAGGGCAGAGACTGTATAAACTCACCGAGGGCAGAGACTGTATAAACTCACCGAGGGCAGAGACTGTATAAACTCACCGAGGGCAGAGACTGTATAAACTCACCGAGGGCAGAGACTGTATAAACTCACCGAGGGCAGAGACTGTATAAACTCACCGAGGGCAGAGACTGTATAAACTCACCGAGGGCAGAGACTGTATAAACTCACCGAGGACAGAGACTGTATAAACTCACCGAGGGCAGAGACTGTATAAACTCACCGAGGGCAGAGACTGTATAAACGTGTGTATGTTAGCTGTCCGAGCTGCCTCTATGATCTCCTCCATGCCCACCTCCCTCGTGTTGTCCCCGTAAGCGATGTTCTCAGCCAGACTTCTGTCGAACAGGATTGGTTCTTGTGACACCAGGCCGATTTGCATACGCAGCCATTGAACGTTAAGGTCAAGGATGTTGTGATTATCCAAAAGCTGAAATTTCAACGCACCTGTTCTCAGGTTAAGTATTTTGTAGTTGTTGTTTTTTTAAATTCTAATGTAAAACAAAATAAGCATTTCAAAAACAAATATGTTTCGATGATTAGTTTATTTTCTAAAAACTGATATATATTATTTTCTGTAATGACCTCTGATATTGTTTACCGCATCTGGAATGAAATTCTTCAATATATTTAAAAATTGGGCCTTGTTTTGCCTCGATAGATAAGTGATATCATAGAAGAGCTAAAATTGGCTTTAGATGAAGAGACCAAGGGTTGTAATTGTTAAGGGATTATTCGTATTTACTACGTTGAAAATATAATCCAAAGAATTACTATCATCTTGGGTTGCAGAAGCAGCCAAAAGAAAACATAGTTGGTAATCCTAATGCTTAAGCAGTTCAGAACTTCTTCTGGAGTTTTCTCTCAGCAGGAAAGAAAATGTCCTTAGCTAACCAACCTAATCTGTTTTAGGGGTTCGAACTCGGGGATTCCGGTTTGGCAAAATTAAGCCCTCCAACCCGACCACTACCTCAAATTTTGTTTACAAAACCTATAAAACTACGCAATAAATAATGACCCTAAACACTGATGCTACTTACAACTGTTGCACACTGAAACTACTTTGCAGCACTACAAACGTATACTCATGTACAAAGACGCTACTTACAAAGACGCGACTTGCAACAAAATAAACCGACGCTACTTACAATGCTGCCCTCCTGGGCGTCATAAAATCTCTCTATTAGTTGCACTATGGTGCTCTTCCCACATCCACTTCCACCCACCAACGCCAGCGTTTGTCCAGGACGAACTTCTAGGTCAAGGCCATTTAATACCTGAACTTCTTTTCGCATGGGATACCGGAAGCGTATACCAGTAAATTGAATTGCGCTTTGAAAGGAATCCTGTTAAAAAAAATAGTATGTCACTAAATTACAACTATTCTAAAAATTGAAAAATAAATCGAATCACAATTTTGTTCAGTAGAAAACTAACGTCCTCTGTTAAAATAATCGACAATTTCCTGTTCTTTAATACATCCATAACGATGATACATGTGTTTAACGACAACAAACACAGATACAGCGGTGGTGGGAAAATACAGATAACCTCCATGATAACACTGACTAACACATCATAAGAAAAAATCCATCAAATATCACCGCAACAAAAGACGAACCCCATCCAGTTTCACTGATCCCCCTTGACTTTCAGTCACGCTAGGCGCTCTGTCCACTGCAGCGAAGATGGTCTCGGCCGCTTGTTTGGCGAGTGTGGTGTCTGGAATCAGCAACATTATCCGATTCAGCACCGCCACAGATACCGTCACAAAAGAGAAAACCCTGCAAGCATTAATAATTTCAACACAAAAAATATTATTTTTTACGTCAGCAATTTTTTTTTTTACAAGCTTTAATTTAGTTCACAATTTTTTTTTCTGTTTCTTTGTTTGTTTGTGGGCTTGTGGCAAATTTGGTAACTCGTTTTTCACCCACTTCTAATGCAGCTATTTCTTTCAAACTTTCCAGATTCGTTCCATTTCGATGACAATACAAGTTCATCTACTTTTAATTTAATTAGATGTTAATTAAACGGTTTCGAAACTAAGTGGAGATAACAACATTAAATCACTCAATAGATTACTATATTCAATAACAGAAGGGGAGATAACTAGCTAGGCACGATCACCCAAACGGTCTGTTGAGCTTTGGTCACGAATGTTTAAAATCATAGAGCCGGTCGATCTAGTGAAGGGTATTAGGGGCAGATAATATAGTTTTTAAATTATTTGAAACTAAGGTGAAGTGGCAAGTTTTAAAATTATCCTCTGCTTTATCAGCTTGCTGTTGTCTGTAAATGTTGGTCACGGACGGCTGTTTTTTCACGGGGCAGATAATCGTCTTTTAGGCATCGCGAGCTACTGGTGGTGTTTTTTAAGCAAATATTTTTAGCCGTTTCGTCTTCATACAATGGGAATCACTAGAATGTATAAAATAAATCAAATATAAAAAAAACGTTATAGCAAAAAGTATTTAAATACACTGAAAAAAATTAATCTGCTTTCTTTCATAAAAGCTTTTGTAGATAAAATATGTAAAAGATCTCATGAGCGACCACAGCTTTTATGAAAGAAAGCAGATTAGTTGTTTTTTTTTTTCATATTTTCAGTGCATTTGAAAGCTTGTTGCTATAAAAAAAATTGAGTTTTATTTTTATTTGTTTACATTTGCTAAGAATCAAAACCATTTCACGGGTGAATATTTCGTCACCAGGTTCTCACTATAAAAATGGGGCTATTTGTTTTTATTTAACCACAAAACAAATAACATTTAAATTTTTAGCTAGCGAATTGCCTCAACCCTCACACTCTTTTCAACTACAGTGCCCTTAATTAAAAACGCAAACAATTCAAATCCAAAATGTAATCCTATAGAAATCATGAAATAAATAATAGTTAAACGTATGATATGACTAAACTCAAATTCATAAAAAAAATTAACTGTATAACAAGAAACCTATTATTTTTTAAAAGATTAAAAATAAACAATCTATCGATATACCAAAAGATTTTTACCTTATCATATCATAAAAAAGCAGCTCCCCAGTCTGGACCAGCAAAGCCCCACATTCAAACATCACACAGAAGGAAAAGTATGGCATCATCATGAAGAACCCGTACATGGTCCCACTGCCGATGATGTCACCACTGAAGGTGTGTGGCGCCTTCTCCAGTCTGCTGGCGAACATCTGGTAGAATTTCTGCTCCAGTGTCAGGGCGGCTACAGTCCGAATGTTTGAGATGGTTTGGAAGGCGTGCTAGAGAAATAGACATTCTAATGTATGTATTAGCTAAAAATAAAAAAAAACCCGCTAGGTAGTGTGTCAGTCAAGTTCATCTGTAACTCATAAAAGGGAACAACTTAAGAAATAAAAAACATAGAACAAACCAACAAGAGTGACAGCGAGAAAGTTTAACATACAGTAAAAAAAATGTCACTTATTTGGACGAAATTAAGCTTATTCGTATTGATACATGTATTTTTTAAACTATTTAATTGCTTGTTTATTACCCTAACCGTTTCAGTCTTTCAGAATAAAAATATGATCATATTTTTTCTTTTAATCGATTTCTGTGTGCGTGAAAAGTATGTTTACAATTTTCAGTTCGCGATTTATTAAATATTATAAACATTATCTAACCTTATCCATTCTGGAGGTTGGTACAACTAACCATATTACAACTCTAAACTATCTCCCCATTACTTACCGCCACTGCCTCTTCCAAAGCCTTGTTGGTCTTGTCTGTTATGCGACTGGTTAAAATCATTTGTCCCCTCCCACTGGGAACAAAACATGTTATACATGTATTATAAATAATTTAAAAAACACTCTTCTGTAATCGTTAATTCTTACCAATTATCTGGAATTGTAGTTTAGTAATGACTGGGGATGTTCACACGAATACTTATTAACATCTACTGCAGTCTGCGACATGCTTTATGTGAATTAAATGAGAACATTTAGTAGCGTGGGAATACCTTAAAACGACGATGGGGGCAAATGCCAAGATGATAAGCGCCATCTTCCAGGAGTAGTAGAAGGCGAACCCCAGGGCAATCACGATGACGGAGACAGAGTTGATGGTCAGACCCATAGTCGAGATGAGAATCTAAAAAATGAGTCGTAACCAATTAAAGCTTAATTAAATTTTAATAACAATACGAACTTTTAAGCCAAACAGTCAAATAGGTATGTCCTGCAACAAGCTATTTCAGAACAAGTAAGGCACTGTTAATTATTATTATTTATTTCATTCATTAATTGCATTTGATTTTTAATTTAGCTGGTAAAACTGCTGGTGGGTTGTTTTTTTTTTAACCTAAATGTGTAAGACAACGTTCAGGAAAAATCGTAGTAAAAAGCCACACGTATTTTCACAAGTTTGATTCTACGTAGAAAAATATCATTACCTCTTGAACTCTGGAAGCTTCTGTTGCCAGTCTTGTTGTCAGCACCCCAGTGGCGTTCCTCGGGTCATCAAACCAACTCATTTTCTGAAATATAAAACCAACTTAAATTGATATTTTAATTACGTGTTATTTCAATCATCTAAATCTTAATAAAAACAAATATAAGAAACGGTTGTAATAATAGGCTGTTAAAATGCATTGAAAGATTTTTAAAAATAACTAAACTTGCTTTGTTCGCCAGTAGAAATGTATTCAATTAAACCGTACCTGTCGAAGAGATGATCGGAAGAAAATGTCCCTTAATCGAGTCGTTAGAGATTCGCCGGAAACACAAAACATGACTTCCTGAAATTAAAGATTATTGCGAGATGCATTTCTAAAATTAAAAACAAAAACTAAACATAAGTGATTTAATATTCTATTTCTCTTGTCTGTAAAAGTAAAATCCCATATAAAAAGTTAAAACATGTTATTTTCTGTAGAAAACTTCCCAACAAAGTTCAAGCTTTAAAACAACTGATTTCTCTTGAGTTAATTTTAAGATTTAAAACATGTGCTTTTGTCTTACCTGTAAAAATTTCCCGATGAAGTTCAGTATCCCCAATCCAACAACTAGAAGGCATAAGGTGTTGAGAGAAGTCTCTTGCTCTTGTTTGTCAGGGTATGACAAGATCTGCATAAAGTTTAATGTAACAGGTCAAAGTTCAATTCAATTCAGTGCGATCAAAGTTTTCAAAGTCTAAGTGTTAAAAAAACAAATATAAAGGTTGTAAAACAAATCAGAGCTTATTGAAAAAGTCAAATTCAATTTAAAAGTTATTACCTTAGAGAACTGAGCAAACAAGTTTGACCAAAGCGGCATTACAGCCCCACACACTATACTTGCAAGTGTTCCAAAGAGGATGAAAATCCATTCAGGGGAATTAAGTTTGATCAATCGTAAAAATATTTCTCCAGTTGACATCGATTTGGTCCCTTGAACATTATCTTTTGCCTAGAAACAAAACGCACGTCTATATTCATTTACACTTGTTCCTGGAAATAATGCCCACTACTTAAATTAATTAAATAATTTTTTTTTTAAATAGTTAATACTTCCAGTAGCCTAGAAACTTGCCAAAACAAACATCTCATTTTTTGCCATACACTTACATTGTGTTCGGGTGAAAGGACTAGGTCAACAGAAGGCTGTTTGGTGATAAGCTGTGTTGGTTGATTGTCTGCTTGGTCATTCTCGTTTAACTCATCAGTCTGTTTCACTTAATTAGGAGAGAAAACATTAAATCTAAAGAATAATGTTCCACATTAAAACTTAAAAATAATCAAACTTTTGTTTAACATTAAATATTTTTTTCTAATATAGCGATATATTTAGGATAGGATACATTTATTCACTTAATTTGCGAAATCAATTAATGTGCAAATAATCAGAATATTTCTAATGAGATAATCTGTAAGAGACAGACATAAGAAGATTTTCATGACAAGCTTTAACACAATTACTTACAGTGTTGTGCCTGATAAGCAGCATAAAAAATCAATGATAATGTAAATTGTAAAAAAAAAATTTATAATGAAAAAAACAATATCAATTTTAAGATCATCTCTAAACGTAAAAAACAATAGTCCTTCCTCCCATTTCAATAATTTTCTAGCTCTACTATAGTCATACTGTGTTTTTCACACAGAAGCGCAAACTTCAGTTGTTTTATTTTTCCATTTTCAGTTGCGTTAATCAATTCTAAAACTATCATTGTGAATGTTTTGAGCATTTAAATACACTGCAATATACGTTTCAATTAGATTTCCTTTGTTCTCTAATACAACCATCGACAAATACAACTACTTAACACACGAATATATAACACCTAAAAAAACCTAATCATCGGTGAGCCGCTTGTCCCTACGACTTTAAACTAAATCGTTTTTATGAAGATATAAGTTCTTACCTGTAAAGCAACATGTTTGTAGTAAACTCTTACAAAAACCCTGGGTAAGATTAATCTCTTATATAAAACCCTCCGTAAAAAGTATAACGAAGATCTGACCTGTGAAGAAACGAGGTTGTAGTAAACTCCCCGTTTGTCCATCAGCTCCGTGTGGGTGCCCACCTCCACCACTCGACCTTTGGACAGCGTCACTATCTTGTCAGCGTTACGAATTGTCGACAGTCGATGAGCGACGATAAAAGTTGTCCGGCCTTTGCTGACCTAGACAATTATTGCTTGTATGTAAAAGATTTTCAAAATCTGGTTCGTTTAAAAGACAAATTAGTTTACTCTAAAATGACTCGATGAATCCTATAGCTATTGTTAAAATTCCTCTGAGCTTTTTATTAGTTTGTTTAATTTACCTTGTCCTGAGTATCCTATAAAGTGGATTATCTTAGTTGATTCTAACATCTAGGATGGATTATCTCACTTTATAATTAGCTTCTGGGATAAATTATTTTCTTTATCCTAAACATCTAGGGTGGATTAACTTATACTTGACCATTTACGATGAAATAACGTACCTTATCTAGAGCATCTTGTACGATGGCCTCACTCTCAGTGTCCAGTGCTGAGGTTGCCTCGTCCAGCAAAAGAATTTTTGGGTCCTTGACCAGAGCTCGAGCGATGGCGATTCTCTGTTTCTGTCCTCCACTTAGTTGGGCGCCTTGTTCGCCTACATACGTCTCGAATTGCTAAAAGATATTTCAGATTATTTCAAATATTTGTTAATTTATTTAGAGCAGATTGCAATATACAGACTATAAGATGGTTATCTTACATTGGGTAGCTTCATAATAAAGTCATAGGCGTTGGCCATTTTGCTTGCTTGAATGATGTCTTCCATGCTAGCATCCTTCAGACCGTACCGGATATTTTCGGCGATTGTCGTAGCAAAGAGTACCGGTTCTTGGCTGACTAGACCAATGTGCTGACGTAACCATCGGAGGTTTAAGCTCTCAATGTCATGATCATCTAGTGATATCTGTTAAATAAAGTTAAATTATGTGTAATCGGATTGGAATCAGTTACAATACAGTTTTAATAATATAAATAAACGAAATAGTATGTGTTGATCTATTATTGTTTAACTGCCCAATGTTTTGTAATTCTCCCCAATTATTTACCTGACCCATTTTAGGATTGTAAAACCGCAACAAAAGTTGTATCATTGTAGACTTCCCTGAGCCGCTAGCCCCAACCAAAGCAACTGTTTGGCCTGCAGGGGCATGGAGGTCGATGCCGGACAGAACCTACAAAATGTAATACCACATTACTTTATCCTTTCATAGTTTTTGTTCTAGATAACTGACGTTTTTGGCAATATTTCGAGAAGTTTGTTTTATTTTCTATTTTTAGTAAAGTTAAAAGTTTCTTATTATATAGGATTTATATCAATGTTAAATTGTATTGTTCCTTATTAGACCGGCTTTTTATAATAAACGCATCCTCACAGGGAAGTAAAAAAAAAATTAACACTAATACATGTTATTCATTTTATAATGCAAGATAAGAACGTGATTTTGTTAGATGATATTAGTAGAAGTCTAGTACCTGCACTCCTGGCCTGGAAGGGTAGGAGAAATAAATATTTTGGAACAGAATTTCTCCAGTCACCAGTGGAAGCATTTTACCTTCTGCTGAGCTGCTGTTAGATTGCGATTTCTGCAGAGGAATATCAGCTGTGTATTTAAAATTGGGACATAATTTATGTTAATAATAAAATAATTTATATTTATTTTGGTGTAACGATCACCACTCTATCAGCCAGATAGTTGGCGAACGCTCCCGGATTCGTTTAAATGATTATACACAGATGGCGACAAGCCTAAATAAAAGAAAGCTAACACAATAGTTCACTAGGACTCGTACTTGATGTCTAGGGGAAACACTAGAGAAACTACTGTTGCCAACAATACATTTAATCTGCATATAACTTTTAATGAGTGTACAAAGTCGTGGCAGAACACTAGATTTATACAGGATATAATAGATTTACAGAATGAACAAAACCCAACTTACAATTTGTGGGGAAAAAATAATATGATACTCTATCACAGCTTTTAACACTTCAGAAAAATCACCACAGTTTACACAACGCTGCTATAAGCATAAAGAATTACTTAACCACAAGTAATATACGAATATGCTGCTTAAACTACTTAGTACTACACGGCGACACACAGGGCTTATTATCTCTCAACGATGTCTGGTCAAGTAACTGCCTAGAGAAACCTGTGCGCGGTCTATTTATCGACTTAGGCAACATGGACGGTCACCTTCAAATCATAAGGCTATTGGTTGGGGTATCACCTGGTCCGAATCAACCAATCATCTCATAATGGAAAAATACTGAGTCTAAGACTTTCTTAAGACAGTGAAAAAAACCAGTGATTACACCACAGACCATATATGGTATAGTAACAAATGTAAAAATAAAAATTACCAGACCTAAGTAAAAAGAAAGATAGGATAAAATTTTCAAACGGGGGTAGTGTGTGATGTGATGTGGTGTGTATGTGTGTGTGTCTGTGTGTAAAAAAAATTGATATAAGTATTTTCCAATAAGCAAAATTTTTTTTTTAATTAAAGTAATTTTATTAACATCTGGAGTGATACGAAATTATTTTGTAATCAACTTACCTTATTGATGATTCTATAAATCTTGACTGCCGCAGCCATTGCAACGTAGATACCGTTTGTTGCAGGTATAGCATAACCCAAATACACAGCACTCAGAAAGGTGGAGAAAAACACCTGTAACGGAAGACACGACAGTATTGCTTTACATCAAATTTTTTACAAGACAGTATTGTTGTAGGCCCCTACATCGAATTTCTTACAAGACAGTATTGTTGTACATTAAATTTCTTACAAGACAGTATGTTTTTACAAGCAATTCTCATAAGACAGTATTGTTGTACATCAGATCTCTCACATTAAATGGTGAGAGTGTCTAAGTAACAAACTACTCACCACAACTGTTGAAGTCACTGTGTACTCGCCACTTCTGATCAGCTGACCACCGTAGTAAAAGCCCAGAGCATAGCTCAAGAAAAAACCACTCCAGAGTATGCCTAATCCTAAGCCATTTACAATTCCTTTCTCTACACCAAATTTTTGAGCGTGTTTTAGGTTTTCGTGATATCTAGTTCAGAAAAAAAACAAGCTGTTGTTTGAAAAAGAAGAATATACGATTGTTGGCGCAGTAAAAGAGTGTTGGTGGTGATTTACCATCACATGCGTACATTTAAGTACACAGACTAACCTTTTTGCCTCCATTTCCTCCCCACCAAAAGCCACGACTGTCCTTATGTTGGAGAAGGCTTGTTCAGCCACAACCCCAGCCCTGGCGTAAGCCTCTCTCTCCTTGATACTGGTTTTACCGATACTCTGATAATGAGAAGATGCATCAAGCTACTCAAATGTATTCAACTTAACTCACACATGTTCCACATTACTCACCCCAATGACCATATAAATCACCCCTATTGCCATGTTATTTACTTCATTGGCCTATACACTCGACCACTGCCACAAACACTCATAACACTGGGTAAAACACTGGTCCGCTTAAAAGACGCTAGAGGCCACACCAAAAACCCACATTTATCCCCCCATTGCCCACATCACTCAATCCATTGACCCCCACCACTCCCTCCATTGACCACAACAGTAACTCAATAGACTACATCACTCACCGTATTGCCCACATCACTCAATCTACTGACCAATCTACTCCAACCATTGACCTCACCACTCCACCCATTGACCACACCACTCCCTCCATTGACCACAACAATAAATAGACTACATCACTCACCGTATTGCCCACATCACTCAATCTACTGACCAATCTACTCCAACTTTTGACCACAACACTCCACCCATAGACCGCAACATCCCCTCTATGACGCACAACACTCCCGCTATTGTCCTGATCACTCACCCTATTTCCCACTCCCTCTATTGCCCTGATCACTCACCCTATTGCCCTGATCACTCACCCTATTGCCCTGATCACTCACCCTATTGCCCTGATCACTCACCCTATTTCCCTGATCACTCACCCTATTTCCCTGATCACTCACCCTATTTCCCTGATCACTCACCCTATTGCCCTGATCACTCACCCTATTGCCCTGATCACTCACCCTATTTCCCTGATCACTCACCCTATTGCCCTGATCACTCACCCTATTGCCCTGATCACTCACCCTATTTCCCTGATCACTCACCCTATTTCCCTGATCACTCACCCTATTTCCCACTCCCGCTATTGCCCTGATCACTCACCCTATTTCCCACTGCCGCGCCCCCCATGAGGATGGGGAAGGCACACAGCATCACCAGAGATAACTTCCAACCGAAGATGAAAGCGATGATGATGCCGACGATACTGATGGTAAACCACTGTGTTGCCATGGGGATATTTGTTTCTATAGCTCTGTAGATCAGGTTTACGTCCCTGTGAGCAAACATTAAGGGAAATACAATTTGTATCAATTTCTTGCTATCACAATTTTACTAACTATGTTCACATACACGAACAATGAATACTTTACGCATATAACTAATAAGTGTTTATTGATTATTAAAATCAGCTAAGTTACTTAACGTATGCATAATGTATAAATAAATGGAAGTACTTTTGGATACGACGTTGCACGAATAAGTTGAAGCAGAATTTATACTTTTCTCTTGAGTATGAAAGAATAGTATGGTTTGGTGTTTCTAAACCTCCTCTGTCATTTAAATTAGTAAGGTGATTGTGTAACAAGGCTTACTTTGTTTGGTACTACCTGATTTGGTAGATTGATTCTGTACCTGAACTTACTTTGCCACCCTCATATAGTATACTAATTGTGTAACAAAACCTACTGTCATCCTACCACATTTGATATATTAGTTGTGTAACAAAACCTACTGTCATCCTACCACATTTGATATATTAGTTGTGTAACAAAACCTACTCTGTCATCCTACCACATTTGATATATTAATTGTGTAACAAAACGTACTCTGTCATCCTACCACATTTGATATATTAATTGTGTAACAAAACCTACTTTGTCATCCTAACACATCTGATATATTAATTGTGTAACAACACCTACTCAGTCATCCTACCAGATTTTGTATATTAATTGAGTAACAAAACCTACTCTGTCATCCTAACAGACAAGTCTCCCGTCTTGTGGTCATCAAACCAGGCAATCTCCTGGACAAGGATGTTGGAGAAAAAAGATTTCCTCAGTCGGATCACTTGGCGCTGGGCTGAGGCCGTGAACAAAATTTTCTTGGTCGCTCCACACACCCACGCACACACAGACAGAGCTGAAACACGAAAGGAAGTGGGGGTCGTCGATAAAGTCGATGATCCTGAAGTACAGCTAGCCACTTATCTTTCAAGTGTCACAGTAACTCAGCTTCTTTCTAATGTGTTACTATATATTTAAAGAAATCATTTATTTTCTCCTTTTTGGTGCATTATTACACAAAACCTTGTTATTAAATATTGTTTTATGCATTTTGTCAATGCACTCAACTTCTTTCATTAATTAATCCTACTTACCAAAGCCTAGAAAGAAAAGTATCTGGGAATTTTGAAAGATGTCAGATTGCGAACCTTCAGTCGAAGAACTAAAATTTGTTATCAGATGGCTGCCATTAGGGTTAACATGTTGGTCATCAATCCTGAAAGTATTTTAAAGAAACTGAGGCAAATAAAATTAAAATAAAAGATGAGCTTACAGAAAGAAAGAAAAAAAAATAATTTTAATTTTATGATACGGCAACTCACGTGTGTCCATCAGAGTGTGGTAATGTCCCATTAACAGAGCTAGCCTTTGCGACGTTGTCATAGTATCCCTGTTCAACGAATGACCCAACAAACTGACCATACAGGACCATGTTTAACGTATGCATTGCGCCATTGATTACTGCCAGTACAAAACCTGTCACCATCATGGCCACGTCTTTTGTGTCAGCAAAACGAAACTAAAACAGAGAACGGTCCAATTAATTATGTTACAAATTATCCAAATTGTGTTTAAGAATACCTGATTTCGTTTTTGTACAAATACAACTAAATGGCAAAAAAATTAATGTATAAATTTATTGCAGTACAACTAAAACTAAACATTTAAACATAATATAAATATAAACAATTAAAATTATCAGAAGGTAAAAAGTAACAAATTTGATAAGCTATCACTAAACAGCGAAGGCTCCGATCATTTGGACATATCAGGAAATGGTCTGATAAAAAAAAATTGTAACTAATAAATTAGGCTACCTCTATATAAATGTTTATAAAAAGTGTTGATTTGTTAATATTAGCATAATGTAAGATGAATAAGTAAAGAAAAAGTTTGCAATAAAATAAAACTCATTAAAAGACATTCGAAAATTTGGATATCAAGGTGCAAAAGAAAACATCAAAAAGTTGTATCTCATATTTGTATTACAACTTCAATTATTAGTCCTATTTCGAATTAAAGTTTTCATTCGTTTAATTTTAAGAAAATGTTGTGTCAGCTTGATTACATGTTAAAAAAGGATATTGCGAAAGAAAAGTTCACTTCCTTAATGGACATTCTTTGGCTGAATAACAAACACAAAAATGGAAAACAAGTTTTTTAAAAATGTTTAAGCATTGCATCAGCTTGCATCGAGTTGTTGAATCGATCCCCCTATGTGTCCAACATCACAATCCAGTAATTGTTTCAGCATGTGTATAATGATACACCTATTAGCATTTTTATTATTCTTTTGTGACTGTTCTTTCAATGTTTAGGCTATTCAACTTCTGTATGTGGTAAATAGATCTAAATATATGTGCATTAATCCAGAATGGTAGCAAAAATGACTTGGTGACAGAAAATGCATAGGTTGCTATTGTAGCTAATAGGTATATACGAGATGTTGGTTACCTAAACTGGGAATACATTTTTTTAGCCTGACCAGTTTTTACTCGGATATGACTGGAGTGAAGAACAAGACTTTAGGGATGTAGCTGACTGAATTGACGCAAATGACTGAATTGACACAGATAACTTAATGGACTCAATTGCTTGAACTGACGCAGATAGTTAGAGGGACGCTAATTACTGAACGGACGCTAATTACTGAAGGGACACAGATTACTTAGGAGAAGGCATCAAAGACCAAACCCTTTCCAGTGTAACTAAAATAAATTATAAGTAATTTACATTATTGGCTATTTCGTAATTACAAATTTCCAAATAGCAAAAGCAACAATGAATTGTAAAAGTTTAAAACCTGGTTATGAATTATTTTTAAAAATTCCAACCTGATAATGAAACAGTAGTACAAATATCAAAGCTGATTGTGAAATAATGTGACTAATACAAAAGCTTATTTTGAAATATTTTTACAAAATTCATATCTGTTTGTGGAAAAAAAGAAATACGAAAACGATGCTGTTTTTTAAATTATTGTAAATATCAAAACTGTTTTTAGAAAGCTATTAATAATGCAAAAGTTGTTTGTGAAAACTTACTAGTACCTAAGTTGTGAAAGCTATTACTAGTAACAAAGTTGTTTTTAAAAGCTGTTACTAATGCCAAAGTTGTTTATGAAAGCTATTATTCATGCCAAAGATATTTTTGAAAGCTATTAATAATGCCTAAGCTGCTTTTTAGAAGACTGAAAACTCCTACCAGTTGAAAAAAGCTAACCGTCTCCTCCTTGCTACTTGAGCGTTTAAAAAATTTCTTGACTCTCGTTTTATACGGCCTGTCCTTTTCCAAGAGTCGAATTTTCTCTGAAGATTTGCTGGTGTGGAAACCATTTGATATTTCTGTGAAGGGAGCAAGTCGGATCATTTGTTATTTATTTGCTATTTTTTTTTTATCTAGAAAACTGAACATATGGTAAACAATGAGCATACAGCGGAAAATTGTAATTAACACTGGTTCTTTGCAGTGGCGTGCTGCCTGTGTAAAGCGGGGTTATGCTAGTCTCCTAAGAGTTTCAAACAGTTGTTGTTTTTTATTAGACCATACTTCAACGTCAGTGGCGTAGGCAGGGGGGTTAGGGGGGGGGGGGATCATAATCCCCCCCCACTTAGACCCCTCGGTCTAGAAAAAGTATGAGGGGGGTGCAAATCGAAAGTTTGAGGGGGGTGCAAATCGAAAGTTTGAGGGGGGGGGGGTGCAAATCGAAAGTTTGAGGGGGGTGCAAATCGAAAGTTTTTCCCCGGGTAAAAATTGGAAACCCCCCCCCCCCCCTTGAGACGATCCTGGCTACGCCACTGTTCAACGTAAAACGTCTTAGAATAATTGAAAAGCCACGGTGAAGACTACATCTTGCTATACCATGGAATAGTTTCCTCTACTCGGTAGGTCTAGTGGTCTCGCGATCTGGATGCTTTCTTTAGGTCCCTTTCCGACAACAACGCTTTTTTAGCACCAGTTAACCCGTTCTTTCGATTTTAGAAGCGCGTCGCGATAAAAATACAACTTTATGATAAATTGATGTGTGACGTTGTGGCCGAGTGGTCAGTGTTATATCTATCCGGTAAGCTGCCGGTTGGAGCCCGTGTCATCATAGTAATTGTATGTTTGTATCTTATTTTTTTCATTACAATCAAACGGCAAACAACCCCAATAGCTTGCAGAGCTCCTGCAGACCTCTATCTGGTCCACGGGGATACATTCCACCGCACGCCACTGTGACTGATTTCTATCATTGCTCAAGTAATAGCCAGTTTATTAAACTGCTACACCAACTACTGCTAGCTCTGACTGTTAGCACCAACACTACACTCTATAACCTATAACACATTTGCTCTCTTTCCTCTATGTAAGGCCTTTTGGGAACTGGTATAAAATACCTAATGGTTTAACGATACGTGACACAACAAGTCTACCATTAACACATCACCTGACCCTAGCTAATTGTGCATTTTACACTTGGCTGAATACATTGTGGTAAGGTTCATTATGTGCTAAACCTGTAATTATTATAGAGTGGGGTAAGGGTAAAGTAGGCTAGGCGGAAACGGTTATTAACATACGCAACCAACACGTTTCTAATTTTGTTACATAAAAAATTATTGATTTATCATTGACAGCTAGATTTGAACAGTCAAAAATTTGACATGGTGTGATAGTATTTTTTCTTAGAACAGCTGCCAGTCGAAATAAAATTATGTCACTTAAAGTTATTTGTCTGTTAACATTTCCAATAAATGAATTTATAGTGAATAGAAAGCTTTGCAAAATATGTGCATATATTTTATCAGTAACCTGGCTTTTTAAAACATAATAGTCAATATGTCACTATTCGGCTTGTGCTTTCTATTTTTACAAATTTTCGTTGAACTTGATTCCTCGTGTTTAGTGCTGCGTATTGGCATTGTCATGGATCAAAACATGTGAAAGAATTTTCAACCACTTCCACCGTACCGATTCGTTTCAAATTTGACACTTGCCAAACTTTAAATATACAATAACGCACCTTAATATAGGCCTACATACTTGTAAAGAAAAGAGTGGGTCGTTTATTAAAATTTTATAAGTTACCCACAATTTTCTGTATTGTAAAATATCTAACGGTTTATCATAATATATTCAAAGAAAGGTTCTGCAGTCCACTGGTATATAATAAATAACGAATCATTGTATGAGCAATAACTACAATAATGTTAACATTTGACGTTGCATATTCAGTTTACATCCATTCACTTTAGTACATGTTAATGTTTAACCTGCATTAAACCTTTATTACTTTTTTTTTCATTTTTAAAATATAAATTGTCTATCACAATAAACAGAAGTAAATAAACCGGGAGTGATCTCCCCTAAACTTTCTCGAATATTCTAATATAACACTACGTGGGATGTCAACTCGGAATATAGACATGATTATTGTTTACTTAAACTTTTTAAAATAGAATAAAATCTAGTAGAAAAAAAAATTGCGCACCAAGCGAGCACCAAAATCAAATGTGCGTTATAGTGCGCAATATTATTAGTACTTTATAAATTCACATGCGTTTTTTGAGAAATCGGAAATAGCGTAAATTAGTACTTCCGGTCAACGGAAATTACTCAAAATTTGATAGAAGGTAGAGAATTAGATCTTGTACTTACATATCAAATTTCATTTATCTATCTGAAATAGTACTCAAGTTATAGGCTTTTGAAAAATTCAAAGTAGAAAAAGTACCACTTCCGGTTATCGGAAATCGCTCAAAGGTTGATACGGATCTACGATTTTGATAAAATACTTATATATGAAATTTCATCTACCTAGCTGTAACGGTACTCAAGTTATCGTGTTTACACACGGACACACACACACACACACACAGCCATACGGACAAGATTGCAAAATTATGTTTTTCCGTATCAGTGAGGTGTAAAACGTCGAGATTTGTAAAAATCTCGATTTTTTTTTTGCACGATTACAAGACTTTCTCTATACTTCGTATAATCGAGAAAGTAAAAATGAAGATTTTTTGCGTATGAAAGGAGTAGGCCTACATTTTTTATCAGAATTATATTTTCTTCTAGTCGAAAAAACGTTTTGAAAAGTATGTCAATTTCCACCTTTGTAAATTTATTGTTTAATAATTATATTAACTAGCTCAAAGATTCATGAACCGCCCTAAAACGTACTAATTTTTTTTTAAATCTATATCCTGCCTGTTCTTAAAATAATATAAACAGTGTCCTATCGTTTTAAAAATATGCTGTATCAAGTAACAAAGATGTACAGCATAAATTATGGGCTAAACCTTAATGAGAATATCAAATGTGTGTGGTATCCGCTGAATGTTTTGTCATTTAGATGATCTTTTTATCGTGTTTAACATTATTCGATTTAGATTTTCTCCTTACCTAAAATGGTAATACTTCTGTAACTAAGTCTGCCTGAATTATAATGAAGATGGTAAAATTTAGAGATGTCTTGTGATACAATTCAATAAGGATGTCTTACCTTTCTTGTCTTGGGTCCTCTCGCTCCCATTTTCCACACCGTGAAATAATTCATCCACCTCCATTTCAATTATAAATGGTTGGTGAATGTATTTTTTGTATGCCAAATGTAAACTCGGCACAGCTTTTTAAAAATAAAGGAAAACAAAAACAACCTATGCTGTTCTTAAAATCCTCATTAATCCACGGTGACACATAGTTTATTAAAAAAAATATTCAATATTTAGGTGCTCAACTCTCCTAAACATTAAACTTGCAGACTAACCAACTACCCTAGCAAATACAAAACTTGTTCAATTCTCTCTTAAAAAGTCATTTAACTTGTCTTTCACAACCCGATTCAACAGACTAAGACTTTTTAAACTTGCATCTAGTTGGGATGTCCTAAGTCTAAATCAATAGCCATATGCTAGGCCACGTCGAAGTAAAGGTAATTCTGTCATCACAATAACAGACTACCTGTATAAAACTAAACGACTGATTAGACTCTCCTCTGTAGCCTGGAAATTTAAACAGCTGATGAGCGGTCTCGTCTTTTGTGTCAAATATTTTTCTTTACCAAGCAGCAGCTGGCTGCATCTAATTAACCCATACTAGTAGCACTCTTTTTAGTACGGTAAAAAATTTCAGTCCCTGGTAATTATTCGTGCATTTCAGAGGTCTTGGCATAAAAAATAAATATGAGAAGCGAGAAGTTCAAGATTTTTTATTAAGTTCATAAATCAATTTTTTGTAACTTTAGAATTGTAGCTGTTTTATGAAACTTACAAGTAGAGACGAAGTATATGTGTTTTTTTTTTAAAATAAAAACAGTGGCGTAGGCAGAAGTTTGTCAATAAGGGATCCAAAAATTGGCTATATATATATATATATATATATATATATATATATATATATATATATATATATATATATATTCGTATTTGTTTTATATTTTCAAAAAAGGGAAAGCACGCACTATCTCCAAAACATGTAACATATGAGACCGCTGTTATTTTGTCGTCCATTAAAGGGGATTTGAAACAACGACCTCCCCCCCCCCCCCCTCCTGTCCTTCTGTCTCCAACTCTGCATACATCTATGAGTTGTTCACCTTTTTGAAAGTGTGTCGACTTGTTGATGTGTCTGCAAGACTGATGTCTCAACAGAGCTGCCTAAAGGACACACTAAAATCAATACCCGCTTTTAGTTCAACCAACGAATACAATTTACATACAATTGGTATTGAAGTAACACTTCTAGTAGACATATGGGGAATTGGGGATTCGAAAATTTGATAAGAGAAATATAAAATAACATATAGTGTAATTAAAATTGAGCAATCTATTATACACCAAGTTATATCAAATAAAATAGAAATTCGCTATTTCAATAAACAAAAAAAGTCATTTATTGTTTAGAATTTAAAGTGTGATGTTATTTTAGGGGTGGAGTCTGCTTTGTTGCGACGATATTGTCTTTTCTGTTGACAAGTTTCGTCTTCATGGTAAGTCTTGTGAACTTGATTGCGAACAAAAGTTCGTGTTTACAAATAAACTTATACATGCGATCAGTGTAGTTTCCAGCTGTTGTGAAAGACCTATTTGTCATTTGTTAATGTCTGAAAGATATTTTTGGAAGTGTAAGTCTTAGATATAGCTAATGATTAGAACCATGCGCAGGTTTAGACAATATTCACGTTTGTCTGAAATTGATTTTATAAGTGTAGGCTTTTGTTATGATTTTTATTTTATATTGAATGAATGAGTGAGTAAATATTACCACACTTTTAATTTCAAAGTTTAAATTAATTGAAATATCAATGCCTATAATCATAAAAGTGTCTTTTATTTTAATTTGATTTTTTATTTCACAGGGGTTTTTTTTTAAACCTTAGTTATGATAAAAAGTTTTTCTAATTTTTCTTTATGTGCCATATAGACATCCCTAGTGCTAAACACAATTCTTGAAATAAATGCTAAAAGCTAAAAAAAAAAAAAATAACATTTTGACAAACGTTAGTCAGGTTTTTCCCTTTTTTAATTCTTAGATAGAAATAAATTTTATTAATTTAAACAAAATTGCACTTCTGTAAGAAAACACATTTTAAGCAAATCTCTGCTAAAACAACAACATTTATATTGCTATGGAGCAAAATATCCAAGGATATAATATAATACCGTACGATATTTTCACAATTCACATAAGTTACTGAGAAGTGTTGCTGTTGTTTCGATTTTCTTTGACGACATGTATTCTCTAATATCTTTTTTTTATATCTGCTGACATTGAATCAACTGTTCGCTATAAGAAAGCACTTCAGCTTTTACGTAGCTTAGTTTTCATGAATTGCTGCTTCCCTCTACATGTTGGAGGTGATCAGCTTGTAATACGGTCCACGGTTTGACATGAGCTGGGTGTGAGTACCTATCTCCTGGACAACACCGCCTTTGAATACCGCAATCTTCTGCGCGTCTTTGATGGTGCTGAGACGGTGGGCGATTGTGATGCAGGTTCGTCCTTGCCTGGCTTTGTCCAGAGCTTCTTGCACCACCTAGTTCGTGGAGAAAAAAACACGGTGTTTACGGGTACTTAAATCCACAATCTATGGATTAGTCTAGATTTAAATTTAAATATTTAGTTTCTAGAAGCGAACTCGGGTATTTTATTAGAATAGTTACAAAAATTCTCATAAACGTAACGCTACATCAGCGATGCCATGGTAACAAGCTCCAGCTCCAAATCTAACCCTAAACTATTTACATAAATGGAAACAAATATAAACACACCCTAAATCTAACATTAAACCATGCCTGGGCTCAGTAATGACATACAGACTCTACATGCCCTGGAATGACCATCAGACTTTCGACTAAGGAACCACACGAAATGATACGCTGTGTGGCGATGTTTTCTGAATATCTTACACGGACAAATAAATGTTCCTACAGCATATGAAAGGTTCTTCCCCGTTAGGAAACAGAAGACGCCCATGTTGTACAACACGCCTATAATTGTATAATGTACAGTTCAAAGGTCACTAACTTTCTCACTCTCGGCATCCAGCGCTGACGTGGCCTCGTCCAGTAAAAGGATGTTGGGATTTCTAATCAGAGCTCGGGCTATGGCGATCCTTTGCTTCTGACCCCCGCTTAGCTGGGTCCCTTTGCTGCCAACATTTGTCTGGTAACCCTAACCAAGACAGACAGCAGACAGCATACATTAGTCAGGTAACCCTAACCAAGACAGACAGCAGACAGCATACATTAGTCAGGTAACCCTAACCAAGACAGACAGCAGACAGCAGACATTAGTCTGGTAACCCTAACCAAGACAGACAGCAGACAGCATACATTAGTCTGGTAACCCTAACCAAGACAGACAGCAGACAGCATACATTAGTCTGGTAACCCTAACCAAGACAGACAGCAGACAGCATACATTAGTCAGGTAACCCTAACCAAGACAGACAGCAGACAGCATACATTAGTCTGGTAACCCTAACCAAGACAGACAGCAGACAGCAGACATTAGTCTGGTAACCCTAACCAAGACAGACAGCAGACAGCATACATTAGTCAGGTAACCCTAACCAAGACAGACAGCAGACATTAGTCAGGTAACCCTAACCAAGACAGACAGCAGACAGCATACATTAGTCTGGTAACCCTAACCAAGACAGACAGCAGACAACATACATTAGTCAGGTAACCCTAACCAAGACAGACAGCAGACAGCAGACATTAGTCTGGTAACCCTAACCAAGACAGACAGTAGACATTAGTCAGGTAACCCTGTATAAGACAGACAACAGATATTAGTCAGGTAACCCTGTACAAGACAGACAGCAGACAGCAGACATTAGTCAGGTAACCCTAACCAAGACAGACAGCAGACATTAGTCAGGTAACCCTAACCAAGACAGACAGTAGACATTAGTCAGGTAAACCTGTACAAGACAGACAGCAGACAGCAGACATTAGTCAGGTAACCCTAACCAAGACAGACAACAGACATTAGTCAGGTAACCCTAACCAAGAAAGACAAAGGCAATAGAAATGATGAAACTGTGATGTTACAAACTTGAGGTAAAGAAATTATGAAACTGTGGAAGTTACAAACCTGAGGTAAGAAATGATGAAACTGTGGAAATTACAAACCCGAAGTAAAGAAATGATGAAACTGTGGAAGTTACAAACCCGAAGTAAAGAAATGATGAAACTGTGAAAGTTACAAACCCGAGGTAAAGAAATGATGAAACTGTGAAAGTTACAAACCTGAGGTAAAGAAATGATGAAACTGTGGAAGTTACAAACCTGAGGTAAAGAAATGATGAAACTGTTGAAGTTACAAACCTGAGGTAAAGAAATGATGAAACTGTGGAAGTTACAAACCTGAGGTAAAGAAATGATAAAACTGTGGAAGTTACAAACCTGAGGTAAAGAAATGATGAAACTGGAAGTTACAAACCTGAGGTAAAGAAATTATGAAACTGTGAAAGTTACAAACCTGAGGTAAAGAAATGATGAAACTGTGGAAGTTACAAACCTGAGGTAAAGAAATGATAAAACTGGAAGTTACAAACCTGAGGTAAAGAAATGATGAAACTGTGGAAGTTACAAAACTGAGGTAAAGAAATGATGAAACTGGAAGTTACAAACCTGAGGTAAAGAATTGATGAAACTGGAAATTACAAACCTGAGGTAAAGAAATGATGAAACTGTGGAAGTTACAAACCTGAGGTAAAGAAATGATGAAACTGTGTATGTTGGCCGCCTTAGCTGCCTTTACAATCTCCTCCATTGAGCAGTTTCGGCTGTTGTCGCCGTACGCGATGTTCTCCGCAATGGACGTGGCGAAGAGGATGGGCTCCTGTGAGACTAGACCTATCTGTGCTCTCAGCCACTGTACGTTCAGATCCTTCACGTCGTACTTGTCCATGAACTGGTGACGTATGGATAGATGAACATGAAGTTATGTATGTGAAGTTGCTATATCTTGACAGGCACTGGTTAATGTTTGGGAACACAAAGTTGTTTTATATAAATTGGCTGTATGGTAGTAAATATTAGGATACTAGAACTCTGAGTTGTTTCTATAAAGAAAAGAAAAGCTATAGCTTGAACGAAATTGTTAATCAAGCTAATTTAAGATTTATTTGTTTATATTAGCTAGAATACGTTTAGGAGCAGTTCTGTAAGTAGTTTTGTCAGATTTTTACTATTTACACTATCTACACAAAAAGTATTTTTTAGATAAAAAGATGGCGATATCATCATCATGTAACCAAAACATTTAGCCTATTAATTGTTTGATCTGTACTTCTCATATTAATGTTACTGTTGAGACATGGAAGCAGTTTATCCTCAAGTGTTGAAACTATTAGTTAGGTGGATTTAATGCAAGTTATTCCAACTCCCACACATGTTAAGGACTAAGCATTCTATTTTTTTGAGTGCTTTAGATCAATAAACTATTCAAGTTCTGAGGCTCGCTTGAAACGATTGCTACAAGGCTGTTACTACTTGACAAATTTGTTTTCCGGAGGGGAGGGAAGAAAAATAAATGCACAACTTGCAATATAAAGTGCATTTTTGTGAGAGGGGTGGGTATCGGCTGGCGGATGGGATAAAGCCTGCTAAAACAGGTGACGTCATGTATCGAGTACTTACAACCGTCCCTTGGTTGGGGTCGTAGAACCGTTCAATTAGTTGTAGTGACGTCATGTATCGAGTACTTACAACAGTCGTAGAACCGTTCAATCGAGTACTTACAACAGTCGTAGAACCGTTCAATCGAGTACTTACAACAGTCGTAGAACCTTTCAATCGAGTACTTACAACAGTCGTAGAACCGTTCAATCGAGTACTTACAACAGTCGTAGAACCGTTCAATCGAGTACTTACAACAGTCGTAGAACCGTTCAATCGAGTACTTACAACAGTCGTAGAACCTTTTAATCGAGTACTTACAACAGTCGTAGAACCGTTCAATCGAGTACTTACAACAGTCGTAGAACCGTTCAATCGAGTACTTACAACAGTCGTAGAACCGTTCAATCGAGTACTTACAACAGTCGTAGAACCGTTCAATCAAGTACTTACAACAGTCGTAGAACCGTTCAATCGAGTACTTACAACAGTCGTAGAACCGTTCAATCGAGTACTTACAACAGTCGTAGAACCGTTCAATCGAGTACTTACAACAGTCGTAGAACCGTTCAACTAGCTTTATTGACGTCATGTATCGAGTACTCACAACGGTCGTAGAACCGTTCAACTAGCTGTAGTGACGTCATTTATCGAGTGCTTACAACAGTCGTAGAACCGTTCAACTAGCTGTAGTGACGTCATTTATCGAGTACTTACAACAGTCGTAGAACCGTTCAACTAGCTGTAGTGACGTCATTTATCGAGTACTTACAACAGTCGTAGAACCGTTCAACTAGCTGTAGTAACGTCATTTATCGAGTACTTACAACAGTTGTAGAACCGTTCAACTAGCTGCAGTGACGTCATGTATCGAGTACTTACAACCGTCCCTTGGTTGGGGTCGTAGAACCGTTCAATTAGTTGTAGTGACGTCATGTATCGAGTACTTACAACAGTCGTAGAACCGTTCAATCGAGTACTTACAACAGTCGTAGAACCGTTCAATCGAGTACTTACAACAGTCGTAGAACCTTTCAATCGAGTACTTACAACAGTCGTAGAACCGTTCAATCGAGTACTTACAACAGTCGTAGAACCGTTCAATCGAGTACTTACAATAGTCGTAGAACCGTTCAATCGAGTACTTACAACAGTCGTAGAACCTTTTAATCGAGTACTTACAACAGTTGTAGAACCGTTCAACTAGCTGCAGTGACGTCATGTATCGAGTACTTACAACAGTCGTAGAACCGTTCAATCGAGTACTTACAACAGTCGTAGAACCGTTCAATCAAGTACTTACAACAGTCGTAGAACCGTTCAATCGAGTACTTACAACAGTCGTAGAACCGTTCAATCGAGTACTTACAACAGTCGTAGAACCGTTCAATCGAGTACTTACAACAGTCGTAGAACCGTTCAATCAAGTACTTACAACAGTCGTAGAACCGTTCAATCGAGTACTTACAACAGTCGTAGAACCGTTCAATCGAGTACTTACAACAGTCGTAGAACCGTTCAATCGAGTACTTACAACAGTCGTAGAACCGTTCAACTAGCTTTATTGACGTCATGTATCGAGTACTCACAACGGTCGTAGAACCGTTCAACTAGCTGTAGTGACGTCATTTATCGAGTGCTTACAACAGTCGTAGAACCGTTCAACTAGCTGTAGTGACGTCATTTATCGAGTACTTACAACAGTCGTAGAACCGTTCAACTAGCTGTAGTGACGTCATTTATCGAGTACTTACAACAGTCGTAGAACCGTTCAACTAGCTGTAGTAACGTCATTTATCGAGTACTTACAACAGTTGTAGAACCGTTCAACTAGCTGCAGTGACGTCATGTATCGAGTACTTACAACCGTCCCTTGGTTGGGGTCGTAGAACCGTTCAATTAGTTGTAGTGACGTCATGTATCGAGTACTTACAACAGTCGTAGAACCGTTCAATCGAGTACTTACAACAGTCGTAGAACCGTTCAATCGAGTACTTACAACAGTCGTAGAACCTTTCAATCGAGTACTTACAACAGTCGTAGAACCGTTCAATCGAGTACTTACAACAGTCGTAGAACCGTTCAATCGAGTACTTACAATAGTCGTAGAACCGTTCAATCGAGTACTTACAACAGTCGTAGAACCTTTTAATCGAGTACTTACAACAGTTGTAGAACCGTTCAACTAGCTGCAGTGACGTCATGTATCGAGTACTTACAACAGTCGTAGAACCGTTCAATCGAGTACTTACAACAGTCGTAGAACCGTTCAATCAAGTACTTACAACAGTCGTAGAACCGTTCAATCGAGTACTTACAACAGTCGTAGAACCGTTCAATCGAGTACTTACAACAGTCGTAGAACCGTTCAATCGAGTACTTACAACAGTCGTAGAACCGTTCAATCGAGTACTTACAACAGTCGTAGAACCGTTCAACTAGCTTTATTGACGTCATGTATCGAGTACTCACAACGGTCGTAGAACCGTTCAACTAGCTGTAGTGACGTCATTTATCGAGTGCTTACAACAGTCGTAGAACCGTTCAACTAGCTGTAGTGACGTCATTTATCGAGTACTTACAACAGTCGTAGAACCGTTCAACTAGCTGTAGTGACGTCATTTATCGAGTACTTACAACAGTCGTAGAACCGTTCAACTAGCTGTAGTAACGTCATTTATCGAGTACTTACAACAGTTGTAGAACCGTTCAACTAGCTGTAGTGACGTCATTTATCGAGTACTTACAACAGTCGTAGAACCGTTCAACTAGCTGCAGTGACGTCATGTATCGAGTACTTACAACCGTCCCTTGGTTGGGGTCGTAGAACCGTTCAATTAGTTGTAGTGACGTCATGTATCGAGTACTTACAACAGTCGTAGAACCGTTCAATCGAGTACTTACAACAGTCGTAGAACCGTTCAATCGAGTACTTACAACAGTCGTAGAACCTTTCAATCGAGTACTTACAACAGTCGTAGAACCGTTCAATCGAGTACTTACAACAGTCGTAGAACCGTTCAATCGAGTACTTACAACAGTCGTAGAACCGTTCAATCGAGTACTTACAACAGTCGTAGAACCTTTTAATCGAGTACTTACAACAGTCGTAGAACCGTTCAATCGAGTACTTACAACAGTCGTAGAACCGTTCAATCGAGTACTTACAACAGTCGTAGAACCGTTCAATCGAGTACTTACAACAGTCGTAGAACCGTTCAATCAAGTACTTACAACAGTCGTAGAACCGTTCAATCGAGTACTTACAACAGTCGTAGAACCGTTCAATCGAGTACTTACAACAGTCGTAGAACCGTTCAATCGAGTACTTACAACAGTCGTAGAACCGTTCAACTAGCTTTATTGACGTCATGTATCGAGTACTCACAACGGTCGTAGAACCGTTCAACTAGCTGTAGTGACGTCATTTATCGAGTGCTTACAACAGTCGTAGAACCGTTCAACTAGCTGTAGTGACGTCATTTATCGAGTACTTACAACAGTCGTAGAACCGTTCAACTAGCTGTAGTGACGTCATTTATCGAGTACTTACAACAGTCGTAGAACCGTTCAACTAGCTGTAGTAACGTCATTTATCGAGTACTTACAACAGTTGTAGAACCGTTCAACTAGCTGTAGTAACGTCATTTATCGAGTACTTACAACAGTTGTAGAACCGTTCAACTAGCTGTAGTAACGTCATTTATCGAGTACTTACAACAGTTGTAGAACCGTTCAACTAGCTGCAGTGACGTCATGTATCGAGTACTTACAACCGCCCCCTGGTCGGGGTCGTAGAACCGTTCAATCAGCTGGACGATTGTGCTCTTGCCGCACCCACTCTCCCCCACCAAGGCTAGGGTTTGACCGGGCTCCACCACCAGGTCAAGGCCGTTAAGTACACTGACGTCAGGGCGCATGGGGTAGCGGAAGAACGTCTTAGAAAACCTGATCGTCGAGTTGAACTCTGACTGGATAGAAGCGTTAGCGATAAAATGGTTTTAATGTTTGATCCAGTTCAAGGTTTCGAACTTCTTATAGGATAAAAAAGCTCCGCTGGTACATTTGTGAGGGCTATCACTTAACATTGTATTTGAGTGCTTCTTTTTTCCTCGTAATATATTTGAGAAGTATCCTCTGACACTAAAGTATTACGTGTCAACATGTTATGCGCAATGTGGTCTGTTGACTCCGACTTTAGCCTGCTTTTTTTCTGCATTTTCTTCTATAGCCTTTGTTTACGTAAGAACAATGTGCAAGGCGGCAATTCTATGATGGGTTACTGTCCACAACAATACAGCCTAATCTTCCCGGGTCCAACTTCTGGACTATTAAAGTTGCCCACCACAAGCTTTCCCGCATAACCAGTTTCTTCACAGTTGAAGTTCATTTTAATAAACACATTTATGAAACTATTTTTAATTTTAAGACAAAGAAAAACATAAACTATACGATTATTGTTAGGGGTAGCAAATGTTTCAAATAAAAAAAAAGAACACAACAAAACCTTCAGGGGCGCCTCTCCGTCTAACGAGTACGCATCGATGGGCGGTGTCTGGTCGTGAATGGCAAAAATTCTTCTGGCGGCACTGATGGCGGCGCTGGTGTCAGGGGCGAAGGCGACAGCCCGTCCCAGCTGCATGGAGCCCAGGACAAGACACCCAAACACCCTGGGGACGGCCAGACACATTGGTATAGAAGTGTCAACAAAACATGTCAAATGAAATAATAAGTTCGTCTATCAAGCTGTTAAGTAGACCCGTAACTGTAGGACGTCCTCGAGTCCACCCACCTCTGATAAGTACCTGAATCATGTTAGAGAAAGTAAAGGTGACTGTGTTTAGTGCTGACCACACTATCCATTCATATGCCGAGATCAAGAAACATATGAACTCTACTTCATCTGCCTTATGGATCTTTAGATATGAAAGGGGAGCTTTAGATTACATTTTGAAATAGTTTAACATGCTGTAAAACTTCTATGATCAACAAATAAAATATGCTGATTAGTAATGATAGATATTAGGTTAAAATATTTTACAATAAAAGCCAGGTCTAGTAGAGAGAACAAGAACAACAGAGGCTGAATTCAAGTGAGTTAACACTATGAACAAGACAACATATGCTGGGTTGAAAGTGTTAAAAAGGTGGGAAAAGGGAAGGAAAAAAGTTTAACTGTTAAATACAAAGAATTAAAATGTTAATCAGACAAGTATGGCAAAAAACATCATTGTGTCTTATCCGCTCAAAAATTTGACAAATTACTAGAATAATATTAACATAACACTGACATAACAAATCATCAGTATGTTCCAAATGTTTTATTTAATGAATAAAACAAAAGAAAAAAGCCCTAAAAAGATGCAATGTAAATTTAATTGAAAATATAATACAGAAATAATCAACCATTGAAGAACTGTAGCCTATAACTTGTAGAAATACTCTAAGTAACTAACTAATCCACTGGAAAAAAAACGATAAAATAAGAACTAAACTTAAACTTTTAGCCATGAAGAACTCACTTGAAAATGTCGTTGAAATCGATGTCGTCGTCTTCCAGTAGCTTGGAGCCGTAGTAAAAGGCCACGGCGTATGTGAAGAAGTACATCCCACCCGACACGCCAAACGCCGCCGACGCCAGACCAGCTCTCTTCAGGTTCGACTTGACCGGACGCATGAGGTCAGCGGAAAAAATTCGGTAAAACGTGCCCTCTTTGGTCAGTGCTGCCACCGTGCGGATGTTGTCCACACAGGAAAGAGCATTCTGGGGGGATTAGAGAAAATACTGAGTGTCACCCTGAGAGTAACAAAACAATATTGTAATAAGACATCACGGCAGGGGCGTAGCGAGGGGGGAGGGGGGGGGGGTGCGGACCACACCGGGTGACACCATTTAGGGGGGTGACACAAAGGCAAAAAATAGCAAAATATAGAGAAAAACTTGAGGGGGGTGCAAATCGAAAGTTTGAGGGGGGGGGGTGCAAATCGAAAACTTGAAAGTTTGTCCCCGGGAAGGTTCGCTACGCCTCTGGGGGTGACACCATTAAGTGCCGCACCGAGTGACACCCGACCTCGCTACGCCACTGACGGCAGGCTTTAGATTTTGTTTATTATATTAGAATTTGACTTATGTTAGGAATGGGAATAAAACAAGAAGTTAAGATGAAGACGTTTATCTGTTTTAGATATCTATACAATGTTAAGTAGCTAATCTTGAATTAAAAAAAAAATAAGTACTGGTCCCTCCTTAATGAACTGGTGGTAAGAAGAGAACAAGAGAGTACCTTGCAGGCGTCTTCCATGGCCTTTTTGTTTTCTTTAGCGGCACCTCCTAGAAACGCAACACTCAACACACCTCTGAAGAGAAGGAAAAGAAATTAATTTTTCTCTATACATGAAACTAGGGTGTGTTAAAATCTGAAAATCTAATGGACATCTCTATATTTCATAAGTTTCGGGCTTTTAAATTGGTATCATAGACTTCTGTTTAAGGCATCACTTATTTAACAATATAATAATTACGTGTTCATTGCTTAAGATATTAAAAGAAAAATAACAATATGGATGTTACCCTACCATTCTTATTTGCCATTTTTATCAAGCATGCTTTAGACCATACTTGATTATATCCCCACCCACCCCATTCCCTAGAGCAGGTAAAGGCAGCTTTGATAGTCCGACCCACCATCTCTAATGCAGTTGTTTATCACGAAGGTAAACTTCATACCCGACCATTACCAAAACACCATTGACGCGAGGCTCATGTTCATGATCGATACACCATCAAGCCACCTCTAACCTTGGCTACCATCAAGCCACCAATAATCGTGGCTACCATCAAGCCACCAATAACCGTGGCTACCATCAAGCCACCTCTAACCGTGGCTACCATCAAGCCACCACTAACCGTGGCTACCATCAAGCCACCTCTAACCGTGGCTACCATCAAGCCACCTCTAACCGTGGCTACCATCAAGCCACCTCTAACCGTGGCTACCATCAAGCCACCTCTAACCGTGGCTACCATCAAGCCACCTCTAACCGTGGCTACCATCAAGCCACCTCTAACCGTGGCTACCATCAAGCCACCACTATACGTGGCTACCATCAAGCCACCTCTAACCGTGGCTACCATCAAGCCACCTCTAACCGTGGCTACCATCAAGCCACCTCTAACCGTGGCTACCATCAAGCCACCTCTAACCGTGGCTACCATCAAGCCACCTCTAACCGTGGCTACCATCAAGCCACCACTATACGTGGCTACCATCAAGCCACCTCTAACCGTGGCTACCATCAAGCCACCACTATACGTGGCTACCATCAAGCCACCTCTAACCGTGGCTACCATCAAGCCACCTCTAACCGTGGCTACCATCAAGCCACCTCTAACCGTGGCTACCATCAAGCCACCTCTAACCGTGGCTACCATCAAGCCACCTCTAACCGTGGCTACCATCAAGCCACCACTAACCGTGGCTACCATCAAGCCACATGAACGGTATGATACCATCAAGACAAGACTCACGAAAGAATCATGAACGGTATGATACCATCACGACAAGACTCATGATAGAATCATGAACGGTATGATACCATCAAGACTCACGATAGAATCATGAACGGTATGATACCATCAAGACAAGACTCACGATTGAATCATGAACGGTATGATACCATCAAGACTCACGATAAAATCATGAACGGTATGAATGCCGCCAGTGCTAGAGCCAGTTGCCAGCCGAAGATGAGAGAGATGACGAAGCCCGTGCCGAGGTTGCCCACACTCAGCAGGATGCTGCCGACCAGCGTCTTCACCACCTGCAGATAGAAAAAAATTAAGTCAAATCATCTGCAGCATGCAAATGGAACTAGGAATAAATTTTGTTGTTTTTACTTTTGCAACGTCCCTGTCTTAGTGGCTTCTCTTTTTCACAAGTGCTTGCTATAATCAAAACTGCGAACCTTTGTGAAAGTTGCCTCCCTTTATATGAGTTATCTTTCCTTATACAAGTGTATACGTTTATCAATCCAGCTTATCCTTAAATCTTGCCTTTTTCGTATCAAAATTACCGTCCTTATCAAAGTTACTACCCTTATCAAAGTTAAATATTAAGGTCTCTATCAAAGTTAACGTCTCTATTAATGTTAACGTCCTTATCAAACTTTCACAACCTGAACATTGGAACATTGATGTGACTTACACTCAACAAAGTACCCTTCCCAGAACATTGATGTGACCTACACTTACCAAGTAACCTGTCATAACCTTAATGTGACTTACACTTAACAAACTAACACCAACTATTATGTGAACTCACTCACCCCCTGCACGACGGAAGCCTCCACGGCTAGTTGAGTACTCAGGATGCCAGTCTCATGCCTGTGGTCATCAAACCACGCGATGTTCTTGAGAGAGAAATCAAACTGAGGTTTTACATTTCTGACCACTTATTAGAACAATTAGTGAAATCTAGTCTAATTATACACCCAAGAACATATATAGTTTATATCTACTGCATGGAGTATTAAGTAGTTATAGGAAAATTAAGATGGATTCAACAGGAGCTAATAATTATTTAACGTGCATACCTTTCTTAGAATGCTTCTAAATAACAGATCTCTGATCCTCATAGTTAGCGCTTCCCCAGACAAACCAAACATGTAGTCCTGTAAGATTCATGGACACATTACGTTAGTCTCAATCAAATGTTTTGTTGGATAGCATAAGGCTCGTTGTTTTGGTGTAGCGGTACAATTATAGATAATATCTTCGGTTTCACAAAGAGCAACAGTTTATATAAATTTAGTTTGAGTTTATGTATCTTAAGGTGACGTGTTCACTAATAAACAAATGAATTGTCTCACTAATAAACAAATAAATTGAGATATGAAGGATCTATGGAAGACATGAAATCAAGGAACGTATACATGATAGATAAGGACTCCTGATGTAGAACACACTCCCATACATTTTATAAAGATGCCGTGGAAAGGGATATGGGAATCAGGGAATGACAAAGCACGCAGTGAGAAGAATATCAGCAAATGAATTTTGTTTCAGAAGTTTTGTCTCGGTCCTACACTCTAAGAGAGAAGTATGGCCTCAACCCTAGCTCCATATGAAGTGAAAATGTTAAATTTAAACTTACAATGATGGAAGAATTGTTTACCTGTAAAAAGAAAGTTATGAGACTTGCGAAGGCCACGCCCAGTGAATACAAACTCATGTCTCGCATGGTGTCTTTTTGGTCTTGCAAATCATCTTTAGAGAATGCCTGGAGAGATCACGTGATGTTTGAGTGGTGTGTGAGAGTTTTTGTAGGTGTCATGTGGTCTTCAATTTTTTTTTACTTATAAACCTACTTTAGAAGCTGCGCTAAGGATGATGGCCAATAAACAAGAAAACCTACTTTAATAACTTCATTAAATATGATGATCATTAAACAGACAAACCTACTTTAATAACTTCACTGAGTGAGATGATCAATAAACAAGACAAACTTACTTAAATAACTTCACTAAGTATGATGATCATTAGACAAACCTACTTTAATAACTTCACTAAGTATGATGATCATTAGACAAACCTACTTTAATAACTTCACTAAGTGAGATGGTCAATAAACAAGACAAACCTACTTTAATAACTTCACTAAGTATGATGATCATTAGACAAACTTACTTTAATAACTTCACTAAGTATGATGATCATTAGACAAACCTACTTTAATAACTTCACTAAGTATGATGATCATTAGACAAACTTACTTTAATAACTTCACTAAGTATGATGATCATTAGACAAACCTACTTTAATAACTTCACTAAGTGAGATGGTCAATAAACAAGACAAACCTACTTTAATAACTTCACTAAGTATGATGATCATTAGACAAACTTACTTTAATAACTTCACTAAGTATGATTATCATTAGACAAACCTACTTTAATAACTTCACTAAGTGAGATGGTCAATAAACAAGACAAACCTACTTTAATAACTTCACTAAGTATGATGATCATTAGACAAACTTACTTTAATAACTTCACTAAGTATGATTATCATTAGACAAACCTACTTTAATAACTTCACTAAGTGAGATGGTCAATAAACAAGACAAACCTACTTTAATAACTTCACTAAGTATGATGATCATTAGACAAACCTACTTTAATAACTTCACTAAGTATGATTGCCCATGCAGGCTGTAAGGCTCCATTGGTCAAGCTGGACAGACTCCCAAGGACAAGAAAGAACCACTCAGGTGAATTCATCTTGAGCAGTCTGCCAATGGTTGAAAGCGAGGACGCAGACAAGTCCAGTTCGTCTTCAACGTAGGCCATCTAATTAGTAAAACAAGAATAAAGTAATGCTAATATAGATGAAAAAAACTTGAGGTACATTCTCTTTGATTGATTTAAACAAATATGTCATGCATACAGGGATACAAAAATTGCGTTTAATTTTAATTGAATCGATTCCTACAGTAGTATTAATTTTATACCTGCTGTATATTAAAAAGTGATGTTGAAAAACATACCTTCAGAACTTGGTCGCCATAGTTACCGACAGATATTTCCAGTGGTTTAGCAACTGTAGTGTTTGTATCAGAGTCACCGCCACTTTCAGATTCTTCTGTTTAGTTAAGATTGTGTTTTGTAAAGTAATGAGAGCTGCTCCTTATCGGAACCATATATATATATATATATATATATATATATATATATATATATATATATATATATATATATATACATATATACATATACATACATATATATATATATATATAATCAGGGCCGGCGCTACCTATAAGGCGAACTAGGTGGTCGCCTAGGGCGCTGTCCGTAGGGGGGCGCCAAAATGGGTTGGAAAAACAAATTGATAGTTTGAGGGGGGTACAAATCGAAAGTTTGAGGGGGGTACAAATCGAAAGTTTAAGGGGGGTGCAAATCTAAAGTTTGTCCCCGGGCGCCTGGAAGGGGGCACTAAAAATTTGCGGGAGGGGGTGCGCTTTCAATAAGTTTTGCCTAGGGCGCTAAATAACCTGGCGCCGGCACTGTATATAATAAAATGTATTCACTGGTTTACTTACGTTTTCGAAGCTGTGGAAGAGATAGAGAGTGGTGGTGTTCATATTCATTTCAAAATAAATTTATAATACTAACAAATTATATCATATTCACAAATTCTATTTTTATCGTAGTGACCAATCTGGGACGGTGACCAGAAAGATGGGCGACGGAAATCTACGCACAAAAATACTGCGCAGGTGCATTATTGTTTTTTTAATCAAGCATGAATATACATTAATAGTTAATACATGTACATTGCAGCATAATATAACATATTTCCACGAAATATGACAAAATTAAAGTGTATTAGTATAATTAGTTTATATGTGCGCATTTTTCTGTTCGTGCAATTTTCCGTTGTGCAGTTTTCCATGTGCGCATTTTACTTCCTTAGAAACTATAGACTAGTCACGTGACTATAGACTAGTCACAAGAATAGAAAGTAGAAACTAGTTTCTTTTTATTAAAGACTAGTCAAATGACTAGAGACCACTCACATGACAAGAGACAACCTACCTGACTAGATACCAGGGTGAAATAAAATCCTTTCTTCGCCATCAATTGGTCGTGCGTCCCTTTCTCCTGAACCCTGCCCTTGTCCAGTACCACAATGACGTCAGCCTGTCTCACAGTGGACAGTCGGTGTGCTATAACAATAGTGGAGCGACCTTTGCTCGCCTAGAACAAAAACATGGACTATAACTATAGTGGAGCGACCTTTGCTGGCCTAGAACAAAAACATGGACTATATTAATAGTGGATCGATAAAACTTAATTCTTGAAAAAGTCACAAATTATATTGCTCTATTTTTATTGACAAAACGTTTTTCTCTAAAGAATTCAAATCGTTACTTTGAATTTCAGTACAAACTATCAAAAGTGTTTTATTTTGTTTCTTCTTCCGAAAGAAACATGGAGAAGATCAATGGAGAAAGTTAAAGGAGGAAGGCGTAGCAGCCCAACTGGCATAGGTTATAGCTAGAGACAAGACAAGTGGCGCTTACTTGTTGACGCCCCTTGCGCCGAAAAAAAAGATTTAAAATGCCCGCTTACGTAAATAAAAAAAAGCTCTAGTCCTATTTTAATAAATCCGTAAGATATTTTTTAAACAGCTTTTCAAATAGGATATACCAGTGTTCAGATAGGATATTTATAAATATTCAAAGTGTGGGTAAACATGACCGACCTCAGACTAAACCCACACAACAAAATCATAAGGCAAGTATAGCAGTAGAATTAACAAGGCAAGAGGAAAGAGTGAAGATAAAATGCCTGGAGAAGATCAGTCGAAAATGAGAGTGGAGGCTGGATTGACATGGTCTGAATTGAAGAGAATATCTATTTATAGGGTGCATGCGCAGAGCGGTCGTGCTTTATGCTGATTCGGAGCGAAAAGCCGTTAGATGAAGACATTGATGAAGCATTATTTTTGTTTTATTCAAAGAAAGGTGCAGTAAAAAGGTGCTTAAATTTCAGAGGAAGTTCATCAATCAAACATCGGACATTTTGGTATCTGCACCTTTTCTAACGCGTCCTGCACGACAGCCTCGCTCTGGTTGTCTAAAGCGGAAGTGGCCTCATCTAATAATAGAATTCTTGGATTCTTGACCAGAGCTCTGGCGATGGCGATCCTCTGTTTCTGGCCGCCGCTCAGCTGTGCGCCCCTCTCTCCCACGTGCGTGTCGAACCTCTGGGGAAAAAAATTGCTTCTTTTTTATTTTTGGTTAATTCAACAGAGAATTATCTAAAACAAATCAACTTGTCACAAGAAGTTGTTGATTACTACATAGTATTACAATGGAAATTAGCTAAAATAAACTGGTCGAAAAAAAACGAGAATTTGTATCGAACAAAAAATGGTATCCTCTGACATGGGTTCTGTTGTGTCGCAAAAGTTGATTGGAATTTATTTAGTTTAAATTGTTAAATTCTTAATGGTTACAATATTTTGTAAACAAAATTGTAATCGATGTTAAATTGTGATTGGGGTCACATTTTTATTTTATAAAAGTTCTGTGAAAATATGTTAACTTTATACAAATAAGTAATAATGCATGCTTTAAACAGTGAGTGAAGTAAACAGTGAGTGAAGTAATGTAATGACATTTCAATTTGGGTTTTATCTTGGTGGATTATCTCTTTCTTGTGAACATCTCAGTGGATTATCTAAATTACGTTTATTTCTCCCACGGATTATCTAAACAGTAGCTTACCCCGTGGGAGGATTAAGTCAACTATGAGCTCACCTCTGGCAAGTTCATGATGAAATCGTAAGCGTTGGCGTTCTTGCACGCTTGAACGATTTCCTCCATGGAGACCATCCCGTTGCCATACCGGATGTTCTCTAGAATTGTCGTGGCAAAGAGCACGGGCTCCTGGCCAACTAAACCAATGCTTCGTCTCAGCCATTTTACGTTCATGTCTCTGATATCAATGTCGTCAAGAGTTATCTGGCCAGATATTAGGAGGATAATTGTATAGCTATATATATATACATATATATATATATATATATATATATATATATATATATATATATATATATATATATATATTATAGCCTTATAATATATATATATATATATATATATATATATATATATATATATATATATATATATATATATATATATATATAGTATATTTTATTTATTGTTGTATTTATTATGCGCATATTTCAGCACTGTCAACAGTCTTTGGTTGCCCAAGTGTTACCTTCCCAATGTTGGGGTCATAGAATCGCAGCAACAGTTGGATCAGTGTGCTCTTGCCACAACCACTTGAACCCACGAGCGCTACCGTCTGACCTGGGTTGATGGTCAGGTCAAGGCCATTTAATATCTGAAACAAAAATCAAATAGCATCTGTATTAGTAGTTATGACTGATCTTCATATTAGTAAATAAACAAATAAACGATATCATGAATATACACCAACCATATAGTTGCATATAAATATACGCATATATACAAGTACACGTACACACACATGAAACATACCTTGACTGAATCTCTGCTTGGGTAGTTAAAATGTACGTTCTGAACTTGTATTCGCCCCGTGATGGTCGCAGGTTTTAAGCCCTCTGTTGATGAGCTGTCAATATTTGAGATCTGAAAAAAAATTGTTTCGTTTCGTTGAGTCTGGATGATCATACGCTTCCGTGTTTTACACTGAACACCAAAACAAAAGTAAAACCAGTGTCAAAAGAGAATCTGGTCTTACCCGGTCTATCAACCGAAAGACGTCGTAGGCGGCTCCTCTGCCTACATTGATGGTGACGATGGAGGGTGCGGCGAGCCCCAGGGAGAGACAGGAGATGAAGGTTGTGAAAAATACCTGGAAAATAATTCTTGGAAATCTCAATTCAATACAAAACTGCATTAAATTAAGGTTAGGATACTGGTTAGGGTATCGTTATTGGTGATATTATTTGTCTGATTGGATATTCGATGAGGACCATTACATGTGTTAGTAAAGAACCCTTTTAGACAAGAAAACTCATTAATACTAATGACATCGGTATAGAAAGTGATTGGTTGATTCTATGTACATCCGCTCTAATTACATATTAAACATGGATAGGTTCAAAGGCATCTGACGACTCTACCCCGAGAACCAAACTCAAAACCACCTCATATTTTTCTCAAAGAAAATATTAACTCAACGTAACTGAACTATTGAGTCGATTTTTTTTTATTTTAGTAACGAAGTAATTCAAAATGTAAAATTTTAATGGTATATTTTTCATGAATGTACCGTCATCATATCCTTGACCTCGTAGTCGCCATGCCTGACCAGTCTGCCTCCGTACCAGAATCCAAGAGCCCAATTGCAGAAGATAATGAACCACATCATACCTTGACCCAAGCCGCCCATCAAACTTTTCCTAATGCCAAACTTCCGGGCGTCGGAAAGACTGGCAATGTACCTGGTAGGTCAATACAAATGTAGACGTCACAACACGTAGGATTACCTGGCTTATCAAAATATACATTTTAGTTACACTAGGTACCTGATGAATAAAAATATACAATAAGTAGATCTACTTGTATATTTAACATACGTAGTAATACATGTATGTCGATAACATTATAAATGAATGGATTTTTAAAACTAAGATTAGTCTTTCGAAATAAGTGCTTTGTCTATCATACCATATCACTAGGGTTTTGTTGTAAAATATACATAGAGGTTCTAAAATCGTGTTATATATATTAATACAACTGTAAAGTATAGATTTCTGGTGTGGTCCATGTCTGTGGGATAGGTTATAAGATCAAAGTAAATTAACTTGGAAAATATTTAGGTCGTAGTCGCTTTCAAACGGCAACCCCATTTTCGGGTATTTTTTTGCATATCCATTATTCAAACAGAAGTGTAACTATAACAAAACATTTTTTAAATGTAGAACTTTAGGCTACTATGCTTGAGCCTATCGCTCAGTTTCATTTCAACTAGCTAACAAATTTATTCAGTGTGGATATCAAGAACATTTAGCTTGTAAACAGCTGCATAATGTCAACACCATGACACATGTTTAATACACAGTGGCAATTATAAGCAATGTGTGGCCATAAAACTTGTGTCATTGTGCCATATAAAAGGTGTGTATTTGCCCATACAAACTGTAGATATGCGGTGATAAAATTGCTATGTATTTGACGATAATTAACGTTATGTATGACATAAAACATGTGTCATTGTGCCCAGTGGCGTAGCGAGGTCGGGTGTCACGCGGTGCGGCACTTAATGGTGTCACCCCCCAGAGCGCGGGGACAAACTTTCAATTTTCGATTTGCCCCCCCCCCCCAAACTTTCGATTTGCACCCCCACCCCCTCTAATTTTTCTCTTTATATTTTGCTATTTTTTGCCTTGGTGTCAACCCCCCTAAATGGTGTCACCCGGTGCGGTCCGCACCCCCCGCCCCCCCCCCCCCTCGCTATGCCTCTGTGCCATATAAAAGGTGTGTATTTGCCCATAAAAATTGTAGATATGCGGTGATAAAATTGTTATGTATTTGACGATAATTAACGTTATGTACCGGCGCCATGCAAGTTTATCTTAAGACTCAGTAATGTATTTCACATTAACTCAGTGCATACGAAAAACAGCGCTGGTCTGCTCTTGCCCCATGTTAAACATGGTAGGTGTAAAGCCACTTTACAGCAGTGGTTCTTAAGTTGGGTTCGATCCAACCCCAGGGGTTCGGAGAGTCGGTCTCATGGGTTCGGCATAGGTCAAGACACACGCCCAACTCACGATTCACGATCGGATTTTTGTCAGTGTGGATGATACAACTATTAAGAGAGGTTAGGTGGATGTGCTTATAAACCTGCTGGGGTTCGGTGGTTGTGCTTATAAACCTCGTGGGGTTGGGTGGTTGAGCTTATAAAACCTGATGGGGTTCGGTGGCAGAGGCGTAGCGACCCTTCCCGGCGCCCGGGGACATACTTCCAATTTGGCGCCCCCTCGAGAGCAAATTTTCGATTTGCACCCCCCCCCCCCCTCGAACTTTTCATTTGCACCCCACCCCCTCAAACTTTCAATTTGGCGCCCCCCCTAAGGTCGGCGCCCGGGGACATATGTCCCCCCCCCCCGCCCCCCCCCCCCCTCGCTACGCTACTGTTCGGTGGTTGTGCTTATAAACCTGCTGGGGTTCGGTGGTTGTGCTTATAAACCTGCTGGGGTTCGGTGGTTTTGCTTATAAGCCTGGTGGGGTTCGGTACCTCAAAAAAAAGTTGAGAACCACTACGCTGGATCTATTTCTAGTTGTCGCCGACATACATATGTTGTCCATAAAGTGACAGATGTATCAGATATCGTTATGCATCGCTAATTGGAGAGGTTGTATTTCAAAACGTTTGACTTGCTAGTGACCTCAGGTTAATTAAGTTAACTGTGCTTGGACGTGGGAGTAAGCAGGGCGGCCGGTTAATTCATGTAAAGTGCCAACACGGGGGGGGGGGGGGGGGGGGGGGGTTGGGACTGGCTGTGTTAAAGCGGCCCTTTCCCGACAAATTTTCATATTGCGTTGTTTTTTATCCAAACCTAAGGACCTATGCATACAAAGTTACGGGCCACTTTACAATTTCAAATATACAATAATAATAAAACTAACAATAGGAAAGGTTTATTAAATAAAGATATTTAATTTAAATATTAAATTACTAATAGGCTCAATACGTAATGATCCTGGCTGCCCACCAGTTTTTTCCCCCCACACACTGGCTTTTCCCTCCACACACTAGCTTTTTCCCCACACATACCGGCTTCCCCCTTCCCCCCCCCCCCCCCACCACCACCGGCTTTTTCCTCCACACACTGGGATTTTTCCCACATACGCGAGGATTTTTCTCGGTGTCCCGGCGGCTCGCCCCACCTTTGATTACCTGAAATTTTTCTTTATTCAAAGTAGATTCTAATGCAACGGTTAACTTTATATAGTATTTTCTTTTTTTTTACAGGGCAGGTAAAATTTGTGACGTTCTTTTCTTCTGGCACTTGATGTTTTTTGTAATGTCAGTGAACCAGGTGATAAAGTAGGTTACAGTCCCCCACCCCTCTCCTTCACTAGCGTGTACTCACCTCTTGGCCTCTTTGTCCTGACCCCCAAACGCGTGCACGGTCCTGATGGAAGACAAAACCTCCTCCGCCACCGTCCCTGCCTTAGAGTAAGCCACCCTCTCCTTGGCTGTCATGGTCGAGAAAAACTGTACCAACATTATGGGAGGAAAAGTAAATGATTTATTATAGTTGGTCTATAGCAGATTATAGGCAGCTTACAGCTGATTATAAGTAGTCTATAGTAGATTATAGGCAGTCTATAGCAGTTTATAGGCAGTCTATATAAAAGTATAAGCAGTTTATAGCAGATAATATGGAGCTTATAGCAGATTGAGTCCCGTCAATTAACATACACGCTCAAAAAAAAAGGGGGGGGGAGGGTGGCAAACAACTTGACACTTTAACTGAAAAAGCATTTTAAAAGCAACATTAACACTAACTATACAAAATCAATACATCTGTAGGCTAGTCGAACCACTAATTAACAAGTAAATGTTACTGCAGAGAGAGACCTAGTGGTCTGATCGTGTAAACTTTATCGCTTTTGTCTACCCTTAAAGTCTAGTAATTCATTTTTATTGTATACCAGTTTAACACCTAGTAGATAAAAGGCATTTACAAACACACACAAATATATATATATATATATATGTATATATAGGCCTTATATATATATATATATATATATATATATATATATATATATATATATATATATATATATATATATATATATGTATATATATATATATATATATGCCTATATATATATATATATATATATATATATATATATATATATATATATATATATATATATATATATATATATATATATATACATATATATATATATATATATATATATATATATATAGGCCTATATATATATATATAGGCCTATATATATATATAGGCCTATATATATATATATATAGGCCTATATATATATATATATATATATATATATATATATATATATATATATAGGCCTATATATCGATGGTCTCGGTCGCAAACCGTCTAACTCAGAAAATGTAAATTTTACAGGAGAGACAAAAAACTGATTATTTCCTTCTCGATCGCTCTAATACACATTTTTTTTAAAGATATCTCCGAAGAAACTCTCTACCTACTATACTGTAGCGTTTTAAAATGGATTTTGTTGATATTTACAAAACTATAGCAGGTTTTAAAAGATAGACGGTTTGTTCGGTCTAAAATTCTCGGTGCAAACCGTCTATCTGTGCGCGCGCAGACTTAGCTGTTTTGAGCCGAGAATTTCGGTCTCAGCCGCGTTCGTTCGTTTTGTTTAATGAACGTGATTTAGTTATGTTTATGTTTTTAAGTTATAATTAACACTTTATAATATTTAGATTGTAGTTTTGGGCTCATATTTTAATTATTTGAGTTTATTCTACATTATGGGGTCAGTTTAATTTTTAATACAGATGTTTTAGTATGGCTTTATCGTTTTCGAGTGTATTCTTTATGTCTGTATTTAGTACTAGACTTGTTAACTGTTGAAGGTTATGCTTTATTTATTACATCTTTCTATTCTCACAGTTTATTTTACTAAATCTGGTGGGTGCTGGGTCACATAAAGAAACATTAAAATGGCAACATATTTTTAAAATCAGGGAAATCATCATAAAAAGGTGTGTTTATGACTTGCTTTTGAGTGCTCAAATATGACAGCTTTTATCTTTTTTTTCTGCTCTTGTGCAACTTGACAGGGGCTACAGATGAGATCATAATCTTACGACCCTAGCGTAGCAATTGCCAGCTATCTGCTAATTCACTTTGAAGTAGATAGTAGCATCAGGCTTGTACTGCAGTGCACGAATATCTGTCGCTTTGAATTCTTGATAGGTCTGACTGGTCTTTTGAGATCGGCTGGTCTCTTGTATGGTAAGACTGGTCTATTTGAGAGAGGTTGGTGTCTATTGTCTGTTATGTGAGGCTGGTCTATTGTATCTTACGACTGATCTGTTGAGAAAGGCTGGTGTATTGTATGGTAGGATTGGTGTGTTGAGAGAGGCTTGTCTATTGTAGGATAAGACTAATCTTTTGAGAGAGGCTGGTCTCTTGTATGGTAAGAATGGTCTGTTGAGAGAGGCTCTTATCTTGGAGGGTAAGATTGGTCAGTTGAGATAGATTGGTCTTTTGTATATTACGACTGGTCTGCTGAGAGTTACTGGTGCCTTAATGTTACGACTGGTCTGTTTTGAAAGGCTGGTCTGTTGAGAGATGCTGGTGCCTTTACGATTTGTTAGTTGACAGATGCTGGTGTCTTGTATGGTAAGACTGGTCTGTTGAGAGAGACTCATATGTTGAGAGGCTGCTCTGTTGAGATACGCTGATCTGTTGAAAGAGGCAGATATGTCAAGAGAGGCTGGTCTATTGATAGAGACTGGTCTGTTGAGAGAGGCTGGTATGTTGAGAGAAGCTGGTCTGTTGAGAGAGGCTGGTCTGTTGAGAGAGACTGATATGTTGAGAGAGGCTAGTCTTTTGAGAGAGGCTAATCTGTTGAGAGAGGCTGGTATGTCGAGAGGCTGGTCTGTTGAGAGAGGCTGATCTGTTAAGAAAGGCTGGTCTGTTGAGAGAGGCTGGTCTGTCGAGTGAGGCTGATCTGTTAAGAAAGGCTGGTCTGTTGAGAGAGGCTGGTCTGTCGAGTGAGGCTGGTATGTTGAGAGAGGCTGGTCTGTTGAGAGAGGCTGGTCTGTTGAGAGAGGGTGGTCTGTTGAGAGAAGCTGGTCTGTTGAGAGAGGCTGGTCTGTTGAGAGAGGCTGGTCTGTTGAGAGAGGCTGGTCTGTTATGTGGTAAGACTGGTGTGTTGAGAGAGGCAGGTCTGTTGAGAGAGGCTGGTCTGTTGAGAGAGGCTGGTTTGTTGAGAGAGGCTGGTCTGTTGAGAGAGGCTAGTCTTTTGAGAGAGGCTAATCTGTTATGTGGTAAGACTGGTGTGTTGAGAGAGGCAGGTCTGTTGAGAGAGGCTGGTCTGTTATGTGGTAAGACTGGTGTGTTGAGAGAGGCAGGTCTGTTGAGAGAGGCTGGTCTGTTGAGAGAGGCTGGTCTGTTGAGAGAGGCTGGTCTGTTGAGAGAGGCTGGTCTGTTGAGAGAGGCAGGTCTGTTGAGAGAGGCTGGTCTGTTGAGAGAGGCTGGTCTGTAGAGAGAGGCTGGTCTGTTGAGAGAGGCTAGTCTTTTGAGAGAGGCTAATCTGTTATGTGGTAAGACTGGTGTGTTGAGAGAGGCAGGTCTGTTGAGAGAGGCTGGTCTGTTATGTGGTAAGACTGGTGTGTTGAGAGAGGCAGGTCTGTTGAGAGAGGCTGGTCTGTTGAGAGAGGCTGGTCTGTTGAGAGAGGCTGGTCTGTTGAGAGAGGCTGGTCTGTTGAGAGAGGCTGGTCTGTTGAGAGAGGCTGGTCTGTTGAGAGAGGCTGGTCTGTTGAGAGAGGCAGGTCTGTTGAGAGAGGCTGATATGTTGAGAGGCTGGTCTGTTGAGAGAGGCTGGTATGCTGAGAGAGGCTGGTATGTTGAGAGAGGCTGGTGTGTTGAGAGAGGCTGGTATGCTGAGAGAGGCTGGTATGTTAAGAGAGGCTGATATGTTGAGAGAGGCTGGTATGTCGAGAAAGGCTGGTGTGTTGAGATAGGCTTGTCTGTTGAAAAATTAATCATAAAAGCATCTACTAAAAACATGTACGCCAAACATTTTGTAACCTACCATATAAACATTTCTTAACACGTATCTAAACCCTCAATCTAAAGCTAGTAGTGAATTAACAATTATTAAATTTATTGCACATTCTTGTGGAAATATAATTCGAATTATATTGTTTTGATTGATATTTAGATTCTAGAATGAAGATCTAGTTTCAAAGCATTGTGTTAGCCTAAAAAAATGTAAACAAATCAGTTTGGTTATTGAAAATCTGAAAATAGGCAATATTAAACAAATACTATTTGTTTATTATTTTTAAAAATGATAAAATGTAATAGAATAGTTTAACATAATTAATCAAATATCCTTACCTATAAGTACTGTGACTGCTGTGTTGTAAAATTGTGTGAATACGGCGTGCGACTGCGTTCCCGATCAAAAGTGTACTGACAAATATAGCGATATTCGTTTTGCGCCGAGATTTTTAGCGCTAGAAATAATAGGCGGTTTGTTCAAATGATTATATCTCAATAATCATTCTACAGATTTCTCTAATATTTTCAGGCATTATGGGGAATCATATTGGCTTTTGTTTTATGTAAAAAAAAGAAAATCGAATTTTTTTGAGTTAGACGGTTTGCGACCGAGACCATCGATATATATATATTTACATGCACACATACGAGGCCTTAAATAGCTACGAGACAACTAGTTTGTAGCACTTAATGGCAGAGTGAATAAACCAAAACATGTCAGCCCGTACATAGCCTATCGTGCCAGCCGACAAGAACAGGATGGGACTGGAGATCTGCAGGATCAGGGTCAGCTCCCACCCAAAGATGTAGCTGATGATGGCGCCGCCCAAAAATGAGGAGAACCACTGTAGGGCTGTGCCACCCTTGTCACCAATGGCGTCGTGAATCTTTGAGATGTCGCTGTGTGGGGAAGAAGAAAATAAATTGTTAAATACTTCTAACACGAAACTAGGTAGGTCAAAACATTCTGTGAAGCAGAAGCAGCCGGAATGTCGTGATCAGCTGGAAGGAATCACGCAGAACCGAACACGAGGGAGAGATGTGGTTTCGTTCCTATGCTCCACAAGGGGTCCATAGGCATGACTGATGATGATGATGATAATGATGATGATGATGATGATGATGATGATGATGGTGGTGGTGGTGATGATGATGATGTTGATGTTGATGTTGATAATGATGATGATGATGATGACAATGATGGTGATAATGATGATGATAATTATGATGATGATGATGATGATGATGATGATGATAATTATAATGATAATGATGATGATGAAACACTTCTAAACATGTTTTTTGTGTCGAAAGTCAAGAGCTTATATGTTAAACATTTATCATAAGTTGTGTTTGCTTCGCTGCTTCTCCATTAGAGTAGAGAGAGGGATGGTTCAAAAGTCGTTACTGAATGTAAAACAAAACGAACATCTTTCAGTGGCTAGTGTGAGAAAACATAGAAACATAAAAATTCATCCCCCCCCCCCAACTCACACACACAAACACATACAAGCGCTCGTTAGACCAGGGATATGGTAACGCCCATAATTAGAATATGGTAAACTTTAGCTTAGTGATGAGCTATGTTTTTGGGCAACAATTTAGGATCCACTAAACATTATATCACTTTTGCAAGTACCTGGTCGCATTTTAAACCATCAAACCCGTGGTACTAAATGAACTAACGAACTAACTCAGTCACATCTTTCCAATGTTGTAAAAATACTAAGTTACCTATTAAACTACCAGTCTCATGCCAACAATGTGAAAACAACGTGATTATCCTGACTCACTCGGTTAACTTGACAGAAATTTCTCCGGCTGAGTGGGAGTCGAACCAGGACAGTTCCTGTTTCATGACGTTCTGAAAGAAGGCCAGCCTCATCCTGATGATCTGCCGTTCAGACGAGAGAATGAAGAGGTAGATCTGAAGGAAGCCGGCGATCATCACCACGACACCACTCACTGGGAGAGGGGAGAAAATTTACATTACGTGTGCTGGTAAGTTACAATGTATGTGCTAACTACATATAAAATAATAAAGGTACATGTACATCTATTGTATATTTATACATGTATATACATATATATACATATATATAGGCCTATATATATATAAATAAATATATATATATATATATATATATATATATATATATATATATATATATATATATATATATATATATATATATATATATATATATGTGTGTGTGTGTGTGTGTGTGTATAGACCCCATATAGACCATTATGTATATAATATTATATATATAATATTATTTATATATATATATATATATATATATATATATATATATATATATATATATATATATATATATATATATATACAAATGTCTTATTTTGTCTGTTATATCCAATTAGTAAATAGCATTTTACTTACCAATATATGTAACTGCCATATCCTTCATTTCATCAAAAACATTGTCAAAATCATCTACTTTGGAGCAATCTATTGACTCATTGAAGATGATGTTCAGCTTTGTGCAATATGGCCTTAATGTGTATGTGCAGAATTATGCAACGCATTAAATAAATTATCAGCCAGCAAAAACCAAGTGTTTAATAGCTAGCAGATAAACATGGAAAATATGTGTATCAAAATTTCTTAATGTGTGCATGTACGAATACCATATAAGTAATCCTCACTTAAGGTACAATAAAAAAAAACTAATTCTAATTATTATTTTTAAATCACTGAAAATTTGTTAAATAAGTTACATTTTTTTCTTCTAAAATTATGTTCCAACTAACTAGAAAATTACAGATATATGTGGGGGGATAAGTAAAAATATTTAAAATTATGATTAGAGTAAAAAAAAAAAATCTTTGAAGACTACGTATTTGGTAAGTGACCAACTCACTTGAATATCTCAATGTCCGTGGCTAACTCATTCCTGGTCTTGTTTAATAACAGCAAGATCCCCGGGTATTTATCTAGAAGGTTTTCGTATTTCCCTTGGTCGACGAAGTCTTGTATGGTTCCAGCGAAGAAGACAATCAGCATTGGCCAGCCCATGCCATTCACGATAGCCGACAGGGAACCGACGAGTATAAGAACCACGTCCAATTTGCTGGCGTAACGGAACTGGGGATGAGATCGTTTGAAGAGTTTCTTTCAGGCATCTCTTCGGGGGCCAAAGAAAGTCAACAGAACCTCCCCCCCCCCCCCCCGAACGAAACAGAATTTATACAGGAAGTATATACTTTTACCAATGTCCACCCACCCCTGACCCGAAAAAGTTTAGTTTCCAAATCATAAGTCACTAAACAATTTTGAATTACTAAACAACATTAAATCCCTAAACAATACTAAGTCAATCGAAAACATTAAATCACTTAACAATACTACGTCACTCAACAACATTAAATCACTTAACAATACTAAGTCACTCAACAAATTTAAATCACTTAACAATACTAAGTGACTCAACAACATTAAATCACTTAACAATACTACGTCACTCAGCAACAATAAATCATTTAACAATACTACGTCACTCAACAACATTAAATCCAACATTAAGTTATCCAACAACATTGAGTCATCCAACAATCTTGAGTCATCCAACAACATTGTGTCAAACCCAACAAATCTTGAGTCACACCCAACAAATCGTGTGTCACACCCAACAAATCTTGTGTCAAACCCAACAAATCTTGAGTCACATCCAACAAATCTTGAGTCACACCCAACAAATCGTGTGTCACACCCAACAAATATTGAGTCACACCCAACAAATATTGAGTCACACCCAACAAATCGTGTGTCACACCCAACAAATATTGAGTCACACCCAACAAATCGTATGTCACACCCAACAAATATTGAGTCACATCCAACAAATCTTGAGTCACACCCAACAAATCTTGTGTCACACCCAACAAATCTTGAGTCACACCCAACAAATCGTGTGTCACACCCAACAAATCTTGAGTCACACCCAACAAATCGTGTGTCACACCCAATAAATCTTGAGTCACACCCAACAAATATTGAGTCACATCCAACAAATCTTGAGTCACACCCAACAAATCGTGTGTCACACCCAACAAATCTTGAATCACACCCAACAAATCTTGTGTCACACCCAACAAATCTTGAGTCACACCCAACAAATCTTGAGTCACATCCAACAAATATTAAGTCACATCCAACAAATCATGAGTCACACCCAACAAATCTTGAGTCACATCCAACAAATCTTGTGTCACACCCAACAAATCTTGAGTCACATCCAACAAATCTTGTGTCACACCCAACAAATCTTGAGTCACACCCAACAAATCTTGAGTCACACCCAACAAATCTTGTGTCACACCCAACAAATCTTGTGTCACACCCAACAAATATTGAGTCACACCCAACAAATCGTGTGTCACACCCAACAAATCTTGAGTCACACCCAACAAATCTTGAGTCACACCCAACAAATCTTGTGTCACACCCAACAAATCTTGTGTCACACCCAACAAATCTTGTGTCACACCCAACAAATCTTGTGTCACACCCAACAAATCTTGAGTCACACCCAACAAATCTTGTGTCACACCCAACAAATCTTGTGTCACACCCAACAAATCTTGTGTCACACCCAACAAATCGTGTGTCACACCCAACAAATCGTGTGTGACACCCAACAAATCGTGTGTCACACCCAACAAATCTTGAGTAACACCCAACAAATCTTGAGTCACACCCAACAAATCTTGTGTCACATCCAACAAATCTTGTGTCACACCCAACAAATCTTGAGTCACACCCAACAAATCTTGAGTCACACCCAACAAATCTTGAGTCACACCCAACAAATCCTGTGTCATACCCAACAAATCTTGAGTCACATCCAACAAATCTTGAGTCACACCCAACAAATCTTGTAATCTTGAGTCACATCCAACAAATCTTGAGTCACACCCTACAAATCTTGTAATCTTGAGTCACACCCAACAAATCTTGAAATCTTGAGTCACACCCAACAAATTTTGAGTCACACCCAACAAATCTTGAGTCATCCAACAATCTTAAGTCACACCCAACAAATCTTGAGTCACACCCAACAAATCTTGAGTCACATCCAACAAATCTTGAGTCACACCCAACAAATCTTGAGTCACACCCAACAAATCTTGAGTCACACCCAACAAATCCTGTACTCACCAGCTCAAAGAAACCAACTCGTGGTGCCTTTGTCTTTTTGGGCTCCTCTTGTGTTTCTGTGCCATCGTATCTGGTGTGAGAACCGTTGGTGATTAGATGTAGTCTGTCTTGTTTTGTATCATGTCCGTTTGGCTGCTCTGTAGAGTTAGTGTTGGCGTTTGAATTTAAAGAAAAAAATATTATTGAATTAACAGGAGAGTGGAGGGGTCTGATTTTTTTAAAGTTATCGAAATCGAGTTTTGTGAGATAGGGGGTGTTTATTTATTAATAATTGATTTCTAATATCATATAAGTATTGATTAACAAATAATGATTTTCGGATTTGAGTTTGTTTATTGCGTTTTGTTGTCGTTGTTTTTTTTTGATGTGGGAGGACGTGTTAAATCTACATCTAGCTCAATTTTTTTTTCTGTGTTGATGTTGTTGTTTTTTTTGTTATTGTTTTTTTTAACAGAAAGAAATCGGGAAAAGAAGGTAGGTTTGGATAAGGAACGCATGAAGAAAACCACAAAACAGTTTCAGACGGGCATTGAAGTGGAAACACCACAAAGAATTGCACCTGGGACAAAAGTGAAAGAACTTTTAATTTATACGATTTATTTATTTCTCAACTTAAACAGTGTCTTTTGTTAACCTATTATCCAAGTGAATATTTCTTTATTACCTTCTTCTGAAAAATGTTTTTTCCCATCAAATGACATTGTATTTAATCCAAAAACAAGTTCACTCCTTACAGAATAAAATTCTAATGAATAAGACTATCCTAATAGTTGACTAAACAGACGATACATCCATACTTTGAAGGTTCAATAAATTTTTTACAGCATTAAAATATCACATGAAAAAATTGTGCGGTGTCACTTGAACTGTTTTAAAATACGCATCTGTAATCTGAGTAGATGATGGAACATTTTAGTGGCTGGATCGTTTAAGCTGTCGTCAACATAGAACGATGGATCGTGTTGCATGGTTTGGCTTTTTCAAAGGTAAGGCTCGGAATGGTCAACTTCTAAAGAAGATATATATATATATATATATATATATATATATATATATATATATATATATATATATATATATATATATATATATCAGCTTCTATGATAGGTCGTAGTTTAATTAAGCCGGGGCAAGCATGGGTAACATCTATCGGGGGGGGGGGGCATGGTTAACATCTAAAGTGAGGCATGGATAACCTCTATGGTGAAGTATGGTTAACCACTATGTTGGGACGTGGCTGACCCCTATGTTGGGACGTGGCTGACCCCTATGTTGGGACGTGGCTGACCCCTATGTTGGGACGTGGCTGACCCCTATGTTGGGACGTGGCTGACCCCTATGTTGGGACGTGGCTGACCCCTATGTTGGGACGTGGCTGACCCCTATGTTGGGACGTGGCTGACCCCTATGTTGGGACGTGGCTGACCCCTATGTTGGGACGTCACTAACTTCTATGTTGGGACGTGACTAACCTCTATGTTGGGACATGGCTGACCCCTATGTTGGAACGTGGCTGACCCCTATGTTGGGACGTGGCTGACCCCTATGTTGGGACGTGGCTGACCCCTATGTTGGGACGTGGCTGACCTCTATTTGGGACGTGGCTGACCCCTATGTTGGAACGTGGCTGACCCCTATGTTGGAACGTGGCTGACCCCTATGTTGGGACGTGGCTGACCCCTATTTTGGGACGTGACTAACCTCTATGTTGGGACGTGGCTGACCCCTATGTTGCGACGTGGCTGACCCCTATGTTGGGACGTGACTAACCTATATGTTGGGACGTGGCTGACCCCTATGTTGGAACGTGGCTGACCCCTATGTTGGGACGTGGCTGACCCCTATGTTGGGACGTGGCTGACCCCTATGTTGGGACGTGGCTGACCTCTATGTTGGGACGTGGCTGACCCCTATGTTGGAACGTGGCTGACCCCTATGTTGGGACGTGGCTGACTCCTATTTTGGGACGTGACTAACCTCTATGTTGGGACGTGGCTGACCCCTATGTTGGAACGTGGCTGACCCCTATGTTGGGACGTGGCTGACCCCTATGTTGGAACGTGGCTGACCCCTATGTTGGGACGTGGCTGACCCCTATGTTGGGACGTGGCTGACCCCTATGTTGGGACGTGGCTGACCTCTATGTTGGGACGTGGCTGACTCCTATGTTGGAACGTGGCTGACCCCTATGTTGGGACGTGGCTGACCCCTATGTTGGGACGTGGCTGACCCCTATGTTGGGACGTGGCTGACCTCTATGTTGGGACGTGGCTGACCCCTATGTTGGAACGTGGCTGACCCCTATGTTGGGACGTGGCTGACTCCTATTTTGGGACGTGACTAACCTCTATGTTGGGACGTGGCTGACCCCTATGTTGGGACGTGGCTGACCCCTATGTTGGAACGTGGCTGACCCCTATGTTGGGACGTGGCTGACCCCTATGTTGGGACGTGGCTGACCCCTATTTTGGGACGTGACTAACCTCTATGTTGGGACGTGGCTGACCCCTATGTTGGGACGTGGCTGACCCCTATGTTGGGACGTGACTAACCTCTATGTTGGGACGTGGCTGACCCCTATGTTGGGACGTGGCTGACCCCTATGTTGGGACGTGGCTGACCCCTATGTTTGGACGTGGCTGACCCCTATGTTGGGACGTGGCTGACCCCTATGTTTGGACGTGGCTGACCCCTATGTTGGGACGTGGCTGACCCCTATGTCGTGTTGAAACGTAACTAACCCCTATGGCAGGGCAGTTTTACTGCCAAGTAAACCTTTTTTGGTCCAAGTTCCTTATTCAAACTTGACGGCCCATGTGGCAAGTGGAGCTCACATCAGAGGCGTATTCAGGTTGTCGTTGTAGGGGGAGCGAAAAGAGCAAAAAAAAAAGGCTCCGAATTTTTAACCCGTTCAATATACGTGTATTATATATATATATATATATATATATATATATATATATATATATATATATATATATATATATATATATATATATAATTACTAGTTGTATGTCATTACTTCGCTATGATGTAAAATAAAATTGTTTAACACTATTCGTGTTTACAAAATGTTTTGTCTATAATCAGAATTTAATATATCGTCATCATAAATGCTAAAGTTTTACAGCATAATGAAATTTTTTAAAATCAGAGTTGGTATAAAACCACAATTTTCGATATAATTGAAAAACACTCGGAATAACAGCCTACATTTAACGAAATGTTGGTCTTTTAGTTCAGATCATATATTTTTAATTAACTACTGCTTCTTTGTGTTCTTTAAAGATCATTTTTTTTTAACATGGTGATAGGTATGGTTAGATCACTGTATTGATCACACACCTTTTTACTGGTACTTGCAAAAAAAATATTCACAGAGTTTTACGTTTAAAAAGCTAATTTTCTGGCGGCATGGTACTTTGGTACATCATGATGCGTTTTTCTACATGTACTTAACAAATCAGTCCGGGGTGGGTTGGGGGGGGGGGGGGGGGTCACCTTCATTCACCACTGTCCGGTCACTTTAGGTCAATTATCCAACCCAGTGTATACCTAGGTGTGACATTAATGTCGCTCTACACAATTGTGGTGCTGAGGTGTATGGGGGGGGGAGAGATAACCAACTCAGAAAGAACATAGCGTCAGTGTTTAGATGACTGTTCTAAACATACATATATATTACACAAATATATATTACACAAATACATATTACAGAAATAGATTTTAATAAGTAGCAGTGGTATTATGACAATATTTTTTTACAGAGGGGTCCATGGGGGAGGGGGGTTGTAACTGTTTCATATAATTTGTAATCGTAATCACTATCGCCCAAACTGTAAGAATACTACTACTTCATCGTGATGACGTTATTGACCTTGTCAAAATTTCCCCACCACTACGCAGTTTGCTCATAAGTAAATATAAATAGAGGTGCCACATCAGCTGTTTCTGTATTGTAATTTTTTCAAAATTAATCACACGATACAAACTGTATATATATTAAGTAATTATGTGTGCAGTTTTATGTATAACATTTTCTAATTCAATCATTCGTAAACAAATACATTATACAGTTGCCTTAAACTTAACACCCCTCTTGCCAAGTGGTACTACCCGTAGATGTTTTTTAAACATTGCAATGCATCGTAATGGTTATTTTTAGAATGGCAAACTGATGCAGCTGTTAATACATATTGTAAAGGTAGACACTACTAGACTATTACAATAATGCTTAATTGCTGCATGAAAAGAAATCTTGTGATTTACATAGATGTGCCGACCAAAAATATTTTTTTAACAAATATCATTTTTTAAATCTTTGAGTTTTAAAAGTTTCCAAAAAGGCGCCACTTTGCTGAAAATGGCCAGAGGGGGAGCGGCCGCTCCCCCTGCTCCCCCCTGCGTACGCTACTGGCTCACATGTCTTGTGACCTCGGCATATGAAGGAATAGTGTGGTCAGCACTATGCCCTGCCGCTTTTATTTTCCCTAACGTGAGTCAGGTACCAATCAGAGCTGGGTGGACTCAGGGACGTCTACTGACTTGAACCGGATTCGACGGTTTGGTCTACTACATAAACTTTTTTTATCGGCAGAGCAATCCTTACTCTATTGTTCCTAAATAGTAGTAGACTTGCGCAATTGGTCAAATGCTAATTCTACCTCTAAATAGTCATTTAATATTCGCACGTGTAAATAGGCTATCACTTCGGGCGCACTCATCCGTTGGAAGTTAGGGTAATCGACCCCGTTTGTTATGAAGTGTCACCAAATGTTTGCCTTTGTGAATATAGGGTTTTTTAAAATCTCGTTGTCCAAATAAAAACTACATTGGTTGTAAGCTACAATACTGGTCAACGACTTAGCCAGCTTTGATCCTACATGATGAAATATTCGCAATATAAATGTTTTAATGTTTACAATAAATATAAGTCTACCGTCTATATTCGAGCCTCAGTGGTAATAGGTAAAAGATCGTTGTTATTTAATAACGCGACAAAAGATACTAACAGTTGTTAAGTATGAAGCCTGCTGCGAAGTGGCGTGAAACCAAATACAGTTCATAAGCGGTAATTGGAAACTGAAAAACGGACACATGTTTAATCTTTTTCGCTGGGTTGTTATTGATTTTGTAATTACACTTTTAAAATACATAATGTGGTTCTACGTATTGTTCTTTATCTCGTGTTGGTCTATACTGCACTATAGGAATATATTTTGGGCTATGCGGGCTATTAATGGGAAAATGTAACTGAAAAAATTGTTCGCTGTTCAAAATACTTAGTCTGTTTTGTACGGACTAAACAAACTTATAGAGTAGTGTACATGTCCTACTGGGTGAAAGATGTAGAGACAAGAAAACAAATAAATCGAGTTCAGAAAGTCCTATTAGGTAAAACGTTAAGTGTCTGTAAAACAGACTTTGTGAGGTAGTGTATCAGTAAGCGGTCTGTTAATGTTCTGTTAGAACGAAGGTTAGTAAGCAACAAGCCTATCGTATGGAGGTAGACACAGTAAACTGCGGGATTGCCAAGTCGGTGATGACGAGTTCACTGATGCGACAACTAGATTACGACCGACGAGGTGCACATCTCTGGGGGGGGGGGGTACCCCGGGAGCACTTCTGCCCAAAGGCGAATTTTAGAAAATGAAAAGAAGTAAATAATTTCTATGGAAAATATTTTTTTAACCAGTGTCATCGCCCCCCCCCCCTAGAAAATGTGCATTGCGGTAGCCCCTCTGTGTTTCAAGTGCCCGTGCGCCCCTCCCCCACCCCACGGAGAAAACTCTGGAAAAACCTACGACCGACTTGGCTATTTGCCAACTGCGTGATAATTTATATAATAACGCCAACGGTTTAACCAAATAAGACATTTTCAAATGAGTCGTTACACTTTATAAAATAAAACGTTTTAACTATAATTACACTTTATAACTGTGTTTAATTATTCGATATCAATTTTTATGCCTACCATTAATTTGACATAGTAACCCCTACACTATTAGGCCTACAACCTGTCCAGAACAACGCGCTTTTCGATCGTTCACGAGAGACGAAAGTTGATCGAGCTGTGCAGCTGTCGCTTTAAAGTTTCGTTAATTAGTTAACCCCGGCAGTTCAAATCCTTTCTAGATCTAGTCTTTACCTATTTGACCCCAGTAGTATCAGTTTCTTTAGAAGTCTTTGCCTATTAGACCGCAGCAGTTTAAAATCATCCTGTTGTTTTATCACTTCAACATTTAAAATGTTGCAGTCAAGCGTATCATAGTTATTGATAGTTATCTGACTTTAGTGTGTGGTTGTGTAGGCTGTATGACTTTAGACTTTTGTGTGTGGTTGTGTAGGCTATATGACTTGTGACTTTCGTGTGTGGTTGTGTAGGTTATTACATTTGTGACTTTCGTGTGTGGTTGTGTAGGCTATATGACTTTAAACTTGTGTGCGGTTTTGTAGACTATATGACTTGTGACTTTTGTGTGGTTGTGTAGACTATATGACTTTATACTGTTGTGTGTGGTTGTGTAGGCTATATAACAATATAAATACCTAAAACTGGTTTCTATCACCCTAACTCTCAGTCCAGACAACCAGTCTATACTGTAATCACCATTTGAATCTCTTAAAACATTAAGATAGCATTACTTTGCTCTGTTTTATAGATCTATGTTAATGTTTAAAGTTTAACTCTGGTTGTTCCTCAGAATAATGTGTTTTTTTAACACTATGTTTAATGGTACAAAAAAATGTGGTCCAACAGTATTTCTCACAGGCACTTAACGTTTGCCTTGTGTGGCTTACCTTAGGTAGAACACAAGTCGAGTACAGATATTAATCAAGTATCTGGCTTTTGCTGTGTTGTAGTATGTTCAGATCATGGTGCTCCATGGGGCAGGTGATGTAGAGTTCACTTGTCTTTTGTGACCTCCGCATAAGAAGAGATAGTGAGGTCAGCACTATGTCCACTCCCCTCTACTTTCCTTAACTTAAGTCAGATAACCATCAAAGCTTGGGGGATTAAAGGACGTCATATCCCCATGAGCCTAGGAAGTGATCTTAAGACTTACGGGTTTGTAGCTTTGAGCTAAACCATAGGACCACTCCATTCCATTGCGGTTGTATGTGGTTGTTAGATCTATGGTATCCAAATTTTCCATTAATTGGCTTATGAGTCGAGTAATTCCTGAAATCATATGTTATCATTGCCTACTCAGAATCTAAATTTCTGAATATAAAATTTTGTGTTTTAGAGCAAATGGTGACAACCGTCACAAAATGTGATCACATACCACAGTGAATTTTCAAAATGTGCTACATGAACTAAGGCATAAGAGAGAAATGTCAATAAAACCAATCCAACACTTTATAATAATATAATGTTTTAATGCACTTACTAAGACCTTAAATAAAAAAAATCCAAATGAGAAGAAAATTTCTAGTTTTGACTTCAGTGTATAAGACTAGATAGCAAACATAAATAATGAGTTGAATATGTGGATTCATGCATAGACATTTGTAAGATTGAGTATAAAAATGATGCAAGATTTTAAACTTCAGATCTATTACATAAAACTTAAGCTCAAAAAGCAATGAGACAAATTAAAATAAACACTAATATATTGCACAGCAAAAGTGAATAACATTAGTTGCAGATAATGTACAATATGAATACAGCTAACAAATCAAACTCTGTTTTCTAACACTAATTGTACTGCTTAAAGGCAAAAAAGTTTTTTTTAATGATTTATCTATTTAAAAACCTTCTGCTGAATAATTGATATACAACAAATATTTCATATTTTATAATTTTAACTGAAATTGATAATTGAAATTAGTAATGTTTCGAGTGAAAATCAAATTCCAAAGCTTCGTTAGTTATTTAGTTTTAAAAAAATATAAACAGCATTGACATATGACAACATAAAGTGTGTATCTTAGCTGCTTGTGTGATTCGTTATTAGAACAATATTACAATCTCTATCAGCACCTACATTAAAGTAGAATTATCTACCTTTGCTTCTCTAGGTAAGAAATTAAGTACCTTGAAAGAACAATGAAAATGCAAAAATAATTTGCAATTAGAAAATGAATCATTATATTATACCCTTTTAATTCTAAAAAAAAGTTGTCTCAAACAGAATGAAACAAACATTTTAAAATCTAGCATCGACCTTCACTGGGCTTCTTGAAAAGAATCAGTTGATTGCTATTAAAGGCAAGTAGATGGAAAAGTTGCATATATTGTACAAGTGAAAGATTGTAACAGAAGTTTAATGATTAATAAAATACACGAATAGGAATAACTTCAATAAAGGCACGTAACAAATGCTGTAGTTTAATCAGTAACTATTTTAGAGCCTGCCAGAAACTGAACAAAATAAGTTTAGAAACAAATTCCTGAGTTGGTGACAATAGAGAGTGCTTGTTAGATTTAAAAGTTGTTCAATCAAAAAACTTATAGCTTGAAACATGAAGCTGTCGACTAGTTCCTGTTGTTGTTTTTTTTAAAAAGGTGTTTAAAATAAAACTATTGTCAGATTTTCAATTTCACTGCACAAATAAATTTGTATAGTTAATGTCAATTTTAAATATACTGAAAACTTAACCCAAAAAAAATCAATAGAACTAATTCTCAGCTAGCTCTGTAGTAGATTGCAACAAATATTTATTTATGGGTCTCATAACAAGGATGCATTACTTTATAATTGAGTTTTGAAAATGAAAATTCCTTTTATCAAAGAGGAAAGAAATTGTGATCATGCGCTCAGTGATTGTAGAAAGTGCTCTAAAAAATAAGAATTACAAAAGTAAGAAACTATAAAAGTATATTCTATTGAATAACAAGAAAAGAAAGCATTTAATTATACATCTGAGAAAAAAATGTCTTGGATTACAAGTAAAAACTGGAAATCATCAAGAAAAATTGTATTAATGCTCAATAAATAATTATGTAGGCTATTTATTGCTTTGTATATAAATGACCTTAATATGTAAATGATCTAAAAAGTTATTTACCAGACTTGTAAAATGGACACAAACACAATTCAAATGTACAACAATGCTAGTAAAACTTAAATGCTCTACTAACCAGGCACAAGGTAAATAAATTACTACAAGACTAGTCTTCACACTCACAGAAAGCCAGTTTTCATTACAGGATTAGTGAACCTGAAGTCAACATCTGCACTATGAACATTCAATAGCAAACAAACATACTCTAGTTAATTAATTACATATTTTATATAAAGTAAATATAGCACCTTTATCTTGTAAAATAAAGCAATCAGTACAAATTTTAAGACCAATTATGATTCTAGCATTTTAAAAATTTAGTTTTAAAAAATGTAAAGTTCTTTCAATAAAAACAAGATGTATTTTACATTCAAAACTATTTTAAAAATCTCTACCACTCAATGAAAACCTCAACCCTCATTCATCCAGCATGGATTGTCTTGCTTATTGGCCTCCATAGGTTGGATTCTTAAATGTGGAAGTTGCTTGTTTATAAATAGGATTTTCTCCCTTGGTAAATAAAAAAAAAATAACAAAAACATTAAATTTCAATTTGAGAGAAGAACCACATCTTTTTCTACAAGATGAGAATTCAATTCTCACAAGCATTAATCAGATTTATTGAAATAATACTCACAGTGTCCCACTTGGCATTCTGTCTCTCCTTTTCAAATTTAGCAAATTCACGAGTGTCATGAATGAATGTAAGAAGTTTCCAGATAAGAAGTAAGAAAAGTCCCACTGCCACTATCCCTCCAACAACTCCTCCAACAATGGCCAGAACATTAACAGCTTCAGGGCACACTAGATTTTAATCAAAAAACATATTTCCAACTCAGCACAGCTATTCACAAATAAAATGATTCATGACAACCTATCTTTTAATCAAATAATGTATTTTTAGCTAAGAAAAGCTTTCAAACTTTTGTAGATAAATTTATTTTTGAAGACAAAGAATATCTAATTTCTAATCTAGTTAGATATTAACTTAGTTATTAAAAATAACTTAAGAGTATTAAATTCAATGATTAATGGGCAGACAACTAGATATGTCAGATAAACATTTCCTAATCTTAGAGAGAAATGACTACCTGGCAGATAGTAGAGTTATTTATGCAGATTAGTTTTATAAGGGAATATTAGTGACGTTAGTTCTATGAGGTATACATGTTTTTATCATCAGTTGTTTGCACTCAAAAACTATCAGCTTAAAATAAAAGAATAAATATAGTACTAATTGGTTTTGAATCTTGAGTATTTGCTGTTATTTTTCTTTATTATATCTAATACTCATAAGTAAATATAAAATAAAACTACTATAAAAACCTATATAATGATAAACTAAAAATTAGCACATTTTCTTTAAGCTTTATTAAGAGTAAAAATTAAAGACAGATAGCAATTAATATTGTAAATATTTCTTGAGCAGCTACCACATTTTTACCATTATAGCTAAAGAAAATTTAGAGTATTTGAAAAATTTCTTCAAATAAAGATCTTCATACTCATTTAATTTTTACTTTAGTTGCAGTATGCTTGTCTTAAAGTTAAGCTACTCTACAATGACATTCTTACCTTTAGTGTTTTGCACTTTAATTACAACCTCTCCGTTCTTATCATATTCATATGTGTAATAAACCCAGCATTCGTCATCATCCTTCAACTGGCAAAGCTGAACTCCTGGTCGCTCTAGAAGATAGATAATTCTTGTTTTTATACAAGCCAATATGTATCTCAATAATCTCAAAGAAAAAGTTAGCCTACACAAAGCACTCATGTGCGTTACAATAAACGTAACTATAGCTCAACATTTTGTTTAGCATATCTCAACATTTTGTTTAACATATCTCAACATTTTGTTTAGCTTTATCTCTTACTAAAACATTGAATTGTGCTATTTTCTGGGAAATTCATTAGCAATAATATAGCTCAGGGTAATTAAAAAGGTAAAAAAAAAAAACTTCAGAAAATTAACTAGACTTGTAACAAAAAAGATAATGTTTACCTATGAGTTTGTCGTATTTGGTAATTTCACGTGGACACAATTCACATTCTTGTTCTGTTTTCTTCCCAGAATTAAAAGCTTTGCACTGGACACAGGGATTGTATTCTTGGCACTTGTCTGGGCATGACTGAAAGAAAACATTTTTATATAGTTAATTGCATGGTTGTAAGGTAAGTTGCAGGTATAACAATAGAGCTTGTAAGTCTACGGTCTTGAAATCTACTAGTGGGCAAGTACGAGAACGAGAAGTTGTGACCTACTTACAAGACCTTTTGTGTTTTTAACAACTGCTTTAAAAAGTAGCATATAACAGAATGCAAAAAACTTGTCATTCATGTTTATCTTGTGTACAAACACTTTCTATTATTTTAAACATATAAAACCAAGCAGATTGTTTAAAATTCTTATCAATTCTATTTGTAAATCTTACAAAGAAATGGGGGAAAACATAGAGCATGGAGGGAGAGGTTATATTTCAATTATTGTTGATGGACAGTTAGATTTAAATATAAATAATGTTTATAAGTTGCAAATTACTAATAGCTACTAAAAGCTACTTGAAAACTAAATTAAAACATTTCATTGGGGAAAAGTGATATGGTGAAGCATGAAAAATTAAAAGTTTCTTAAAAGAATAGATATTATTTACATACTGCCCAGATACAAATTTTAAATGGAAACCAAAACTTACTGGACACTGCTCGCATTTAAATCCTGTAAACTGGCCATCACATTGACAAACTCCGCATTTACACACACCATGGTTGTTGCATACAAGCTGAGGAAAGATTTTAAACATAAACATTCAGTACAAGTTTAGTGGTTGCCTTTTGATGAAGAATTTAAAACTTGAAAACAGTACTAATGTAGCCGGTGCTGGAATAGAGGAGAGTACTAACATAATGCACTAAAAATGTTTTGATGCAGATTTACACTAAGTAAATCTTGTAGACTGCATTATGTTAAAACTCAGTTCTACATCTTGAGAAATTCAAAATACAAGCAGCCTTACACTTAATAACTAGGTGCACAGTTGATTTATTAATAAAATTTTTGTTTGAACTATAAATCATAGCCAATTATCATTTTTGTACAAAGAAGAAGAAAAACTTACCCCAGCATCAGTTGTGCATTTATCAAGACTGAGGTCACACTCACAAGCTGTACCATTGTAGCCGTCATTGCACTTACAATTTCCACAGTCACACTTCCCCCTCTCATCTAAACATTAAATGTAATTTGGTATGGTCAACAACACAGTTCCTGGTCATAAATTATATACAGCTGGCCAATCAGTTTTTTTAAGATATTGAATTACAATACAATTATAATGCAAACAAAGTATCAAAAGCCATTTTTTATATTTTTAAATGAGATTAAAATTACGCAAGTTTTTAATATAATTAGATTGTTAGTTGGGATAAACAAGAATGGTTGTATTGTAGCAAAGACTTACTTCCTCCACACATCAGGTCATTGTAGAAATTACATGAGTAGTCATCACATTCACAATACGGACCACTAAATGTTTGTAGGGAGTCTATGGAACGAGTATCACAAATACATTCACCACAGATACATGAACCACGGCCAGAGCAGACCTCAGTTTTGTTAGGCCTGAAATTGGAGATTATTTCATAACAACCTTTGATATTTTTAAATTTTTTTTTTAAATTTAAGATTCTGTTTATATAAATAGGTGATCACATTTATAGGTAAATGGTATATTATTTTTATATACTTATGTGATGTACATACTTTTAATCAATCATAGAATGAGCTCATACGCTAAACTTCACTTACTCAATGCATTGCTTGACAGATTCTTTGCTGGATAAATCATCAGCTTGACATTCACAGAACTTTCCATATCTTCCAGGGTTACATGTACATTTACCACATTCAAAAGTGCCATTGCCATTAAAGCATCTGTCACTGTTTATTTCCTTGAAAATTCAAACTTTTGTTAATTTAAGAAGTCAAACACTGTAAATAAGATTTACTGAAATTTCATGTTAGCAACATTTTGTTTTGTAGTTTTCAAATCTTTGTGTAACCTCTGATAAAAGTTTGAGCTTACAGAAACAAACAAAAAAATCTCTAGAACAAATTTGTTTAGATTCACTTAATAAAAATCTTTTACATAAAGAGCAACTTGAAAATTGCCAAAGCATAATTTAAAAAAAAAACAATATGCAATAATTTATAAGTAGCCTAGTTAATTTGTATAGTAAAATATGCCTTACACACTTTTTTAAATAACATTTTAATTTTAAAATATTAAACCCTTCAACATATATCATGATTGACAAAAACAAAAAATTGACAAAACAAAATTCTAAAATTCTTTTAAATAAATAAAATTGTAAAGCCATATTATTTTATATAATTTTTCACCTATTTGTAAAATACGAACCTCATTTTCAGAATTTTCACATTCACATTCACATATGATGTCCAGTTCAATGACTAACTTTTCTTGGTAACCAACAGGTCTGATAACCACTTCTTTTGTCCACTGTCTTTTATCCTTAGGGCAGGCTTTTACGGTTATTTCGGCACTAAAATTCACCTGTAATAAATTTTACCTCATTACATCTTTAAAACAGGATGTGGATCCTTATATTTTAACAGAGAAGCTGTAACCTTATCTTACTGATTCACCAATCTTTAAACTTCCGCATTCGTTTGTCTTCTTCTCTTCTGCACTAAAAAACAAAGACAAAAATAAGAATGTGAGAATTTTTTGGAGTTTTAAAATGTGAAATGTCAATGTGTCAGAAAAGTAAGATTTGCTGTTTACTTTTCTGACCAAAATATATATATATATATATAAGTGTTTTATTGATATTAACTCTTCTGGGTACATTTTTTTAATAATCATGCAGTTTTTATGTTTTGAAAATTTTGAATGGACAAAATGAGAATGTAGACTACCACATCTATATAATATGCATCAATGATTGACAACAATATTGAAAAGAAAAAAATAAACAGGAGAACAAAAAGTAAAATTGTGCTAAAATTGTCAAACTCTATAGACATTAGCTTTAATGATAAGCAAGCTTAAAAAAACACATGATGCACTTTTGTAACAAAACAAAGTTCCAAGTGTGAATATTTGACTCATACATGCTCTACAAATAAACAGTTCTAGGTAAATCTGACTATCCATAGGATTTGTTCTAGGTATCTATTTCAGTGTAGTAAATGAAAATAAGAAGTGATAAAAGATTAGAAATTATTTTTTACCCAAAACAACGGGAGTAGAAATCCACTGTGACATTGTCCACCACATTCTGACTACGTAAAATGACTTTGGATGTGATTTTCTGGGAAATAAAGGCTATGTATGAATTTTATTTTTACACTTTGAAGCTGTCTCAGTGTTACTATGTACTAAACGTAAGATAACAGAATTTTTTTGATGATTACCTGATAATTATCTTTAATAAGCTTGACAATATTTGAAGAATCTTGTTCTAGTTCACCAGTTATTGAGCTTTCCAAATATTGGCTAAGTTTTTCATACACAGGGACCTGGTCTTTAGTCACAGCAAATATTACATTGACAGATTTTTCTTTGACTTTGTTGGCAATCTGACTTACTGAAGGATAATCCTGCAATACAGAACAAAATCACAGCCTTAGTTAAAGAGACTATAATTTATAAATACATAAAATTAACTTACAAATTGAATCATAATTTCCAATAAGGAATTTTTTTAAATATCTGAAGAGTCAAAACCTGATACATTATTTTCCACTTTATAAAAAATCATATACAATAATTATTTTAACTCTTATATAGCAAAAAATGGAGAAAAAAAACTTACCAAAACTGAACTCTGAGTGTACAAATCATTTTTTAGATGGCATTTTCCATCATTTGGTGTGACTATTCCTCCAAGCTAAAGAGTAAACGGAAATTTTCTTAAAACTTAGATATTTTCAAAAATGTTTGTATTTCAAACACTGGCTACTTTTTAAAAAGTAACTTGTAAGACATTTTTAAATGTGTAGGCCTGTATAAATATTTAGTACCATACAAAGAAAATAGGCCACCCAAAAACATATGAAACCCTATAAAAAATTAAACAACCTTGCCATCTCCAGCATAGTGAAAACCTGCATCTGTTGAAAACACCAACATTCTTCTGGATATTGCTCTCCACCCAATCTCACTCTGAAGTTATGAATTTTAACATCATATTTTCAATTAAATAAGTAGGAAGCTTCTGTATTGTTGCAAATACTAAATGTAAAGTTTTAAAGCAGATTTCTAGATAACTTAACACATAATGATTTGCAAGAGTTAAATTGTATGTTTCTTTTTCTAATGGCAAAAAACTACATAAAAGTTCTTTTATATTGTCATACCTCACATGCAACTGCCTGCATTATAGCATCAAATCCACCCTCTGGGGCATCCAAGTTCCCAGATACACGAGCTTCAAGTACTTTTTTCTGTAAAAAAAAAATTTCTTGCTCATAATTTCATAAAAAAAGCTTCTCCAGATGTGGTAAAGTCATAATAAAATTATTTTTATTTCATAAAAAATAAATCCTAAAAATTTAATATGAAAATTTATAAAAGAGGAAAACAAAATACATACAGCAAACTTTTCAGTCTCATTATCTAGACTAAGCTGATTTTTAAATCCATAAGGTGCTTCACAGTCTTCAAGTAATGACGTCTTGCATGGGCTTATTAGTCTAATGAAAAATAATAATTTTGAGTCATTTAAATAAACTTGATAAAACATAAACTTTTACAATGTAATGAAGAGGTTATGTAGATTGTTAGTGATAATTAGGAGCAATTTATTTTACATGGTAGCAAAAGCATATCCTGGTAAAATCAGTTCATTAAAAGCATTTCAAAATAAGTTTTTACAAATCTCTACAGCTAAGCTAATCTACTTCTTTCATAATGGTAATGTTGGAAGAGATTTCCCCCAACACAATTAAGTACAACATAGCGAAATGGCCTGTTGATTCATATTTCAGCCTGCTTTTCTTTCTGCATTTGCTTCCATTGTCCATAGGTTTTGTCCATCCAAGAACAAGTTACAATGCAACAGTTTTTAATTTCATTTTTCTCTCCTAGATTGGTTGCTGTTCCCAGCTATCAAGGCTCACCTGCCTGGGGATTTGAACTCAGGACTTTCGGTTTTACAACCATGAGCTTATGGAACAGGGGTGGCCTAGTGGTAGAGAATTAGACTAACCCGAGTCTCGAGTTCAAATCTGGGTTCAAGTCAGTAAGACGTCTCTGAGTCCATAGTGCTGACCTCACTACACCTTCATATACCAAGGTCTCTGAAACAGATGAACTTAACATCTGCCCCATGTGTCTTGGGCATGAGTAAAGATGAGGCATCATGAGCTTTACCGCCCCGACCATACTGACATCTGGTTTAGCTAATAGGTTTGTACTAAAACGTAAGTCCCTTTTTATTTACTATAGATTTTAAAATATTAAGATAAAATACTAACTTGTCAGGAAGAGTGCTAACAAACGGGGAGACTACTTTATCAACAAAGGAACCAAACCCAAGACGAAAGTTTTTTGTAATAGCAGACATCTGTTCAGCTGTAACGAAATAGAAATATTCAAGTAAACTTCAATTTTATATAGAGCAAACAAATATTATTAACTTTGAAATAATGGCTGTTATATCAAAAATAAAAACATGAATGTAAAACATTTTCTATACATTCAATGGGTTCTTTTTCAAGGTGCAAAATAAAAAAATAAGTATTGTTTTAAAACAAAGAAAAATATATTAATAATATTTAAAATTATATAGCTCAGGACTTGGGTAAAAATATACCAATTAAGTTTCCAAGCTTAGCAAGATTTTGTTTGTCATCCTCCATAGAGTTAGACAAATCCATGAGGTAATACAAGTCTACAGGGTAATTCTCAGCTTGACGAAATGTCAGTTGAATTCGAACAGGTTTGTCTGGTAGAAAAAGTGTTTAAATTAATTACTGCATAGTCCTAAGTAAAACAATTCAAAAGAAGGTAACTTATGAGAAGTGACTAGTATTTTCAGATTTTTAAAAACATTAATTCAAATTAATAACTAATATTCATGGTAATGATGTTAATTCAACATGAGGTAGCGCTTTGTTGGTACTTGTCTTAAATCTCCATGCCACGACATACCGATAAAGCTGTATTAGACACATTACCTCAGATCGACAGTTTGTGTATAAAATGCGATTTTAGAAACGTTCGTAACTTGTACTATTTGACGGGATCCTGACAAAAGGATGGCAATGACAAAAGACTGACATGGACAAAATGAAGACAAGACAATAGGCCACCAGGAAAAATGCAGACACCCAAAACAAATAGCCAACAGATTATAAGGCCAAAAATTATGAAAGAAAATATGTAGAAATCAAAGTGCACAAAGCTTATATAAATTTGTATTGATTTTTAAAAAATGGTGCCTCCAGGTGTACTTCAATAGGTTTCTTACATTTCTCAGAAATATGGTGGTATTGCCAACTACATGTTTACCCTTTGTACACATGGGCCCCATTGTTCACCTTATAAGGATAGAAACTTAGCATGGTCTCTTGACATTGGGCGACGATGCTGAGTGCCGTTGACTTTGTTCTTTGATATTTGTCGAGTAACCCATGTTTTGCAATATTAGGATTTTTATGTCTGTTGGCTTTATGATCTGTCAGTCTTTTTGCTGTTGGCTAAATAGTCTGTTGGCATTATGTCCAGTTGGCCTTTTGGATATCGGCCTTTTGTCTTAGACCCCTATTCAACTCAATGTTAATTAAAATAATAAAATTAATGTTGTTATATTTGTTATCTTCATTTTTTTTGTCAAGAGTCTGTTGGGTGTACAATTAGCTGAGGGGCACAGGGATTTTAGGGTCAGGAGTTAAGGGTTTAAGTAGATCAGTAGTATAGGTTACCAAAAATAAACAAAAATGGTTCATCATTAAATACAAGTAATTTGCAATTCTCCAATAATTAATTGTTACTGTTGTGTATGATTCAGTATGTTTACTATTCCTATTTGACTTGAACATAAAAATAATTATTTTTTCGTATCCCAAATTCATAAAGGTTTTTGTTACTTCCTCAGGGAGTAGTTTTATTTAGTATTTTTAAACTTACTTGGCCTGATTCTGATTCTAGCCCTCTGTGGCTGTAACTGCACTGCATTCTCTGGGTTATCACCATCACCTACATTTCGATTCTAGAACAAAATATCCATTTGAATAAATTGGATGTCAAGAATCTGTTTTTTTACAAACAATAAAATTTTCTCAGTGCCAATATATTTTGTCCTAGTGTGCTGAGACAAACTCATAAAAAAATATAATTTAAAAAATGTGTTGTAATGTTATTGAATTGTTTATTCATTTCTTTGTTGAATTCCCAACACAGTAGACATAATCCCTAGGATAATTGTGTGTAATTATAAAACATGAACACCTTTAATACGTTTATTTTATCAATGAAAATAATCCCATTGCATGTAGGCTTACTGTTTACTTTCATATCCAACCCAAATATTTGACTCCTTTTGTTAATTATAATTCTTCACTTCCACATAACAAAAGACACTTAAAGATTCACATTTAGGTTAAACAAAAGTTTAGAGGTAGCAGAAAAATGATAGCTGTTCTGGGTTGTGGCTCACCTCAGTTAATTGGGAATTATCCTGAGGATATTCAATATCTTCAGGCATACACTTTCCTCTTAAATGGTTTTCATATGTGTCACACCTTAATCGATTTTCTTGCTCATAGATCTATAAAACATAAAATATTTAAATCTATTACAATCTTAAACCAAAATACTCTAAGCTAAGACCAATGGGAAAGACAAAGATAATTGTAAAATAATTTAAGAATCTGTTTTGTCATCTAAATGAAGATTTTTAAAAATGGAAAACATAAAGACAGGGTCCACTGGATAGTAAAGAATTTACCTCTGAAACACACCAAGCACATTCTTTGGCTGTGGCAATACAGACTGCACATGATTTTTGAGCATCAGGAGATATGCAGGGATTCTGTTCACTACCTTTAATGAAATTAAGGATGTTTAGGGATTAAATGCCTCACACATTTGTATTAATAGATAGACTCTAGATCTATTATTATTTTTAATTGTATGTTAAAATAATGTGTAATAAAAGAAAAATGAGACTCAGTGTAAGAAACCAATAGCATTTTAAAATACTTGACATTTTACTTACTTTGTGATAAGCTACTTGTAATTAAAGCAAAAAATATGAATAGTTTCATTTTGGTTCTCTGTGGAAATTTCTGGAGAAGCAAACAGATGATGTGAACAACTAAAACAGTATTTCACCTAAACAGAACAGTATACACAGCCATGCTGCAAATTCACGAGTGAGCTACAATAATTATACATAATTACAGGGCATAATTAGGATAATTACTCTGGAGAATTCGTCACTCCATTCACTAGCCATACAACGTCAAATGTCATTATAATTTCAACTCGTAAATGTGAAGTATATATATTTTCAGGAATTTTATGTAACAAAATAATTTAATGCAGTATTTAAATTAACTGATATGCCTATGCTCAACTATTTTTTTAAAGAATGCTATGGAGTTACAACACATTTTTTAAGGCTATTTTATATTTCTAGATCTAGGTCTAGGCCTACTAAAAGTGCATATTTTCTATATTTAGAGCTGTAAATAAATAATATAATTAACATTCTAGATCTATATGACACAACAACCCTAGGATTAGTTACATTACTTTCTTATTTCGCTAGCAGCATATCAGGCATTGTACGAATTTTGAAAAATTTAGTTTTCAATTAAATACCTGGAGTAAATGTGAATGCTGTAGAAAATATACATAACACTAACTTAAAACGTTAACCACCTCCTCAACCAAAAATATAATTATAAACAGAAACATATCCCAATCCCAATGACTATTCCTATAGTTATCTCTGTACTGAAATTATTCTCATCCCTTATCCCATTTTCTTGTCCTTTTCTTTCATTCCTTATTTATCCTTATGTCTATAACCCTATCAGTATAACTATCCCTATCCCTATTATTATTCTTATCCCTTATCCCATTGTCTTGTCCCCTTCCCTCATCCCTTATCCTTATGTGTATTGTTATAGCGTTCGCTATCCCTATCCCTTTTTAAACACATCCATTTCCCTATCCCATTTCATTTTCCCTAATCTTTATTCATTTTCCAATCTACTCTATCCCTTTTAAATTTTTTCTATCGCTATCTATATCCCTTAGCTAGTCCTGTAGAGTGTAGATATCTGTATTCTTTTCCTTATCCTTATCACTATCCCTATTTTATACCCATCAGCTTCCTTATTTCTGTCCATATCCCATTTAATTTTCTATAACATTATCCTTATTGTTTCCCTAATATATTACTGTATCCAATTTTCTTTTCCATATCACTATTCTTATCCATTAGCAATTCCTGTAATTATACCTACACATACCTACACTATACACCTGTAGATGTCCATGTTACTTTACTTGTACGAACTATTACTGTATCTCTTTATCTAAATGAACGGTGATTAATTTATAATTTATTACTAGTTTCTTTGACCTACTTTAAAGCTTCAGCACAAACGCCAATCCACGATAAGCTAATAATACTCACATTTTGTTTAATAACTATATTGCAAATACACCAACTAGTATAATTGCCAATAATAATAATTCCAAAAACTTAAAGGGGCACATTTGTAATTATTTCAAAGTTTAATATAACACCTACCCAATCTCAATCTAAACTTAGTACAATACCCATTTGATTTAAAGTGACCTTAACTCTACTTTAACAATAAAAATAATCATAATAATTTTATGAAATCTTTTAAAAATTCTATTTATGATGAAAAAAAAAGTAATTAAATAAATAATTAAAAACGATGCAACCAAAACACTAAAGAATAAAAAATAAATAAATAAAAGTAAATAGGGCCTAGTAAAAATTATCTAATTTATTTATATCTTCAGCCCTGTTTTTATTTTAGACTGATAAATAAATTCTAAAAAGGTAAATACAGTCTACATGCCTATACATTACATTTGCATAGCTCTGCACTGGAACCGAACGCTTGCCACCACATTTATATTAAAAAGAACTATAATGGCGGAAAAGTTACCATACTAACAAGATACCTGCACTACACTCGCTTCTTCAAATTTAGAATCTAGACTCGACAATAAAAATGAAAGAAAACATACTTCTGAATAATACATTTTTGCAAGTGGCACTTGACCTGACATAGACATCCACTAGACATTGAGGAAGTTATATTTAGGCCACTTTAGGGCGGGTGTATTTTATTGTCTAAATAAAATCATTAATTCTTGCATAGATAAGAGTAGACCTTTCTTTCACATTTCTAACTAAATAATTTCTGCTGATTTTAATGTCCTAATAGGGTAGTTCACCCATCAAACCAGTCAAAATTACAATACTTGTAACAACCTAACATACCTATTTTTGGAAGAGTCTTTCATGTATTTTCGGACATCTGCATCTTCAATCATCCTCAATTTGATATAGATCTAATTATAGTGGTAATCTCACGATATAGCGTCGGAAATTATTCGGTAATGTTTGTTAAGTTTTGTAAACATTTGTTACTGTAAACAGTTTATTTGACAGTTGAAATATAAATAAAGTCAAGTGCTTTAGGCCTAAATTAATGTTTTAATTTAATTTTAAATTTAATTGACAGAAAATGTGCAACAATTAGATCTAGTAAGAGTAGATAATAATTTGATAATATTAATAGTATCATAAATAGGCCCTAGATAGCCTATAAATAATTAAATATTAATAATAAAGTCCTGTGTAGTGTAGTAGGCCTAAGTAATTAATGTTTTTTTAAGAAATATCGTCCTAAATACTAAATAGGCCTAATCTTTTTAATAATTTTGGTTTAATATTCAGTTATCTTATTTCTATAATAATATTTGACACAAAAACATCACAATATTGTGAATATAATATAAATATAGATCTAGGGCATTCTAGGGGCCTAATAAATTAATATTAGCCTAAAGAAAGACTTAACAATGAGGCAACTTTTTCGCACATTACTAGATCTAGATTCATCTAGATCTAGCCTTGCTCGATCTTACATAGATCTACCTAAAATAATACAGGTTAGTCTTGTTGTTAGTTGTTAGCCTTAGTTACTAGTTAGGCCTTAGGGCCTAAGAAAAGAACTAAGATTACTAAGTACTCTGTCTAAGTCTAAGAGTAAGACTTACTAAGAACAGACAACACTGAACACAAGTCTTTTTAGATCTAATCTAGAATCTAGAATCTAGATTCTTAGCTCTCTAGTCTAGATCTAGATCTAGATCTAGATCTAGACTTAACTAGACTAAATTTAAAAATTATAGATTCTAGATAAAGTAAATATTAAATAAAATAACTAGATTTCTAGATCTATCCAATTTCTCGGGTTAGTTATCCAACACATAAATCTAGATTCTAGATCTAGATCTATTAGATTTTAGATAAGGAAGTCGTAAAATCTCACCTAAAACTTGACGAGTGAGTGTAGGCCTAAGTAAAATATCCTTTTAAGTTTTCAACGGGGGTAGCTCCAGCCGTGACGTCACCGGAAACAAGGAAATTCTTCCTAAATGTCTCATACTATTTTTGTCTTGAATAGGCCTAGCCTAGGTGTACAAGATGCCTCTCCCGTTTGTTTTGTTTTGTAAATCTACTTAAAGCGTTTATCCAGGTGCAGCTGGTTATAATTTTAAAGAATTAACTATTCAACATCATTAAATGTATACCGCCCCCCCCCCCTTGAACGAAATGGAATTTATATAGAAAACATACTTTAACCAGTGTCCGCACCCCCCCCACCCCCGAAAATAAAAAGTTCGCTTACCCCCCCCCCCACCCACAGAGAAAAAAAGTCTGGAAGAAACACTGAGTATAGAGCTTAATATAAATTTAGAGCTAAATCTATATTGACGACCCCAATGATCGTTTTCGTATTCAATCACAACAGTGATTCTTACATGCATCTCTCCAGGGTGAAATGCTCCACCAACGGATCACTCCACCGTCGCCCACCCCCGGAAGTGTCAAGTGCCACCCGACCCCGAGCTAATCTTTTAAAATGTAGCCTTGCATCAGAGTTTCTTCCAGGCATCTCTTCGGGGGGGGGGGGGGGGGGGGGGGGGGGGGGGCAGGGCCGAAAAAATTCTACCGCCCCCCCCCCCCCCCCGAACGAAATGAAATTTATATACTTTTAACAGTGTCCGCTCCCCCCCCCCCCCCGAAGAAAGTCTACCCCCCCTCCCCCCTTGGAGAAAAAAGTCTGGAAGAAACAATGCCTTGCATCACACGAAAAGGTAACTTTATTAAGAAATAATTACTGCAAAGCCTTGTAATGAGTTTATAGAAAAATTGTGTAGGTTAGCTAAGCGAAAATGTTAACATTTTCCCCCAAACATTCGTTATTCATATTACTTTCATAAATTTTGCTTCAGATTGGGCCGCCAACCACATCTCTGAGTTATCATATCTGTCCTGGGTAATTCACTTGGGGGGGGGGGGGGGTCTGAGATGTTGTGGTCAAATATTAAAGTGTTCGACTGCTAAACCTCAAGTTCGGATCCATGGCTCTAGTTCTTGAATCCACCCAACTCTGATTGGAAAATGCTGACTCACGTTAGGGAAAGTAAAGGCGGCTGGGCATTGTGACCAATGCAGAGGTCGTAGAAACAGGCGTATTGCTCCATGGAACGTTAGGTTCGAAAAGGGAACTTTACTTTTTACCTAAGATCAAATTGTCCAAGAACGTACACTGTTGAGTGAAGAGAGAGAGAGATACAGTTAGGTGAGGCACAAAAAAGCTACAGGCCTACGTAACAGGTGAGGGAAAAAGATTATACTAATCCGCTTGAAGTATTTTGGTCCCCATCGCATACAGAGAATCCTGACTTGGAGACCACAAGCTATAGTAATGGAGTCCAAGAAAACGATTGCATTACATGTTAGGAATGGGACGGCTTGGTCACTTGGTCGGATGGTAGATCGTGCAAATTTTACCCGCAAGTCTCGAGTTCGGATTGCTAAAGACGTCCCAGTGTTTCTCCAGGGAAAAAAAAAAAGAAGGGTGACCACAATATACCTTCATATACCGAGGTCACAGAAACAGGTGTATTCTACTTCATCTGCTCCATAGACCACCACCAAAAGTCCTACAGCACCCTATCAAGGATATCTCCTGTTTTTTTTTTTCTTTTTTTGAAACCCTAGAATTATTTACTTAGCATCAAGAAACACAAATGTTCAAGTAAAGAGTAACTGCAGAAGAACACGCCTAACTACATTCTATTTCTTGCCTTCAAATAGTGGGACCGCTTTCCGTCAGTCTGCAGCGGTTTTTTTTTTTTTACTTTTACAAATGAAGCTTTTTTTTTTTTTTTTAAAACTGATGGAGGAAGAAAACGGCGGGCTCACGACCTACCAAACAAGTAACTTGATGTAACGGTTAATTTTATACACACACACACGGCTACAAAGTTGGACTCAAACATTAACAAAACCAAAGTTATGAAACAAACAAAATACAACTAGCCGAGTCTATTAAAGTAACACACAAGTAGAGCAAGTAAAAGATTGCACAGCTTCATTGTCAATTATTACGGAGATTGCACCGCTGAGATTAGAGCACTCATATTAAGCCAAACAAGCCTTTGCAACCGTGCACAAAACCTGGCAATAAAAAAAAATCCACAAAAACATATCCAGTCGCCTGTACTTTACCTAACGTGAGTTAAGTACACATCAGGTGGGTGGACTCGGACGTTTCACTTACTTGAATCTGGATTAGAACTCAATACTTTAGCAGTCTAGCAACAAAGGATTGTCAAGTTCAGCCGCTTGGCCACGCTGTCCCATGATCAACTACTTGGTGTCAACTTTGAGAGATGGAAACCATTTCCAAAATTATCAAAAGAAGATGGTGCTGGATGGGGCACGCATCAATTTGAATCCAAATACCACAAGAGAATGGCGCTTAACTGGACTCCTCACAGCAGAAAAACAACTGACAAAGGCAGGACTACCTTAGCGGACTGCCAAGAAAATTGCCAGATCCCAAAAGTAGAAAGAGCTTTCTGCAGAGGCTTAAAGTGTCTTGGGCAGAAAAGGGAAAAAGATGATGAGTATTGAGTATGGTGTGAGACTACTATTGTCAACATACTATCACTTGTAGTCTATACATTCAGTAAGAAAGTAATTGTTAAATTAATTGATAATACAAAAAACACAACTGGAAAATAACTATAGCTTTATTTTTTTCTTTAAATCCCCCCCACCCCCATGAAAATCTTAATCTGAAAATAGTTTTTATACTATTCCTTAACATCCCCACCCGAAGAAAAATTCATACTCCGAATATTAAAAATGTTTACAATATATACATTTCAAAAAGTGATCATGTCATTAGCTTAACATTATTTCTTTTGAAACAAAAAGAGATTGGCTTCTGTTAATAAACATTAAGCCCAAAAATTAAAAAAACCCATGAGGAAAAGGCACATTTTTTCTCCCAACAGTAACAATGAATCTTTCTAATGCTAAAGATCAGCCCACACATGCTATACATACTCATATTATTAAGTATCCACATATATATAGACTTAATCAGATATGCATTAAATAAAAGCATACAGATCAATACTTGGCAAAAAAAGCGCACAATCAATTAACTAGTTGGTGGGTGAAATTTTTGATCAAATAAAAGAATATCAGAAGTACGAAATTCAATACTTTTGATAGTATTATATACATACAGCTAAAAATAAACAATTAAAAATAGCCAAAAAAATGGTTGTGTTAAAAAGTAAATAGCTATGCCTCTTCCTAAATGAACAATAGCAACATTTAAACAATGTTTCTGTGAAAGTAAGATGCTAAAGATAGCCTAATTCTTCATGTATATTATAAACATAGCAAAATTTAAAAAAAACTTTATACATTGTAAAATTATAAGTAGATGTTTTAAAATGCTAAAGAATTTGAATGCAAAACTTTTTAAGAAACCACTAAAATCTGCTCTATGATTTTAAAAATTACTATGAAAACAAATGTAACATGTATTAAAAATGGCAGTGAGGTTTAAAATCTGGTACATAAAAATCTGGAATGATCTAAACACTTAGATTTTTCAGGCATAGAGTTTGAAATAAATTTAACCACTAATAGAGGCAAGAATAATCAATAAAGCCATTATGAAAATCATGTAAACTTTCGCTTGAATTAAAAACAAAAATATATAAATGCATTTTAAATGCATGATACAGCATATAATGCACATTTCTGGAGCAAATAAGTGATTCTATTTAACAAAAACACAATACACTTATCTACAGGCAGTAGCATGGCAAGCATTTATGTGACAGTCCATCCAATGAATAAATATTAAATTTACATTAAGACAAAAAACATGTTTATGTTATAGAACAGTCTCAAACATCTATTAAAAAAATAGTGATAAGAAATTCAAATCAAATTTAAAAGACAGTAAAAAAAATTTTTTCAGCGTCGCTGCCTGAGAGAAACTTTTGGTGGGGCTGTAGTTGCGGTTGTCTTGTCAACTTTTTTTTGACCACGAGTTGTCTGTTTTCTGACAGGTGAGCTTGACTCTGCAATGGTAGGTTGCTTAACCTTTTTAGTGTTCTGTGGCTTTTCTTGTGAAATGGGATCAGAGGTTCCCTTTGATCTTTTGGCTCGATCAGTTTCCAGAGGCTTTTGATCAGCCTTTGTGGACTCAGTGATTTTCCTTCTCTTAGGAGGTGAAACAGCCTCTACTACCTGTGCTGCTTTTCGCTTGGAGACATCTGGAAGAAAATAAAATGATTTCCGTAATAAAAAAAATTGGTTTAGTTATGCACTGGGAGTAGGTAAAAAAAACAACAACACTAAATTATGGCAGTAAAAAAACTATCAAACTTAAGATTTCAAAAAAAAATATGGTTTCTTACTAAATAATTTATTTTTTAAAAAAGTGATAATTATCAATAAAACAAATTCAAAAAAGAAAAACACCACAAAAAAAAATGAGCTCCTTAATCCAGAATGATTGTAAAATAAAAAGTGTTGCTATTTTTCTTAAATTTTTTACAATAATGTTTTGTATTTTTAATTTAACAATTACTAAATATATCTGAAACCAATGACATACATCAAACTTAAACCTATCTACTGGACTGAAAAATACTTACCTGTCTGTTTACTCTGAGCTACTACAGCCTCAGCACTTTGTCCCTTAGACTTTTGTCTCATAGGCTTTGATATGGCAGAGACTTCAGGCGCTGGAGCTTCCACTGTTTCTGGAGGATTCTTGCGCTTACCTCTAGCAGACGCCTGTTCAACAACTGGTACTTCAATAGCCTTTTTTGTACGGCTGTTTCTAGATTTCTCCTGGGGTTCCTCAATAGGTGGAGTGTTTTTTGGCGCCTCAGTTTTTGAAGAAACTGTTTAGAAAAGAGAGATATGAATTTTCTGCCAATGGAATGAATCAAAATGAGATAATTCTTGAATCGAGATTTTAAAAAAAGGACCAACATACCTGCAGCTTGTCTGCCTCTTCCTCTTTTTGCTGCTGTCTCCTGGGTAATGGTAGGTACATCAACAACCTCAGCTGCCTTTTTAATTCGTGAATTTCTTGTTGGTGGGGCCTCAGCACTAGGTAATTCTTGAATGTTCGCTGCCGGCTCTGTAATGTAAATGATACAAATTAAATAGAATTTAAAACAGTTCTTCCCCTATATAAAATATTTTAACAAGACTAGTGTGAACTAGGATAACAATAGTAGTAGTAAATACCTGCACTCTGTTTGCCTCTACCCTTTCTGGTTGCTTGAATGCTCACTGTCTCAGTAACAGGCACCTCTTTATTGCTCTGACTTCTTGATTTGGGAAGGGATTCATCAGCTACATTGTCAATGGAAGCAGACATGGTCGTTAATTTATTTGTGCTAACTGCTACACCAATAGCAACTGTTTATGATTTGAAATACATGATTTGGGTATATAGATGTCTATTATTTATATATCAACAAATTTTATACTGTGGCAGAAATCTTTAACATTTTTGTGCAGTCTATTATTTTAATGAAAAGAAAAACACAACTTTTAAACCTATAATTAATTTAGGTTTAAAAACTATTTAAGTAAAACAAAAAATAAGTAACAGGTCAAACATTTTCTTGCAGCTGTAAGGCAGCCACTATACCTCTCCCTCTCCCCCCCCCCCCCCCCAAGTGTAACAGTTTGTGTCAAATTTTATGAAATCAACAACTATCTGGATGATAAATGGATGCAATACATTATCTTTTTAAATTATAAAATCCAAGGTTCCCACCCACTCAAAAAAAAAAAATCAAATTGTGCTGGTGACAATTTTACAAAAGGCAAACCATAAAGATAAAATTACAGGCAAAAATCATACAAGATAACAGCTGTGCTTGAACTACCTTAATGTTAGATCTAAAGCGGGACTTTTGAACAACGTAGACCTAAAAATGGGAGCAATAGCCCTGCTAAATGTAACAGGTCCTAAAAAAAGGCGAGAAATAAAATGCAATAAAAAAATTGTGTTGGTAAGATTAAATGGTAACCTACCTTTATTTTGTATGCCTCTAGCTTTTGTAACTTCAGGTTCCTGGCCAGCAGAACCAGATTTTTTCTTCAGGGTGTCACTGACAACCATTTCTTTAACTGGAGAAACAGCAGCTCTTCTACCCCTTGGCTTTACAGGGGAAATCTTTTCTTTTTCATTATTTTCAGACTTTGATCTTGATTTCCTCTCTTGCTTGACCTCAGATAATGCAGCATTACTGGCAACAGTTTCCTTCCCTGTTCTTGACTTTTTAGTCGGAGCTTCAACCTCAGTTGGTTCTTTTCGTTTCCGAACTGCTGAGAATTTTTTTTTAAAGAAATTAGTATTTTTACTTTGTTTAAAAGCAATCAGCAATTACATTTTATAAATATACTGGCTAGTATTTTATGAACACTGATTAAAATTAAAATACAAAAAACTGTTATCAAAAGGTTAGAAATATTTAGCAGTATAAATAAAACAAATGTTGGCTTTGTGTCATACTTCAACTAAGCTGGTACAGACATTGAAATAAAAGTTTGACCAAAAGTCTCTGTTCCTTTTTTTATATTCCTACAATAATTAACCTGGGAAACTAGAAAATAAGCAATATGTGCATAAAAACTTACTCTGTGATTCAGCTGGTTCCTCAGCTTCAATGACCTTTGACCCCCTCTTAGAAGACCATGATTGTACTTCAGCAGTTACAGGAATCGTTGCCTCTACAGTTGCTTCAGCATTTTTTCTCCTTCCTCTGCTGGGGGCTGCAGCAGCAACAGGTTTTTCTGCTACCTGTGATTCAGAAACCACAGGTGCTGGTACTTGCTCTGGCACTACAGCATTTTTCCGTTTTCCTCTTGTAGAAGCAGTAGTAGGGACTTTTACTGATTCAATAACTACAGGAACTTCCTCAGGCACCATAGGAGTTTTTCGCCTGCCCCTAGAGGGAGGAGCAGCTGCAACTATTTTTTCCTCAGATTCAGTTATTTCAGCAACTTCCTCGGTCACCGCAGGAGTTTTTCGCCTGCCCCTAGAGGGAGGAGCAGCTGCAACTGGTTTTTCTTCTACTGGTGCTGTTTTAGAAACTATGGGCACTGGTACTTCCTCTATTACCACAGGAGTTTTTCGCCTGCCCCTTGAGGGAGCCGCAACTGTTTTTTCTTCAGATTCAGTAATAACAGGAACTTCCTCAGCCACCACAGGAGCTTTTCGCCTTCCCCTAGAGGGAGGTGCAACTATAACTGGTTTTTCTACTACCTCTGTTTCAAGAACAGGTACTTGGACTTGCTCAGTTGTTGCAGAATCTTTTCGTCTTCCTCTAGTTGGAGCTGCATTAACTTGGGGTTCAACTGGTACTTGCTCAATTTCTTCTGGACTTTTTCGTCTTCCTCTAGCAGGAGCAGCAGAAGAAACTGGTATGTCTTCAACAATTGTTTCTGCAGTTTTGCGGTTTCTAGATTTAGATGGTACCACACTAGGAGCTGTTTTATCCGCCTCAGACACTACTGAAATTTTAAAAAACAAAATTAATGCTGAATTATTTAACTAAATGTTTTAAAACTTAAAAGACTAAGTATTAACATTTTTGATAAACATACCTTTAGGCAGTCTAGCTCTGCCTCTTTTAGTTACTGAATTCTCCAGACCAACAGGAACATTGAAGCCAACTTTTTTATTAACTTTAGCACCTGTAGTCTGTGTCTCTTTGATGGGAGTGATGGCATCAGCACCCTTACTGACTGGTGACATAGTTCTATTTCGCTTCCCACTGGGTGTTCTTCCAGCAGGTTGTTCTGCACCTTTAGCTTCTGTCACATCTGTGATGATAGCAGTCTCAACAGTTGCTGATGAATTTTGATCATTTTCCTTTTCTGTAAAAAGCATTCAATTTCATTTTATTAGTGCAAAAAAAAGGGGGAACAAGAAATGAATTAAAAATTAAGATTTAATATGTAGAATATAGCTTACACTATTTATACAACAGGTAATGTTCTAAAGTACTCACCAGGTGCTAACACTGGGGAGCTGGAGACTAAAGGCACAATTTCTGCCACCTTGGGTGAAGCATGTTTTTTACTTTCTCTCCTGGCTACAGGTGATGCTTGAGCTTTGATTGGTGTTTTGTTCTTTCTTGTGCTTGAACTGTCTTCAGGTTGCTCTGTAGTGACAGTTTCAGTCAGTTCTTGCTCTACTACTGAAGCTGTATGTAGCAGATTTAAAAGATAAATTAATTTTGACCATTTAAAAAATGAAATGATATACACTATTCTACTCCTAATTTTCAAGATATTGGAATATAGTAGCACAGTAGAATCACAGCTTATTTATCTGCAGATCAAAGGTGTAAAACATACCCATGCCTGGGCTGCCAGCAATATTTGCCTTTTTAGCAGATTCTTGAGTTCTAAGTAAAAACATAAATATATTATTATAAATGATAGTTTTATAATTAGATATATTTAAAAAAATAAAACCTGAACATTTTATTATTTTTAAAAAAGTGTCTTATTTACTTACTTCGATAAGCTCTTTCTAGACACAGGAGTAGAACTCTAAAAAGAAAAATGTTTCCTTTAATGTTTTTATTAAATTTAAAACAAAAAATAGAAGGACAATTTAAAACAAAAAATAGAAGGACAATTTAAAAGAAAAAACCCACTAACCTCATGTGCAGCAAATAATTCAGCCACGCCTGTTGGACTAACAGATGTATTTTTAGGAGTTTTCATCAAGCGTTTTAGACCAGTAGGACTGACATCTGAACGTTGAGCAGGAGACTTCATCATTTCCTTGACACCAACCAAGCTAGGATCCACAGATTTCCTTTTGTTCTTGAACAGATCTCGTACACCTGTAAGGTTAATACTTTGTCTACCTTTGCTGTAATGTTGGCTTTTGGAACCGGAGAGAGGTGATACAAACATTTCATTAGGGCCATTTGGTGTATCTGGGATGTCAGCATACAAGGCAGATTCATTAGGGTCTGATGACTGAGGTGAGTTAAACATTTCAGCAACACCAGTTAAGCTGACATTTCCAAGTGAAACCCGACTGACTTTACCCTGAAAAAAAAAAGGACAAAACAACCCAATGTAACAGAGCATTACAAAAGCAGTAAAGTTTCTCTGGCTATTTCTTCTACAACTGCATGCTATGAATAATTTAAGTGGGTTAATTCTAATTAAAACAAAAATTACCATTGACTTCTTTCTGCCTTTACGAGGTAATGGCTGTGGTGTCTTGGGTTTAATTCTACCCAAAGCTTTTTTGCCAACAATAATTGTGGCAGGTGATTCAGCATGGCCTGTTGTTGGTGCTAGGGCTCTGGCTAAAGCTCGTGGAGTCTTTGGAGTTTTTCCAACCGTCTGTTAAGGATAGTACACAATTTATTTTTTCAAAGAGGAAATATTAAAAAACTATGTATTTGCAAACAAACTGCGAACTAACAAATTGAGTGATAACACTTGCTTATATAATACTTTGATTATTTTTTAAATAATCAAAAACCAAAAGGTGAAGACTAGACAAAACTTACCTTTACTGCCACAGGAGATCGTTTTTTGACAGCAGGGAATTTGGTCAACACTGCAGGCCTTGGTAGAGGTTTAACTGGCAAAGCAGGTCCAGGTCCTGCCTTTACAATGTCTGACCAAGTCTTAACAGTGGGTGGCTTTTTAGCTGAGTCTTGTGTTTTCTTTGCAGATTTTGCTGGTGTATTTCCCCTTTTCTGCAATGCAGAAAGTTTAGGAGTTGCAGCATGACCATGTATAGCTCTAAGGGCAACAACTTTGTTCAAATCTTGCGGTGGAGTAGCAATTTTCATTGGACTTTCACTTCTTTCTAATTTCTTGCTTTTCCATGATGGTGTTCCCAACAGTGGTGACTTGGGTGATTTCACAGGGGAAGAAGTAGAAGCAATCTCATCAAAAAACTTTTTGGGTGACCTGTTGCGTTTTTCAGAAAAGTTAGGTCGGGGTGTGTCAATGTAGTTGGCTGGCTTCACCATTTTAGGAGTAGAATTGTTAAGATTGGCATTGCGTTTCTGTGATTTCTGTGCTTCATTTGGTGTCTTGAAAAGTGGAGAAATTCCAGTAAAGCTGACATCTGCTAAAGTTTTCGGGGTCTTGAGTAGTTCCTTAACACCAGTCAGAGAAATGTCAAGTTCCTTCTTGTTTGTCTTACCTAGGCCACCAGCTCTTTTCACAATTGGTGTCTTGACATGTGGGCTATGGCTCTTAGGACTTACAGCTGAGATCTGGACTTTCTTTTCCACAATTGTTGTAGTGTCAGTGAGAGGACTTGTGCCTAGAGATTTAACACGACGACCATTAGGTTTAGCAGTCACTTTACCCACTGTACCCCTATCTGCACTTTTTGATTTATCAGACAAAATTTTTTCAACATCATGTTTTTCAGGTGTTACAATCTGATCAGTATCCGGCGAAGAAGCTTCATCACTAGTTGACGCTATATTCACGGTTTCAAGAACTGGTGAACTGGGTTTTGGAGATTTTCTGTCAGCGGGTGGCGATCTTGACAAGCTTCGTCTTTTTGGTGTTGTTTTAATATTCTCATTGTTTGAAAAGCTTGAATCATTTACTATGGTAGCATCCACTGAGCTTGGTTGAACTGGTGACTCTGACAACACTTGTTTGCTAGCTTGACTTGGTGTCAAACGCTTTCCAGGTGAAGGACTTTTAGCCAATGATGTGTTATTTTTAGGAGATTTCCTTTTTAAAAGGGACTTGGGGCCTTGACTAATTCTAGATGGCGTTGCTCCTTTCTTGATTGGTGTTTTTGGAGGCAGGCACTTATCAAAGTGTTCAGGACTTAGACTTGGTCCAAAAGAAACACGCTTTCTTTTTGAAGAAGGAATGACAAATTCTGAATACCTCCTCTTGGTACCAGAAAGCTGCTGTGGTTTCTCAGTTTCTGAAATGAACCAAGAAATAATGTCTTTTTAATAGTTCTAAGAAACATAAAAAACAACTTCATATAAGCATATTTTATTAATATAAGAGTGAACAAAGTGAATTTTTCACCTCTAACTGGAGTGATTTTAGAAGGTGTAGATGAATCCTCTTCAGTCTCAACAACAGGCATTGATTTACGCCTCAAGTCACTAATACTCTTCCTTAAACTAGCATTGCTTTTAGCATAAGGGCTTCCAACAGCTTTCTGTGAACAGAAAAGTAAGGTAAAATAATTTTCTATAAAACACTAGGTGACTAAATTTTTTTTAAAATTGAACATGTTAGGAAAGAATGGTCACATGTACATTGGACCATAATAAAAACTTTTCCATGAAATATGGCAAAATGAAAGTGTATAAGTATAATTAATTTGTATTTGCGCATTTAGCTGGGAACCAAAATACTGTACAATAAAAATATAAAGTCCAACAAACCTTTGCAGGTGATGCCACTGGAACGTCTTTAAAAAGCAATGGTGTTTGAGCAGAAGTAGACGGGGTCATGTTAAAAACTGGGGTGGCCGTTTTGCTCTGATGAACATCAGAGAGCTTCCTTAAACCTTTCGGTGTGACAGAAACTTTGTAAAATGAAGTTGGCGATAACCCAAAGAGAAAATCCGGAGAAGCATGAGCACTTGCTGAATTCTTAAGTAATGCAGGTGTTCTTGGTGAACTCTTGGTTTCCGCCTGAGGAGATTTTGCAGCTTTAGTGTCAGGTACATTATCAGTTCTTGGGCTTAAGGGCTTTGGAGTTCTACCTGAAGATCTAGGACTTTTTGAAGCTGACCCAGGCTGAAATAATATAGCCAAAAGACCAGAATATTAAAGCTTTAATAACTAAATGCTGTCTGTTTTAAAAAATTTGAATAAAAAAAGAATCAGGTTTAAAAAAAAAAAACAAAAAAAAAAACAAAACAAAAAAAACAACCAAACTATCAAAATGTAACATGTACCATAGATGTACTCATTCCTGGTGATTTTGGACTCTTGCCCTTGGGTGATTTCTGTGGGTAAAATCGCGAGTTGGCAGGAAATTCAAACCGGAACCTTCTACCAACAATGGAAATTATATCCCCATGGGATAAAGCAGTCAAATTGTCAGATAATGCCTTGTCATTAACAAGAGTGGGTGTTGATTTACTGAGGTTTTTTGCAAATACCTGTAAAAAAAATGTATGCTTAGATAACAGCTGAAAGTTATAAACTCTCACATGACATAGCTTTTACAAAATAGCCATCTGATATACTATAATATCAACCACCAATTTTTTTTAAAACAACAAAGATAAAATGAAATTCAATTAAACAGAACTTACATGTCCTTTGTTGTCTACCTCAACCCGGCATTGTTCCTCGTCTACACTAGGTAGCTGAATTCTAATGTCACATTCTTGATTTCTGTAAGTACAGAACAAGCATTAATGAAATGATTGTATATATAAAAAAAGTCAATCACAAATCAATATTATTGCACCTAAAATTTTAATACTATTTCATTGTTTGAACACTAAAATTTGGGTGCAAAACTTCAGATTTAAAGATATATGCATATTAGGATAACAAGACATTAGCTTATTGACTACCGTGCCGTATGACAAGAAATATTTATTCATTCAAACATTTAAAGAGTGTCAACAGCTAGGCTAGATATTGGTATTAAATGGGTACCTTCCAAACACACAGCAGTTTGATGTAAGTGGGAAATGTGCACTATCTGTTCCATTTCGCCGAACGACTATAATTTTTCCATGGACATTCATCTGAAGAGACAAAAAATTAAATGTTTATAAATAGCCTAGGGCCTATATATTGGTGAATATTTTTTCTTTGCATCATCATAGCGTTGTCTCCTATGATTTAATGATAGCTAATTCAATTATAAATTGCTTAATGTGTTGCCATAAAAGTAGTAGTGCTACAAGGGGGGGGGGGGATTATTATACCAGTGTCTGATAATAATAGAATCTGTAAAAAAGAATGTGGTTACTGAAAGTTATTAAAATAGTTAACTAAATGACTTGATAATGTCAATGCTAGCCTTATCCCTACCCCATGCCTAGCCCTATTTCTAATAAAACTAGTTAAGTAGAGATTACAATACTACTAAATCTAGATCTAACAAACCAACACTAATTTGGATAAGCCTGATTACTAGATTAAGAGTCTATGTGATTAAGTGAGTGTGAGTAGGAAATACTTTAGTAAAGATTTTAAGATAAAATGTCAATAAATAAAACATCTAGAAAATCTACATTTTTAGATCTAGACTAGGCCTAGCCTAGATCTAATAATTTGATGAATCTTCACCAGTCTTGTAATGTTAACATTTTAGTTGGACTAACTTAGATACCTTCTTACAATAAGTTTACTGGGTCTAGAATCTAGATCTATTTGTCTAGTTAACAAAGAAAGACTCCTCAGTCTGGACGTTGAAAGAGACGTCAAGGCATTTTTCATTTTTGTTGAAAATGAAAAATCTAGACCACCTTCTGGATCTAAAATCAAGATCTCTACATCGAAATAAAAAGCTGGGCTTGCATAACTACTGTTAGATTCTAGATCTATGTCCTACAATTAATCAAAATCGTTGTTTGGCCATTTGGATTAAAAATAAAATTAGGGATTGATTAGGTAAAGCCTAGACTACACTTATGTTAGAACAGCGCGGACTAGGACTGCCCGACCCACAATCTCTGTGACAATGTTTACACTTTACAAAGTTGATTTATAATTTTCAACATTTCATGATAATAGTTTTTAATAATTATTAGATCTATCTGATAGAGAAAAGATGACATTTTAACAAAATGAATTTACTGTAAAAACATTGCAGGTTCATCCGTTTTTTCGTAATATTATTGTCAAAACAATCCCCGTCGGTCTTGTTGATAATCTAAGTTGGTTAACGCGCGCAGTCAGGACGATGACCTACATAATTTGAATTTATATGCCAGGTATGTTTGTGGCCCAATGTTTAAATGTTAGGCTGACACTAGGCCTAAAAGCCAAACGAAAAAAAATGCAATGTATGTCTACAAGTGAATGAAAATCAAAAACACAATTTTACTAGATCTAGGCTAAACTATTTAGATCGATAAACTTGTAAGGAACTCTAACCTGGAAAAAAAAACTTCCTGACTGCAAAATTTCCATTTAATCTTTCAATATGTTGTGTGATAGATAAATTAGTAGTTTAATGAAGTATCTAACACGTCTTTACAAAAACAATACTTAGATCTAGATCTATATATATAAATTGAGATTAATTTGAGAATACAATCGTTTGAAAGTTTTAAATGCAATGTTTGAATTGTTTAAAAAATAATGCGATTATTCAAGAAAGGCATGTAGCACAGTTAAGTAAGGCGTACGTCTCCTAATTAAATTTAAAGCGGTTTACCCTTGTATTGGCTATTTAAAGAAAATGGGGCAGAACTATTGCCCCTGCCGATAGTCCACTTTCTAGATTGTTTAAAATAAACAGAGCTTATAAACATGAATGAAAAAAATGAAGCATAAAAATACATTGCAGCATACTAATTATGACTGGTCAGCAACATCAACGGCTTGGATTTGTCTAAGCCAGGGGTCTCCAAACTACGGCCCGCGGGCCGGATGCGGCCCGCGAAGTCCTCTCATCCGGCCCGCGGAGATCTTTTTGTCCAAGGAAAAAATCGTTTGTTGGTGATGGCTGAGGAACTTTGTTCAGAAAAATCAAAGACATGCCTGGAAGAAACTGGCCCGCGAACTGAAATTTGATAGTTAATGCGGCCCTCGGACTAAAAAGTTTGGAGACCCCTGGTCTAAGCTAAATGCAACGCTGTTATTTGAATGAGGTAACATAATTTCAATCCGCGAGTTAACTACTCGGGGGCTACTTCAATGGACAAAACGACAAAGCGGCCCCACATTTAGGGTGTACTAATTAAAACTCATTCGCAAAATGCACAGCAACAATAATTTTGACAATATACCAAAACATTATTTTATCATACTTCCCGTGGCTACATCTTGTCAAATTAACATACAAAGTGCGATAGTCGTGGTGGCAGAAATTCACTATTCATGCACGTGAAACTGGTACATAAGACGATGTCACACTCCAAAGTGGACTGGGGGGGTCGGAATTTCATAAATGTGAACACACATTTTTGCATGTTAAAAAGTAATGCAAAAACTGACTTTTAACCTTTAATTTGCGTTTTTAAAATACTGCTTTTGTAAATTATAATACAATTTGATCAATATACCCAACATTGACCGAGCTCTTAAAATAAATAAAAAAATTGCAGTTTTTAAAAACAAAAAATAGCAACTTTGCAGGGAGTGGTATGCTGATGTATGCGTCTTTTTGGGGTTAAGTGACAAGAACCGTTTCAAACAGCGTGACGTCGTACCCCCTATGATGGAAAAGAGTAGGGTACCATTTACAGTTAAGAATAAAATGTGGAAGGGGAAGGCAATATTCGTTTTTTAAATGCCACGCCCACTACTAGGCTATTCTTACCTGCCCTACATCTGTGGCCCAAATGTCAATGGGCGATGACTCAGAGCTGAATGTAAACAATGAGCAAATCACGAAATAAGGGGAGAGCATTTAAAGCCTGTGGTTGTATTAATGAGATCTTTAGAGACAGGATAGTGATTCAAATTAAATAGCTTAAAATATTTATTTTAACTAATCATTAAATTAAGTTTTATTTAATGGTTTATGTAAACCAGAGCATTGGTAGTGTAGTAGCACGATCCTATGTAGTGTAGAAAGGAATGAAGGAACAAATAATGACTGGGTTATGTAACATGGGGCGGCGTCATCTAGCGGTAGAGCACTAGATGCTATCACGAAGTCTTGAGTTCGAATCCGAGCTCTGATGGGTATCTAATTCACGTTAGAGAAAGTAAAGGCGGCTGGGCATAGTGCTGACCGCATTATCCCTTCATATGCTGAGGTCACAGAGACATATGAACTCTGCTTCATCTACCCAGGAATCTTTATGTAGCATTAACGTAACATTTCTCTACACATACACTAACCCGCACCACACAATATTGCACAATGATTTACATAACAGTAACAGCTCATGTTAGGGTTATGCTCATGACCAGGGTTTGGAGTATGTCAGTGACACTGGTAAAACACTACGCTCGAAAAGTTTTTACAAGTACCATTCTAGTTATAGATTTAACTTACACTTAGCTGTCATACTCAGGGTTTCTATCAGGCATCTTTCTCTGGGGATGGGAGTCGGTGGGGTGGGATGGGGCTTTTTTAACTTTCGTGGACAATGGTTCAAGTAGCCCTACATACATCTATATATATAATTCTTTTCTTGGATACTATAGAAAAGACCTAGCTGTAAGCGCGCTCCCTACCACCCCCACCCCTACATGGTCTGGTGAGCTGTGGTTCACGCTAAATGTTTACAATCGTAGAGCCGGGTTTAGTGACGGCTATTAGGGGCAGATAATGTAGTTTGAAACGATTTTAAACTTAGGGGAGGTAACTAAGAGGAGTTTGCTTTCACGGGGTGGGGTGGGGGTAGGGGTTGGGGAAAGGAGGGGGGGGGGGTATCGTCCTTAACGAGCTACTGATAGTGTATAAAAGGAAATATTTTCAGTGGCAGCATTGGTACTGTCGAATTGACAAATTATGAATTACTGAAAAGTAGAAAATAAAAAAACTAAATAGTGGCGTATGATACGCCGCGGGTCGGCTAGTATTTCATATTTTCTATACGAGTTCAATATTTTTTCTATTACGTCCGGAGACGAGGATGCGGTGGACGTACTCTAGGGTTTGCCTGAAAGAAACATTGGTTATACTTCATATGCGTTCTACAGGTTTAAGTGGATTATGAAAAAAATATCATGTACTCAAATAAAGTTGGTTAAAATGTAGGCTACTATAGCAGAATAATATAACGCAAGCATAGTCTCTACTAATCCCTTGCATAACCACTTTCAAATATTTCCAGGATGTCAACGATTAAGCCGAGAATCTTTTGTAACGGGTGAAAGTCACGAAATCATCGAGTACAGCCAGATGCTGCTCAAATAACGCCAGCACGGGACGCATCACATGAAACACCAGAGCAAACATGAGCGGTATAAAATCAGTTGTTAAAACAGAAAGAAAAAATGACTAGTATTGCGGGGAGGTGGGTCTAATGTTAAAAAATTTGGGAATCCCATAAAGAAAGAATATATTTGTAATGGGGACCAAAGTATGAAATGTACTTTTTTTTTCTATTGCCTGAGCAGGAATTTTTTTTTAGTACTGTATAACTTTCGCGGTTTAGATTTTTTTGCTAATATTTAACATTAGATTAACTGATGACGTGCGTAGGCTAGCGGATAATGATTTCCATATTTAACGGTTAGGTAAAGAGCGCGATAAAACACCATTCTGCACTGGTGTGCGGCTATTTCTAGCTCATGGTGACGAACGAAGGATTCACTCGTACAATTCTCGGTGGAATAGCCTACTCATATGGGTGGTAACCAAACACTTGTTTTAGTATGACGTAACGGCGGAAGCCGAGAGAGGCGCGTTTTTGTGTGGCAGAATGATGCTATCACTTGGATTTGAATGGCCCTGAAAGCATGATGTGATTAAAGCTTAACACTTTTAAACTTGTATAACCATCTGTGTTGACTTTTTATCATTGAAGTTGGAGGATTTAATTTCCGGCAGTGGATTGTTACTGACTAAAGGAAAATAAGAAAAAAAATCTGCAGGTAAGAAACGAGGTTTTTTTTTTACATTTTTATAATAAAAGAAATAAGGTAAAACAATTTTATAAATTTCTAATGCCTTTGTCAATGTTAAAAGATAATAAGAACAGTATTTAAAATTATTTCAAACTTTTATTTTCTGAGTTTGCATTGAGGCAGTAATAGATAAAATTTGTTGAAGATGGGTTTGAAAGGGGGAGGGGGGTAGCCAGAGTTTCTTTCAGGCATTTATATTGGAATTTGTAGCCTGCTTTTAATAGTGTCACCCAATCCACGGAAATTTAATTCCGCTCTCCCCCAAAAGTTTCATGAGTGTGTCCCCCCCCCCCCCACTTCTCAGACAAAAATGTCTGAAAGTAAAGACTGTTTTAACTGGAGTAACAATCTGTCAGATGGAGATGATCAATTTAAAGCCTGACCCCAGAAAAACACACATAATTAAAACGTATTCCCTACCAGAATACTCTAGACTAAAATCTAAGATCGATACTATATTTCAGTCTATGTCTGTTTTTTAAAGGGTTCAAATATGTAGCGTTTGCTCCCTTCATATGCCGAGGTCTCTGAAGCAGATGCACTCTACTTCATCTGCCCAATGTGCCTTGGGCACGAACAAGACATTATGATGATGATGATCTTTAGTATTGGGGGTGGGGGAGTACGTTTTGCGTTTTCCATCAGTAGTTCATTAGCTACGCGCCTGAAGCTTAGGACTTGTTTTTAAACTAAGGACAATATATCGTTCAAACATCGTTATTTAGGCCCGAGCCACAGATAAGCATAAACCCCCCCCCCCCCCACTTTATTCATGTTCTAATGCCATTCTTTTAGTTAACTTTTCGGTCGAGATGGTCTCTGTGATCAAGGAAAGGCATATAAAATGCCAATACTATGCCTAGCCACTTTTGCATTTCTTACATTTATCAGGTACCCTCAGAGCCGGGTAGACTCATGGACGCCCGTAGACGCTAGTCCCAGATCCGAACTCGAGACTTTCGGGTTAGCTGTCGAGTAGTTTGGCTCCCGACCAAACCGTCCATAGTGCCAATCTTTTGGTGTTTAGTCATTGTTTTATTGAATATCTTCAAACTCTTAATATGATGGTAGATTCAAACCTAAAAATGCAATTGAAAAAATACTAGACAAGTTCAATATATTAATATATAAATGCAAGTTAAGCAGCGATTCTAAGCATATAACGCACGCGACCATTTAATGACATGGTTAAAAATAAGCTTTAACCGATTTACCCCTTTAAAAGGATGCTATTTTAGGAATGGCCAAACAACGCCCATTGTTCAAACATGAGCGCGGAATACAGGATGTAGGCAATGGTACACTGCAGACTCCAATGTATCGTTTAAAGATCCAACGTTTTTGTAGGTGCTTTAGAAAGAAGCCAAACGTACTGGGAACTTTTTAGCATTAAAGGCTAAATACCCCTAACCAACATGATTTCATAAACATCAGATAAACCAAACCGAAATACCACCCCACCCCCACCTCGTGATGATGTCACTCTCTGTGTTTACTTTTCTACCTCTGAGTAGGGACTTCGACATAACTTGACTGCACAATACTGCAAGCACGGTTCGAGATAAGAAATGGGACAGTATCAGAGATCTTGTTGAATTACCTGTAGCTAGTCTAATGTCTCTGTAGTTCAGCATAATATATATATACATATACATACATATATATATATATATATATATATATATATATATATACATATAACCTATATATTTATATATCATCATCGTTTCCTTTTTTTGCACAAGGCATTGGGCCGCCGCTTAAAGCTCTTTCCACTTTTGCTGGTCTTTAGCAAATAGTATGAGTTGTACTTGTAGGATAATAAAGGTTTTTTTTTAAAAGGACAAAAAGATGTTTACATTGAGTCGAAAGTTTTTTACAGAAAGAAATTTTTTTTTCAGATATATTTAAAAAAATTTATTTCTGTAGAATTATTTTTTTTACATCTGGTTTATATGATAGCTCGTGAGTTCGAACCCTCGGGCAGATGGAGCTCGTCAGATGGGGACAGCAGCCCATCTAGGAGAGAAAACTTTAGGAGATAGTCAGTGTTTCTTCCAGCCTTTTTTCTCCGGGGGGGGGGGGGGGGGCACTTGAAATTTTCGGTGTAGGGGCGGACTAAAGTTTTCGGGGGAGGGCGGGACACTGTTAAAAGTATATATTTTCTTATTTTCTATATAAATTCCATTTCTTTCGGGGGGGGGGGGGGGGGGTACACTTTCTTCGGAGGGGGGAGGGGGGCTCTTCTCCCCGAAGAGATGCATGGAAGAAAATATGGAGATAGTATTACCTACACTGGTTACCTTTCGGCACGTGGCTGATTCCAAGCTGTACAGGTAACGTCGTCCCTTGGGTCCATCAGCTGTGTGGAGAGATGAAGCCTGATACATGGGCTCTTCTCATCTTACCACCCGGACTGTAAGCTTGGATTTCCAATGCGCAATCATCCAATGGTCTATGAGACTATGGAGCCATATATTTGTATATTTAGTTAATTTTACTTTTTAAAAATTAAAAATGTGCATATATACTAAGTATTTAAACAAACTGTTCTGGTTGTAATTCTAACACTTCGAAATTATTGGAGGTTAAAAAAAAAAGATTCATTACCAGTAGCCATCCTACAATCCCACATTTTTAGTAAAAAAAAAAATTCTTAAAAAGTACTCTGATTTTATTCCCTTTTTAAAATAAAAAATTGCGATCTATTTCTAAAATACTGTGTTGTTTCCCCTTACATGTGGATATAACGAAATTTACCTGAACTAGATTGTTTTAATCGAAAACAATATTGTCTCTATTGAATTCTAAGAATATTAGCAAATCCCGACCAAGGTTAGGAATTAAGGCTACATTTTACGCATTAAAAAAACTTATGTGTAGAAATAACATTTGAATTTCAAAATTGTGATGCCACACTTCGTTACTCCTTACCCGTCGTCACAAATTTCCGACCACCCGGAGCATTGACGTCATTTGTGGACGACACCTTGAAGAGACATCGAATAGTAATATTTACGCGTAAAATTATATCCATCAATTATAAATAGCCGAAAATGTATTTGGTCTTTGTTTATAAATCTCAAGCAACTTTGTACTAAAAATTTAGTTTACTTGCGGTATATTTACATTGAATTATAGGATAAATTATTTAAAATAAATCAAATGTTTTGATCACTTTTAATAAGCCGCCATTCGATTGTTTTCTTAAATTATTTTAACACACACAGTATTAAAGAGAAAGTCGCTTGTTGTTATAAACAAAATCTGACGAAGTTTAATGTTATTTTATTCCCCAGAACTTGCACAAGTCGAGGGAATCACCTTTACAAATCACTAGGATTTAAAAAGATGCTGATTACAGAAATCAAGTAGAGTACAATATTTGCGTAATTTAGACAATAACTGAAGCCCAAGAAGTGAAATAACATCAGAATATCTATTTAAACCTCCCTCGAAAATGCCCGCCGTTACAAAAACACCAAGGAAAATAGTCACTAGAAGTGAAACAGCGAGAGAATTTAAAATGTCCATGAAAAGGGATAAAGCTAAAACAAAACACGCGAAAAGATCATCTTTCAATCTAGAAACTATAAGTGAAGCTAACTTACGCAAACTACTCAAAGCCAAAGAAAGGAAGAAACTTGGAAAAAATAATACCTCGTTGATTACAATATCTCCGGAAAATGTAAGAAAACATTACCAGCTGGCAAATAAGACCGATACTTTTGGCAAGTTTCATTCAAAAACTACAAGCGCAATGTTATTGCCAGGAAAGCGTGCAAAACGAGCTAAAGAAAATGCTGTATCTATTATAGTGGCAACAAAAATTGGTCCAAGGTCAAGCAACTTTTATGAGGATGTTGAGTCGCATTATTCGCCAGAAAATGCAGGTGACATACAATTTAATGATAATCAATTACAGGTAGTTAGGAGTCATTCAAAATCCCCTACAAAAAATCTTTCTACCAAAATAAAGGAAGTAAACTCTAATAAACAATACATAGATTCAAGTAAGTCAGAAGAAACGAATAGATCTAGATCTAGATCTTCAACACAAATAAACAAATCGATAGAACTATGGCAGTCCAAATCAACACCAACCAAAACTAGATCTAGATCTACTGGCATTGAAGTAACTGCAAAAGATAATCAGATCTTTTCAAATATGAACGACACAGCCCATACAGACGGCCAAAATCATCAAGAGCTTGTATCAGGAAAGAACTCTGAAGCTAAAAAAAAGGACTCAGAAATAAAGCAAAATGTAGAAACAACAGAAAAGAATTTATTGAAAAGATCATCCATGAAAGATGGACTGGGTGACATTACAAGTGTTACTGGTAGCAGTAAAAATACTGAATCAGAATTTACAGCTCAGAGTTTCTTAAAACCTTCCATTATGCAACCAAAGCAGTTTAAAAATAATACCAGAAGTAATACGAAAGAGACATTACATGTCTCACCAATTACAAATGAAACAACTTTGAAGTCAAAGCTTAAACCAAAAAGTGTTTCTGTTTCTATTCAAAAATCTGTGGACACTAAAGTAAATACTATTTTACCAGAAACACCAACTAGCATAAATGGCAAAGACCTATCCCATGGGATTATCAGGAGTGTTATTAGTAAACAAAAAGAAATTGATACTGATATACAAGAGACTGGTAATAGAACCATTGCATCAAGGACAGGAAAAAAACAAAAAGGAAATAAAGATTGTGATTTAACAATCAATAATGATACATTACAAAGACAGTCAAGTAGATTTGGGATGAAAAACAAAGAGGAGATTTCTTTTCCTGTTAGTATTTTGAGTACAAACAGCAACCAAGCAAATACAATTCCAATTATAGATGACCAACATAGACAGGATAAAAATATACTAAAAAAGACAACAGATCTGGCCCAATCATTAACAGCGAGTGGATTATCTGAACAAACTAGAGAAACACTACAGCATGAAAAAATAAAATTAAGCAACAAAATTATTAATAAGAAAACAAGATTGAGAAACAAAAGCAATAATGCTGTAATGACTAGTAATAGCCCAAATCTAAGAAAAAGTCTGTCAAGTGTTCAACTAAATGAAACCAGTTCTCAAAATTATGCTCAGAAATCATCACCTGAGCCATCCACGATTCAGCTGCAATTAAATTCTACAGATGCTAAAAAACCTAAGGAAAAAAGTAGCACCAGAAAACTCAGGCATAGAAAAAGCTTTGAAACTCAATACAACAAATCAACTGTCAAACAGCAAGGAGCTTCATTATTGGCTAATAAAAACACTATAAGGCCTCAACAAGCTATAGCAAAATCACCACAGTCATTAACAAATACATCTACTAGTGAATTCGATTTTATGAATACAGAGTCTTCTTCAAGATCTAAAAGAAAAATATCTGTGTCTAATAATAAGATAACAGTGTCTCCTTTAGGTGATGGTAAAGCTAAGACAAGAAGAGGTACATCAATACCAGTGTTAGTTGTTTCACACTCTAACCATACTAAGAAGATCATTGAAGACATCAAGAAACAACAACCAGTGGTTTCAAAACTTAGTCCACACACCAAATTAAAACTAAAAGCTAGTCATAGAAATACAAGCGCAACACCAATTTCTAGTAAAAAACCTAGCTATGATTCAGAACATGGAAAAAGACAAAGCTTAACTAATACAACCAAAGCTAGAAAGAAGAAAACATATCAACGTAAAATAAAAACAAATACGGTGAGAGGAAAATCATGGTCTGAAATGTCAAACACTGAGCATAAAGCCAATTTCAAAAGTCCACCTTTAAAAAGTGTTTCAAGTTTAGATAATAATGAATTAATTAATATAAGACTAGAAAATAAGTTAAAATCAAGGCAATCAACTCCAGCCATGAAGAGAAAAAGCCCAGAGAACAGTAAAATGTCAGAACCAATTCCAAGAAAAAGACAAAGAATGTCCAGTAGACTTGGTCAAAGTCAAAGTGTAATTCAAGAGAGAACAATTCCATCATCAAGTATAAGTAAGGGATCAGATAATACAAGTGTGAGTCCAGTACCTGAAAGAAACAATAGGACTATAGTTACAATTCACAATAGTTCCTCGAGAAACAGTTCAAACCATAAAATACCTAGTATTTTAATGGCTAGGTCAAAGGAAGATGAACCTACATTGGAAAAGAAAAAGAAAACAAGGGCAGAGTCTAAAATTTCAAAATCACGTTATTTAACAATCAATTTTAATAAAACATCAAACAGAAAACCTAACACTAATAGTGTAAAAAATGCAAAAGTAAGAAAAAACAAAATATTGAATTCCAACTTTAACAAAAATTCTTCAAATGCAAGCTCATCTGACATATTAGATAGAGCAAAGCAACTCAAAAATGATAGCCAAATTTCTATTGAGAATATTGATTCAAAGAAGCGATCAGTTACAAAAGAAGAAAAAATGAATGCCCTTGGTCTTTTTGCCATCACTGTATATGACACACGGACAGGGGAATTAATAACAAATGGGATCAGGAGAGAAACAGATTATTTTGAATCAGGCGTCAAAGACTTGGGAGAAAGCACCAAAACACCTACAAGAAATACAATAAACAATGAAGTGTTTACAAAAGACCCAGATGTACACAATATTCCTGAGATAAGTGTTGAAGTGAATAAAACACCATATACAAATAAAGCGAAGAAGACACCAAGGGAGAAGAAAAAGCTAAACACAGTGGTGGATGTTGATATAAAAGGGAAGCAATATCAGAACATCTTATCAGTGAAAAGAGCTACAGGAAAATTTCTTAAGAAAAGTAAAAAATCTCATTTAACTAGCAGTAAAATGCAACATGTTTCTGTTGACAACACACATCAAAAAGAAATATTTCAAGTTGAAGAAGATTATCCAGTTAGTACTGTTAAAGCACCCCAAAAAACACCAAGTAAAAAAGTACTTTCTGCTAGACCGAGCACCAGAAAAACTTTGCCGAGAAATACGAAGTCTGCCACACATCTGCCACAACTCATGAGCAAATCTCAAGTACGCTTGAACACAGCTAACAGAGAAAGACCTACCTCTAGCGTCAAGAAGAATCCTTCAACACCTTTAAATGATAGAACTATTCAAAATTATAAAGACCAAAAATGTTCAAAATTTCATAAAAAAATAACCTTACCTAGAAGAAAGCAAGTTTCATCAAGAAATGTCTCATCATCACCAGTAACATCAAGATCCAGATCAGAAAGATATCAAATACTTAAGATAAAAAATAAGCAGAACTCACCAACAACGCCAGCAACAGTCCCAGTCATTAAAACTCGAGGCATTGTCCAATTCTTAAAGACCCCATCACCAGATATACTAGCAAATGAAGCTACAGATTTAGGTAACAAAATGATTAAAAGAAATTTGTCAAAAAGTTTTGAGCAGCTATCTCTTTCAGTAACATCACATATTTCACCCCATGTTACTAAAAATACAAACAATACCAAAGAAAATACAAATAATATATCACAAAGCAATACACGGAAAACTGTTCAGAATAAGAAAAACAAACAGAAATCATTTTCTGTTCTCAATTCAAAGAAAATCAATAGAAAAAGCAAGAGGTTATTGCCCCTTTCTTTGAAAAATGAGCAAAGAAGATCACTTGTTCTTGAAACACCAATCAAGAAACACACTAATAATGAGAAATCAGCTACAACTCCAAAAGAAAAATCAATAACTGTCAAAAACAGAAAAGCATCCAATATTGTATCAAAAAAAGCTAAAAGCAAACATGTCATTAACAAGGCATCCATGAGATTCAAAAGAGATAAAAAGTTTGTAGGAAATAATGAAAACACAACAAAAGCTAGAATTATTCATTCTAGATCTGCTTTGAAATCTAAACCTGCTGCAAGTATAAAAAAGTCTGAAATTCAGGAATCCAGGCAAAAACGATCTAACCTTGTTAATAATGATGATATTAATTCAGCTTCTAATGTGCTCACACAAGGAAGCAATAAATACATACATTCTATAGACACACAGGATAATTTAACACAAAGGAAAAACACACCCACCAATTCTTCAAAATTGCCATTTAAAAAACATCAGACATCAATGAGATCTAATATCACTGAGGACATTGTATCTATGCAAAATATTGCAAGGGCAAAGAACAGCACTACTGAAGTAAACTCAAATAATGCATGGTCTCCTGAAGACACAAAGAACACTAATAGAAGTATCAGCAGTACTAAAGTACAATCTATCAATAGATGGACTCCTGTGACTTTACAAGTTGACGAGAATAAGAGAAAAAATTCTGAGATGCAACAAAACAGAACAGATCTATTAGAGGACGTTCAAACATCATCAGGGTTAAACAAGGATAAGAATGAACTGAGCCAGAATGTATCCTCTCTTAAGGTCTTCAAACAAACCTTGAGTAGAAACGATGGGATCCGTAAACCAATATTGAAACCATGGATTTTGTATGGAGCTCATACAATGAATACGAAATTCTATCAACATGAGAAAATAAAGTATCTACCCATACGAATCGATGAACAAAATGATGAATATGATCATCAGACTAAGGCAACTAATGTTCTACTATCGAGCAGGCTAAACAAGTTTAAGATAAATAGTTCTCTGTCCTCAAGGTATAATAACCTAGAGGATATTGATGTTGGTGTTAGTCACAAATATGGCAGGAGAATGCTCAGAAAACTGAACAGAAATGATATATTATCCAATACTAGATCCAAGCCAGTGTCATCAGAAATGTTAAGTAAAAGTTTACCCTTGTTTGTGGAGGACTCTGAAAGCACAGATAGCTACAAAGACCAGAAATTTAATTACTCAAGTGATGACATAATTTTTTTAAAGAGCCAGGAAAACTCATCTCAAACTCTCTGTGCCATTCTTTAAGTTAAAAAGATTAAACTCAGCGATGTTTAAAAAAATTAAATAACATAAGCTTTACATTTCTAATAGGCTTTTATCATAACCATAAAAATATGATTAGAAAAAATTGTATATATATTTTGTACTAGCTTTTACAAACATGTTTAGCCTTTAAGTTTTCAATTACTGTTCATATATAACAGTGTTCATTGTAGCTCATATAGGCATACAACTGTTTACATCTTCTAAACTAGCTTTTACAAGAATGTTTAGCCTTTAAGTTTTTATTTACTAGTTATATATAACCACTGTAGGTCAAAAATGCCTAATACCATATATATACTTTACTTTAGCTTTTAAAACATTTGTAAACAAAAGTATTGTTTTACAAATAAGGATTTTATTTTTTGCACCTATGTATTGCACATGTATTTGCCAAGTTCTTGTTGTGTTTTATTTATAGTTCATCATTGTAAACATTTATATTTTCAGTTCTGATTGTTGGGAAAAATATTCTTCACAGTTATTTTGAAGCTTCTGTTTTATAATTGTGCACAATAGTGAACAATATATTACTCTTAGTTTGATATTCGATCACTTGTTTTAAAGATCAAGGCAGCAAGCACATATAATCTTTTGTTATATCACTTTTGAAATATCTTTAGTTTTGGTCTACTTGTATATACATAGTTTTTGAACTATATAGACAATAAAACAATACGAGTAATCACATAAACAAACTGTCTGTTTTTTTTTATCACATTATTTTCTATCAAAGATAGAAGAAACACATATGAGAAAAGACAAAAATGTCTGAAAGATACCCTTGGCACAAGATAAATTGTGCATTTTTATCTTAATCATAGGGCCTATTGTTTAACTGTTCACTCCCCCCTCATCTAAAGAAATAAATGTGACACCCCTCACCCACACCTAACCTATCTAATGTGACCTGATGTTTGCTACATAACAATATTTTTTTGAGGTTTTTATAACTTATTTCAATAAAAAGTCTGAAAGTCATCAATTTGCAATTTTGAAATGACTCTTTTGACACTTATGATGGAGGCCATATGTTGCTGCACAGGTTTTTGGTCAAGTACACATCTTTTGATGTACAATCTGTACAAGTATCAAGTTTTTTTACATTTTTTCAGCAATGTGACAAGCAGGTTAAGGACTCAACAGGTTACCAAGTAGACGGAGGTAGTTTGTAAGGCAACCATGTCCACAACACTGCTGTATACCTGATTTACCTATAGGGCATGATCAGTGGCGTAGCGAGGTCGGGTGTCACCCGGTGCGGCACTTAATGGTGTCAACCCCCCAGAGGCGTAGCGACCCTTCCCTGGGACAAACTTTCAAATTTTCGATTTGCACACCCCTTCCTCAAACTTTCGATTTGCACCCCCTCCTCAAGTTTTTCTCTATATATTTTGCTATTTTTTTGCCTTGGTGTCACCCCCTTAAATGGTGTTACTCGGTGCGGTCCGCACCCCCGCCCCCCTCGCTACGCCCCTGGGCATGATAAACAAATTACAACTTTACTAAATCTTCTTGTCCCATGGAGCACTTGATATATCAAGTGATAAGAAGCAAAGTCTCTTTCAGGCATCTCTTCAGGGGGTGGGGGGAAAACTGCTGGCATCCAGATATAAGACTAGTCTAGGCCTATTTATAATGTGCAACAGAGGCGTAGCGACCCTTCCCGGCGCCCGGGTACAAACTTTTCGATTTGCACCCCCCCCTCAAGATTTTGATTTGCACCCCCCCTTGAGAGTTCCATTTGCACCCCCCCCCCTCAAACTTTCGATTTGCACCCCCCTCAACCTTTCAATTTATTTTTCCAACCCATTTTGGCGCCCCCTAAGGTCGGCGCCCGGGGACATATGTCCCCCCCGCCCCCCCCCCCCCCCCTCGCTACGCTACTGATGTGCAAAATTTTTTTTCTATGGGTGAATGACTGACTAGTGAAGATCTTACACTATATCCAGGAGAACAGGCAGAAAATGCATGAGTAGAGTAGAACAATCTAAATCTAATGGGAGTCATTGTGGTTATCGATTGTGATCACCGTGCACAAAAATAGCATCAACATCATTAATGATGAAGCAGGCTATTTTTAGAGGAAATTCCTTATTTGTGTGTGTGTAGGGGGGGGGGGGGGGGGCTTAAGTCGAACTTAATTATCAAGGGGGGGGGGGTTCAAGAAACTGTAATTTTGAAATTTAGAATAGGAACGTAATTTCTTTTTTTAACTTGAGTTTTTTCAGTTACTTTTAACATTTATAGAAAATTTTAATTTTTTTAAATGTGTTAACCTTTACCAAGCGTTTGCCAACAATCTCAGTATTAAACTGAACTAACGATGTAATTCCGGTAAAATCTTCATTAACTAACGAGTATGACTGTAATAATAGTTCATTTTACAACTTTTTATCATTTTGCTAAAGGGAAACAACACAACATCGACATGAAAAAACCCGCTAATTTTTAATTTAAAGAGACGAAAAGCTGTCGAGGGGGAGGGGTGTCTTAGTTTTTGTGATGGCTGGACGGACTTTCCAAAAGAACGAGGCGTCTTTTATAGACTAACACAGTTCTAGATAGTTAGTCTTATAGTAGGAAGTTGGTAGGTGAGTTATCTAATCTATTAATACAATCACCACACACGCACTGAAATACGATAAAATAAAAGCAACATCACTGAGGGACGTTTCGAGAGCGTTAATAATAGGTTTTAACATTAGCTTGTTAAAAACTAAAAACATTGAAAATGGCACGAGCGCGCCGTCGCCAACTGGTGTGGTAAGTGTAAACCACCACACACTTGCAGCCATTATTTTCCCGGGGGCCAGAGTTTCTTCCAGGCATCTCTATCTCTTCGGGGGAAGGGGCGCTGAAGAACGGCAACTTCCCTACCCCCGAACGAAATTTACAAGTGTCCGCTTCCCCCCCCCCCCCAAATATTTTAAGTGCCCCCCCGGAGAAAAAAGAATGGAAGAAACACTTATTTTCTTGCGGGGGTGGGTGGATGGGGCGGCTCCGCCATCCCGAAGAGATGCCTAGAAGAAACTCTACAATGTATTTTCTTTTATTTTGTCTCGAGGAGGTGGGGGGGGGGGAGTCAGTGTACATGATCGGGAGGTTTGGAAATTCCCCCTTCCAGCTCAAAGGAAAAGCTGAAATTATGATATTTTGATATTTTAATAACGACAGACAGTATTAATGTCAAATGGTAATTTTTTTTAAATATTGATCTGAATCTGGACCACTAGGCGTAGCGACCCTTCCCGGCACCCGGGGACAAATTTTCAATTTGGCGATCCCTCGGGAGCAACTTACTTTTCAATTTGCACCTCCCCCCCCCCCCCCCCCCCATCAAACTTTCGATTTGCACCCCCATATATTTTTTATAAAGCTAAAATGAGATTTTAATTTGTTTTTACAACCCATTTGGCGCCCCCTAAGGTCGGCGCCCGGGGGCACATGTACCCCCCTCGCTACCCCCGCCTCTGGGCTAGACTTGTGATTAGTTCCTATTTAAAATTCTCCCTCAGAGCAAGGGAATGTACTCAAAAATTGTTATGCAACAATAAACCTACTTCCGTTTTACGAACAAAACAACCTTTTTTCATTCAATTATTAAAATTTATAAAACATTTAGAATTTAGATCAATATCTTTCATATTATTCCTGCCCTAGATAGACTACTGATACTTTTTTAAATGTAATATATAGATCTAGAACAATAACAATTGTTAAATGTTAAATATTTAAATAAGTTTGTATGCAGTATGCGAAAACGAATCATTTTTTTTGACACATGAAGTTGAAACACATCACTTGACTTAGTTAAATAGTTAAATATTAAATAGATCTAGTATTAGAGAAAATCTAGATCTAGATTCTAGTATTACTTTAACTTAGTCACCACACACTGCATACACTACAGCAATATTGGCAATAATGGAAATTAGTAAATTACAGAAAGTAAAATAAATAAATTATTAGGCCCTACTCTAGAGAATCTCTAGATCCTAGATCTACTAGATCTAGATCTAGATCTAGTAGTGTAGCCGTACTACTAGGTGACTCTAGTATTGAGTACTGTTGAGTCTCAAAAATTAAATAATTTTCACAGGTGAGTGCTTCACAATCTCACAAGTCACTAAATGACTAAACTCACTAAACTAAATTAATATAGTTTGTAGACCTTCCTGACCTATGCACTGCATTCTAGTGGTGGGACATCAGTGTTTCTTTCAGACTTTTTTTCCACGGGGTGGGGGTGGGGGGGGGGGGATGAGGGCAATTTAAACTTTGGGCAGGGGGTGGGGGAGAGCAGACTTAAATTTCCAAGCATGGACACTGGTTGAAGCATACATATTTTGTCCTAGTCTATTTTGTTCGGAGAGTGGGGGGAGTTGGATTACTCGCCTTCCTGCCCTGTCATGCCTTCCATTAAATAATTCTAAAAATGATCCAGATAGCATTTACTAAATAGGGCCTACTTAAAATAATACTTATCTTAAAAACACCATTCCAGTTATACATTTAAAATAAGTATAGACCTACACTTTTTTAAATTTCAGATTCCTGGAAGAACATCAAAATCAAAGAATCTCAACACATAAGAGTGTAATGTGTCTTATTTCATATTTTGTTGCTTGAAAACAAATCAACCATGTTTCGTTCAAGAGCTAATGAAAAAGACCGTGTGGGTGATGCAGGGGTGAATAGAGAAGTCAGTGTGCCCCTAGTCAAGACTCAAGATGGGAAAGAATATGATCCCAAGGTAAATGCTTTTTTTGTTTTTATACAAAAATGGAACAAATTTGATCCAAGATTTTAGATATTTTAAAAATCTCAACTGACAATTACTCAGTCATCTAAATTGTAAATTGGTGATGGTATATTAACTCAATTAGTAGCTAAACAGAAACACAATTTCAAGTTGATGAACAATTGCTTTTTGATCAAGATTTGATAGCAAATTATTGTAAGTATATTTCCCTTGAAATATTTAGTTTCAAGTGCACAATATAATGATCCATTACAGTGCACAATAAATTTACTTTCCTACCATTTAAATTTCTCATCCAAAATATCAAGAGTGAAGAAGTATGTGCTAACAATAAATACATTTATTTCCAATAACGGATGCAATTAGAAAAAAATGTAAGAAGATGTACTGATTAATTTTGTATTCTTTAAGACCTTTGTATAATCTTTTAGGACTTTATTTTTTTATTTTTCAACATGCATTTTACCCTTTTTTTTAATAGGAAATGTGAAACCAAATTAGTTTTTTAGGATTGCATATATTTAATTATTTTAAAAAAAAATAACTTTAGTAAAACTGAACTTCTTTGATTTTTGAATATCATAAGTAGAAACATTTTTTAAAACTACTTTTTAACTCCATTTCATATTTTTTAGAAATGCCAAACATTACAAAGTTTAGTAATAGTTTATATTTAGAGGTATTTCAAAACTGATTCACTTTGACAATTCCTTGAAGGAAATGTTGCTTACAATGTGAATCAGAAGAGTGTATATTTCAATAACACATCTGCTGTTATATAAAAAATATTGTAATAATTGGTTATTCAAACCCTGAAAGTAGGTTGCTTTCTTAATTTGCTAAAAACCAAAACCACAAAGGGATCAAACTACCCAACCATAATAATAATTACATTTTATCACTCTTTTTTGTGAATGATCTCCCTTTGATTTTTTTTCTCACCACATAGACATGACCAATATTCTACTTTATGTTTCCTGAAGTTAACACTTTATTTAGTAATCTACCAATATATGCTCATTCTGGTCATTATCCCATCTCTTGAAGCAAAAGTCAACCTCTGCCAACTCAGTGATAAGTGCTGTAGATGCCGAAACTGAAGAGGTATCTTTTCTCTACCCTAGAATAGAGGGACTCACCCAAAGCACTTTTTTCAATACTTTACATGTTGTTTTTATTACAGTTTACTAGTGTTGTCAAGCATCAATATCCCCACTGATTTTCTAATACATTTTTTTCTCACTTGCACTTTCATGGTTGTGATTAGTTTATTTTTTTTTAACTCTAAAATTGTAAATTCTGCATCTTGAAAACAGGTGATTAGGAGCTGCAATTTCAATTTGAGATCTGTTGTTTTCATCAATTAAAAGTTGTCCTAAGTTTAAAGAAAATTATATAATTTCAATAATAATAAGCAAAACAACTCCCTTATCATTTGGACAGAAAAATTTAAACCCAACAAGCTGAATATTTTTTTGAGTTTTCTGTAATTTCTAAGGGTTGTTCTGCAAAACTATGATGAATTATCATTCAGATAATTCAGCTTTCTTCCAGACAGTAATGAAAATATATGCGTTAATAAAAAACCATTTATCAATATTTAGGGAAGCAAATATTCCAGTAATTCCCATCCAGTTGGTATAAACGAATTCCGTATTCTTTTAGCTACTGGCTTAAAACAGTTAGATTAAGTTAGATGCAACCATAATATATTTGTATTAGAGAAAGTTTTCTACCAACTTATTGCTCTAGAACAGTATAGATCACATTTTATTCTTTTTTTTTTTTTTTTACAATTTTTTTTATAAATGTCATTACATTTTGTAGTTATAGCTATTTCAATATGTGTTCACTATTTTTTTTAGTCACACTAGTACTTAATGTAAAATGCTTTAAAATGTTAAATAGCTGTCAAATCTATTTTCATTTTGAAATGGTTTATTATGCTTTCTTGGAAAGAGATTTTTACCTGTCAGTTGGCTGAAATTAATTTAGATAAACCTAGTTAGATAATGAGATAAATTTACAATAAATATTGTTCACATTTTGATTCTAAAATATTTTTTTATATCAGTGATAATAACAAACATAAAATGTTAGATGATATGATAATAATTAAAATTAAAAAAACTAAACAACACAATAAAAAGTATGAACACACACATGCAAGCACACACACATATGCACATACACACATAGGTCTATATGGGGGTGGGGTAATAATTTGTTGAGAAGGAATATATTTTTTAATTTTGCATTTTGTATTATTTAAAGCACTTTCCTAAAAAGCAGCGTTAAACCATATTAGTGAATGAGATTCCATATCTAGAAAAAACATTAATGTTAGAGACTTATATATATGTATATATATATATATATATATATATATATATATATATATATATATATATATATATATATATATATATATATATATATATATATATATATATATATATTTCATATATATATATATATTTCATATATATATATATATACACACACATATATACACACATATATACTCGCATATATATATATATATATATATATATATATATATATATATATATATATATATATATATATATATATATATATATATATATATATATATATATATATATACACACATATATACTCGCATTTATCATACATTTGTAATAGTCACTTGTGTAAAGCGCAGATAAGACAGCAATATGTCAAGCCCTAGATTTGTGTTGGTGTCTGGCTGTAGATACCCCCATTATCCCCTCCGTTTGGCCAGTCTGAGCCACACAAAAGCCGTAGCCATGAGGTGGCTTGGGACAAAAGAATCGTTGTGTTGGCGATAGATCAGTGAAGAATCGAGGGGCAGGGGAGGGGGGAATGTTTTGATTCCAGCTACATACACATAACACAGAAAACAAAATCCCCCCTCCCCCCACTCCGTACTTTAAGAGCCAAAACTACGATGTATTCTGTTAGGATATTTTGGACGTTTATTTTGATATATCAATCCTGTTTGAATAGTAACGTAATTTGTAATATAAACTGTAAATTGGTATCGGGGACTCTGGTTATAAATTGTGATGGAAACAGGTTGTAGTTGCGTGTTTTAAACCTTTTCATCTACGCCAAGTCAACACAAGTTACAGACCTGATCAGGAGTTTGATCACGGGAATAAAAGTAGAAACTGGACTACGGGGAGATGGGATAGCAATACGCCTTGGCAATAAACAAGGATTTGTATTTTTATTCAATAAAATAATATATACAATCGGGCGGATTACACGAAAAATGGGGTGGGGAGTGGCAACTGGGAGGGGTGGCGGTGTGGATAAGGATAAGGATTTATTGAGAAGAAATCAGTTTTTGAACTCTGTATTTCGTATTTATTTTAAAGCGCTTAAAAAAAAATAGCAGCTTTAACCATATTAGAAACAAGCGAATGGAATGCCATATCTAGACAAAACATGAATGTAAAAGATCTTAGATGACCTTTGGTATCTAGACAAGACAAACGTTGACGACTGTTGATGACCTTTAGAGCATTGCATGAGTGAAGCTGCACACTGATTAGGTAGTGTTGGTTGTGCGCGCGTCGTGGCAGAGGTGCTCATGGCGTTACATCACGTTACAAACTAAGCATTCTTTGAAAGCTTTTTTGTGTCTTCCTTAGAGTTTAGTTACATAAATTGTAAAAGTATGGCGCCTGAAGAACCCACAGCTCTCGCGTCAGAAAAAAGGTTGACTATTATAAAAACAACTATTTACCTCATGCGTATATGAGAGACCCACTACTTTAAAAACATCGAAAATATCCTATTTAGTGAAGTCAGACGTCAAAACACTAAAGTTTGACGAGGTAACACCATCGTGTTAGAAAAAATTGACGAGGAAACACCATATAACGCAGAGGAAACGTTACATACTATTAGAAAAGTTAGACGAGGAAACACCATATAACGCAGAGGAAACACCACATACAGCTAGAAAAGTTTGACGAGGAAACACCATATACCCGCTAGAAAAGTTAGACAAGCAAACACCATATACCCGCTAGAAAAGTTTGTCGAGGAAACACCACATACATCTAGAAAAGTTTGACGAGTAAACACCACATACCCGCTAGAAAAGCTTGACGAGGAAACACCACATACAGCTAGAAAAGTGTAACGAGAAAACACCATATACATCTAGAAAAGTTTGACGAGGAAACACCACATACGACTAGAAAAGTTTGACGAGGTAGAAAACACCATATAACCCTATTGCTGTAAACCCCCTAGATTGTAGCGCACGGTGCCAGCCGAGATCAATGATTGGCGGGCGGTGAGATCACTTTTTGTCCCATTCTCTGGTAGTTTACCGGCCCATGGAGTAGATACACGCGGCTTTTTTTTTACATCTTCACTTGAGGAGCTACCAATTCAATATGGATTTCAGTGTGTTCACTATTCGTTGATTGCATCATTGTGATTTCTTGAGTGGAGAAGAGTGACGTGGTTGTTGTAAAATGATGTTTAGTTGATGTGTTAGAATTAACCCGGTTAAGCAGACCGGCTTTCGAGGATGTTTGTATTCGTGTTTTTTGAATAACTTTTCGCGCTTAAATGAGGATAATAATAGATTAATTTGATTATGTGTGTGTGTGCGTGTTTCTGTGTACCGTTGTAGAAAGAGTTTTTAAACGAGATTTAAGAAGGCCATAGAGTAAATCTTATAAAAAAATATTACAGCGAATGAGTATATAGCCTTTTACATGTTAAAGCAATTGCAACAACACCTGTTGTTTTTAGCTTTATATCGACGATAATGAAAAATTATGTTTTACATATTAGTAAATATTTTGTGTTTATATATGCGTAGACATACATATAACTAGGCCTATGTATATATTTAAATATATGTATAAATATATATTTATATATATATAAATGCATATATATATCTGTGTTTAGCACTCTCTCTCTGTCTCTCTCTCTCTATATATATATATACATTTATATATTCATACGTGTATATATAAATACTGGTTATGAGTCAAATATTATATATATGGCCTACTATACATTATATAAATATACTATACTCTCTCTTTTTATATAAATATATGCTATACTTTTTATATATATCATACTTTATATATCTATATTTATACCTCTCTCTCTCTCTTCCTCTCTCTCTCTCTCTCTCTCTCTCTCTCTCTCTATATATATATATATATATATATATATATATATATATATAGCATAGCGGGTATAGCTATTATTTCCTACCTTAAACATCCACGATGAGGACGTAAGAATTCCAAGTGCTGTCTTGTCTGAAGCGAGCCCATGTGAACCAATTGAAACTGTTGATTTACATGTCGGCCTCCTGCCCTGATATCCAGCAGTTTGCCGTATTAAGCGTGTTAATGTAATTGTTGCCTCCAACTCTCACTTGCCGTGAAAACTTCATTTCTTCCATCGCCGAATGATTATCGATTGATTAGCGATCGTTTAGTGGCAAACCTATGCTCCTTACCGAATTATATTTAGCTCCCTTTGAAGTACTTGCTAAATCCTCACTGGCCATCGATGCCCCGATGTGCTTGGTGCTGGTTTGATGAATCATTTATGTTTACTGCTGGGGCTTAGTTTTAAAATGCGCCTTACGTCCCCTTTCTAGAGCGGTTATCTCAGAATAGTTTAACAAATTTATCCCTCTGTTTTTTTTTTTTTGTTGTTTAAATCGTTAATCATATTGTAAAATTTTGAATTTAAGATAAAAAGTATAAGTTTTTGAATAATGTTTAATGAAATCTCTTGATCGTTCACTACTTGACAACAACAGTTTTAGGAGTTGTTGACGTTATTGATAGTAGTGAGCATTCTGGTCTTATAATAAAGGGCAGCTGGATCTACCCCGTGTGTGGCTGGGTCTTAAAGTGTCTGAGTAGGGTAGCCACAACAACCACAATATCGGTTGGGTTCTCATTTGGTGGGGTAGCCAGTGCTATTCATTGGGGCTTATAATCTGGCTAGAAATGGGTAGCCAGTGCTATTCATTGGGCCTTATAGTTTGACTAGATATGGGTAGCCAGTGCTGTTAATTGGGCCTTATAATCTGACTACAA